GAAAAGTTTGTAGTTCCTTATTTTGAGTTGACCCTTCTGGACATGATCAAAATTGTCCCTACAAGGACTACATTGTAGGAGTGTAGTACTCCAGAAAATATTGGAGATCTGCAGACCTTTTTGGTAATGTGTATTAAATGTATTGGTAAATAAAGCATCTTAGCGAGCTACCATTTGAATTTTATGGGGGGGGGGGGGGGGGGGGGGGCTAGGATGAAATTTGAAAAAAAGGCAGGACAGGAGTTTTGAGTAAAAAAAAAAGGCAGGATGAGCAACTTGGCAAAAAAAAAGGCAGGATGACAATTTATGTTAAAAGAGTCAGGATAAACTAATAAAAAAAAAAGGCAGGACCGAATAGAGTGAAAAATAAAAAGGCAGGACAGAGATTACAACTAAGAAAAAATGCAGGACTAAATTTTTCATCCTAGCCCCCCCTCCAAAAAAAATCAAATGGTAGCTCCCTTAATCTAGAGCAAGCAAAATTTGTGGGTGAAATGTTATCCAGTTTATTATATATATTCTCTTCATGCATAAATGAAAAATATATATATATTTAAATTATTTGTTTGAGGTAAAATATAATGTTGTCAGACATCCATATAAGTATTTACATATTTATAAACGTGTGTTAAAAACTTAAATATGAGTTAATTGTTGTGCTATTACAGGAAACCGTATGAAAGGAAGTTATGATGACTATTTACACAACTAACAAGTTTGTACGGTAAGTGTACTTTATATTTGATGTCAGCATTTGATAAAAAAATTAATTTTGTCTGGTTTTCAAAATATGCAAAATGACCAAATCTTTTATCTTAAATGGCAAAAGATTTTGCTATATACCAAATGTCAGACCAAAGATTTCATCTCAAATGGCAAAAGATTTAAAAATATACCAAATGACCAAAGATTTCATCTTAAACGGCAAAAGATTTCAAAATATACCAGATGACCAAAGATTTCATCTCAAATGGCAAAAGATTTCAAAATATACCAAATGAGCAAATCTTTCATTTTAAATGCCAAAATAAAAAGAACTCTGTTATGCATTATCAAATTGTAAAAGTAATTTAGACATCACCATAAGACACCAAAAACCAAAAGACATCTCGAGTTTGATCTCACAAACTATTCTAAAACTAAAAAAGTGTAATCTTTGATACACACTGTTACATTCTACTGTAAAATAATGAAACTTTCTTATGTTTTAGAAGATTTTCAGATTTGTTATTTAGGAATAAAAATAATCAGAGATTTTGGGCTACTAATCATCAAATAGAAAATATTCCTTTGTTGTAGTGTAACTAATTATAAGGAGATGTGGAATGATTGACAATGAGACAACTATCAAGTTTGTTTCTACTGATTTCCATAATATGGAACTTTAGCTGGTGTACCACAAGAATAATAATTACTTTTGTCAGTATTTCTATCCTCTGGTTGCTTATGATTTTATTGGTTTTTCTATGTTGAGAAAGAAGATATAAAGCTCCTTTTTGACTTTAAATATTTTCTGATATGTTTCATTGGACTTTTACAAGACAAAATTTCAAGAATTCATTGTAGGTTATATAGTGGCTCATGTTTGCTGTACTTTAATAGGTGTTTAAAGATTAAATTGGTTGAATAAATTCTTTTCTGGTTTAAATTTTGTTTATATGCCTGTTATAAGTTGTTTTGCTTCATAAGATGGATTTAAAATATCAATCAGACATTATTTATTCTACTATTTAAATTTCACTAGGCCAAATAAAATAATTTAGCCAAAAAATGTGTGATTCCTGTAACAGAAGAGTAATCAAAGTACTGTAGTACTGAACATCGGATGACCGCAAGTTCTTGTGGATGGTCACAAGCGCTTGTCTGAGAAAAAAATATCACATCTCTTTACCTGAAAGTGAGGTTAAGGTACATAGATATACTTTTTTCTGAGACAAGTTTGTGCGTGGATGATGAATAAATGACAGGGAATTCAACATCAACGTAATAACTATTATATTGTAGTGATACAAATCAGTATACTCTGGTTTGTTGTCATATATTATATTAATATTTGTATATAACAGTGACATGTATATATTAAAACAGAGAACACTTGAAGGTCTTTCCACATCAATTTTCTAAATTATTATTGATGAGAAGCTACTTCCTATTTACTCAAAGTTACCATTGGCGTCCAAGCATAGTTTTCTTCATGATGATTCAATAAATATATGTTTCTATATATTTTTGTCTGAAATAAGGGAGATAATTGTCAACTTCTGGTTTAAAAAAATGTCACTTTCAGTCTCACATAATAGCTTTATTCACACTGATTCCAAAAATATATGGTTACTATATACTTTTGCCTGTAATAAGGGAGATATTAGGTACTTCTGGTTTATTGAAGGTCACTTCCGGTCTCAAATAATAGGTTTATGTATGCGTATTTAAAAAATATATAGTTTATAGGTATTTTTCCATGAAACAAGTGCAAAAATGGCTACTTCCGGTTTACTCAAGCTACTTTCCGGTTGAAATTTTTCAAGGTCAGATGTCAACCAACAGTTTGCAAAAGACCCTATGGCTTTATCATGTACCAAGTTGGAGTAATAATCAATAAACCTTAAATTTAATCATTTCATGTACAATAACTCCTATACGATGTCATTGGATTGTTTCAGACCAAATTTATCATATTTTCTTCACAATCAGGCAAACATTTTGCACTAGTTCTTTTATATATCTTTAAAAGTGACAGAGGAGGTCATAAAACAAGGAAAAGTCAAAATTTAGAATATGACCTTGACCTTTGACCTTGACCTCAATTTCATTTTTGTGAATCAAGGACCCCAATTCAATACACCTTAGTTCTCTATCACTTTCCATTCATGCTATATATTAATGTATCACTCATGTCAAATACAGAAGGGGAAATAACTCTCATATGGAGTCTTCGTATCGCTCCGGTCAAAATTGGACAAAATATCCTGAGGATATAACGAGGAATATGGTAAAATAAATTTGTCGGAACAATGAAAAGTCAAAATTTAGAACAGGACCTTGACCTTTGACCTTGACCTCAAATTTATTTATATGAACCCAGGACCTCAAATACATGTACCTTAGGTCTGTATTACTTACCATTCATGTGATACATTGACATATCACTTATGTCAAATTCAAAAGGGAAAATAACTGTCATATGGAGTCTACGAATTGATTTGGTTAAAATTTGACAAATCATCCTGAGGATATGAAGAGCAATTTAGTAAAATAAATTTGTCGCTTTCTTTTACGGTTACGGAGGAGATCTCACCACAAAGAAAACAGTGTTTGGGGAGATAACTCTTACAATAAAAAGTCTTCGACTAAACAGGGTCAATCACAAAAGCGCAATAACTGTTCGATATCATATGCAAAAAATCTAAGCGACATCTTGTGAAACCACAAAACAAATTTTGAAATTTGGCGGAAGAAAAGAAAAAAAATAATCAGAACAAATACAATAGGTCTTTCCACAAAATAGTGGAAAGACCTAATAATTTTCATCCATTTGTATATCATTCTATTCTACTATTCTAATAATAGTGCAGTGCAAGTGCATGGTGGACACTCTTCTGTAATAATTTGATTTTTCTAATAGATTGGATTTGAGTAGGCATTCATATTTTCCCGCAAACGTTCTTGAGATATTCCTCCGCATGTGTTAACACAAATTTTCGGTATTCTAGTTTTGTTATTGATATATTTATTTCTCACGACAAAACATTTTCATATCATTTATCTATGTTCTGAAAAATTATTTTCATGAATATTTTTTGATGAAATTGATATATAACAAGCGATAAGGAATGTTATTTTGCGTTCAGTTATCAGTCAAAAACGAAAGTCATGTGGGTAGAAATGTCTGTGGCAACAATACACCGGAATGCCCCAACGGTCATTCCATGTAAAAATGAAGGTGATACATTATCAAATTAAAAAACAATGTCCATGTAGATATACATGTTTTTAGGAAGGCAACTCAACTTTAACAGTGCTTACTTGAAATTTGATATAAAATAAATGATTTTTTCCAAATGATGAAGAACTTATAATTTTTCTTCATTCAATTATATTTGAATGTAAATAAAAGAAGTTATGGGTAATGCATGAATTAGACAGCAGTCAATGATATGAAACAGCAAAAGACATCTGGAGGTCATTTGTAGGTCATCATATTCTTCAAAAATAGACAAGTGCTGTAATATTAGCTGCTGCACATGAAGCAGCCATTAATTTATCAATCTTTTGTTGGTGGGATCTGTATCAAAACCTTTATGAACCATTATTTAGAAATACTTTCAATATACTTATTATCTATGTTTGAAAAAACTTGAAAAAATAGTTAACATTATATGATCTTGTGGAGGGATCATTTAATTCAAGTAACTATTTTCGATTTATGTGATTTAAAGAAAAGCTTACATTGTTGTGGGGGTATTTTGTTCAGAAAAGTCACTTTTGATATCCCTACTAAGAGACATGTTATACTTGGGATTCAATGAAACACTTGCCATCTAATGCTCCTAATGGAAACAGGATGAATAGGTGCCGACTAAGTAAGCACAAAATTGATTTAAAATTACAATTTTTTGGAGCATTATTTGTTATTGTTACTTCTCAAAAGTTTTAAATATAATGACGACATTGTCAGAATGTTACAAAAAAGTATTGGATAAAGACCTAATGCCTTAAAGCAATATCAGTTTAAGATTGTAATTTTGATTGCCAGTCATTCTAAATTGTCAATGTTATTATTTTATGTTCGTTTGCAAAATATTGGCAATAATGTTTTAATTAAAATATCTGAATATCTATAAAAGTACACCTGTTATTAGACTGTACTGTATGATAGCCCATCCAGTAGGCTGACCTTGTTGTGAATTCCTTACCCAGCTGTTACATACAAGTCAATAATATGCTTAGTCAATTGGTGAATTGATCAAAAAATTTTAGATATGCAAAATCAATAATTTGTATATCGGTAGAAGTAAACGCATGTATACATGTATTCAGTTTTTATCACCAGAATGTTAGTGTGTTATCTGTTGTTAATCTTATTCTAAAATAAATGTAGTGACTTAAAATCGTCAAGTGTTTTTGCAGGGATATGTTAACAAATGGATTATTTTAACTAAGGCTGTATTCGTACATATAGCAGTATTCGCTGCAGTTAAAATTATTATATAAATCTCAGGTAAGTAACAATCCATCAATAGAATAGATATTTTACTTGGAAGAACTATTGAAACAAGTTTCAAGAAAAATATGTTATCAAAGTTTCAAGAAAAATATGTTATCAAAGTGTCAAGAAAAATATGTTATCAAAATTTCAAGGGAGTAAGTTTGTATTTTTGAAAGTACTGCTCTGTTGCATGAAAAATCTTGAAAGTTTATTTTTCATATGTATTTTTAATTTCAGCTCTTCCTTCTTGGAAGTAAAATAGTGCCAGCATGTCGTCTGCTTATGATGATCACCTTTCAAAAGACGGGCGTGGTGTGTCAGAGGAAGAAGTTCAACAAATGGCTAAACAGAAAGCACATGAACTCTTTAGTGTTTGTGACATTGAACAGAAAGGTTTTATTACCAAACGTGATATGCAACGTTTGCAGAATGAGCTACCATTATTACCAGATCAGTTAGAGGCAGTATTTGATTCACTGGACGATGATGGCAATGGATACCTTACTCTGGAGGAATTTACTGAAGGATTTGGTTAGTATATATTCAAATTTTAAAGATTAATATTTATCTTGTAACTTCAATGAAATTTGATGTCCCGAGTTCCGGCATCAGAAGCTAAGTGACCCACAATCATATAACTTGGTGAAAGGATGCATCTTGGGGATTATAACAGCTTCAGACAAAAATAGGTAGATCTGACCTACATTTTACACTGCATTGAGTCATGTTCAGTTTTACATTCAAATGCATTTTTGTATTATGTTGCATGAGGGACCAAACTGGGGTATGACGTTGTGGTGCAGGCTGGCAAATGGGCTATTTATTTAGTATTTTCAACTCCTCCTTCAGTCTTCAACTGGGATCCTTTAAACTTCACAGATAAATTGTACATATGTCTCTCTTTCTTGTCTAGTATTTTTGAATATATTCTAAATAGGACACCATATTATATAATGACATAGTTTTAGTTAATCTGTACAAAATTAAAAATGATATGATAACTTGATTCACATGTGTTAATAACAAGTTACATACATACAAGTACATAGCAATTAATCATATAAGCTGTCAATTAAGAGTTCAGGTTTATTTCGTTTCATGGAAGGGCAGGAAAGCAATTTCATTTAAATGTTGAAATGCCATCATAAAAATTGTTTGAACTTCCATTGTGGCAGATCTTGGAAAGATGAAAATTTTTCATCGGATATAAGCGTCAAAACCTATGTTTAATTGCTTTGTATGATATTTTATATTCTATCGTACCTTTTAGCAGGGAATCATAAATGTTTAAATGAATTCTTTTAAATGATAATACAACAAATCCAATTACACAAGAATTAATTTGCATAATTTACATGTCAGTTAGCATTGGTACTATTATAGTTATGTTGTATTAAACAAACATTTTGTGACAATTATTTTTTAATTTTTGTAAATAATGGTAAAGAGGGTTGTTGTCTTGTACTAATATCAGGAATTAATACCTGGTTGATACATTTGCCCTAAGTTAACATGCATTAAGTCAAAAAGTCATGTATTAGTTTAAACTCGTTGCAAAAGTATCAGTGATATACAAAATTTCCATGCATTTATGGAAATTTCATCTAGCATTTAAAAGATTCAATATTGTATAAAGAATACAAAATATTTATTTGAAATAAGTACAAAGACTTCAACATCAGTCTGCAAAATATTAAATAATCATTTATTGAACAAAATGTTTTGTGAGTGTAGACATTTAAAAAATTTCAATTGACAAGGAAGTTTAAAGTGCATGTTTCCTGTGTAAAATGTTATAACATAACACCAACCGGCCTTATTTCACATTGTCTATATATATATATAAGGAATATCATTTTCATCTTAAGTGATTTGATAAAAATCTTGTACATTTTAATTGTGTAAAGATTCTTTAAACTTGTTCTGTGCCACATCAGCACAAATTTGATGTTTTAAAATGATTTATGCAAATTTTTACAATTCATATTCCTTGAACTTGAAGGCAGATGAAAAATATGCTTCTGTACATACTTTATGGAAGCAGATGTTATTAAGTATTGTTACAAATACATGGTCTTTTTCCTACCGTGCATATTTTTATTTGATTGCAAACATTAAGTGAAATGATTATTGTTTTTTTTTTATTGATAGCTGCCAATTTTCAAAGAATCACAACTCTTTGATGTCACATATAACTAATTAGAGAAAAGGTCTTTAATTACTCCAAGCTTTGATCACTTGATTAGTCTGCTGTCTTAATTAGATATTTTTTTTAATTTAATTAATCCATAAATTGACATTATGAGTTAATTAAGAAACTGTGGCAGATTTTATTTGAGTAATTTTGACTTCACTGCTATATCAGACACAATTTTGGAAGGTTTGACCATTTAGACATCCAAAGGTGGAGAGATAAAAAGAAGTTTATTTTGTTAATACATCATTGTATAAGATGATTACTCACAGGAAATATAGTAAAAGGCGTAAGTTAAAAACCACTGTTTTTCATTTAAATAGAGAAATATTAAAAAAAAGAATTGAATGCAACCATTGTGGTGATGTTAAAAAAAGTAAGATTGCTTCACACAATGAACTGTTTATAATTATTCATGCTGAAATATTTGGGAATCTAGATTTACCCATGGACATAATTTAAATGTAAATGCATAATATTCACTCATACTTAATAAAACAGAGACATATAAAATTAAAAGTTTTTTTCAAAGTTTGCATAGGAAATGTGATGTTTTCCGATGTAGTGACATCCTGGACTTTTTAGCCGTCATGTGATCAGTAATAGTACGTACTGACTTCTTAACTAAACTTGCTTCTCCTTTTCTGGAAGAACCATATACTAAATGTGTATTCCCTATTATGACTCACAACTTTTCAAGTATAATTTATTGCAATAAAATTATAAATCATTGGACTCCAAAAATTATATATTTCTAAGTGCTCTTTTCGGAAATTCAGAAAAAATTATCCTCTTTGCTTAATAAATTTTACTCCTAAATGGCCTTGAGGTGATGAAAAGGGAAGTAATTTGAAATAATATTTACACAAAATTTTAATTTATACATCATAAGTAAAGTGCCTCTCAAGTTTACATTTAAAGAAAATCAAGTGTGACAGTGTGTCATGGTTAGGTAAATAATCTTTTGGCCTAAATACACACTAATGTTTATATTAATATGCATTTCTGGAAGTTATTGTGTTAGACATAAAATAAAATAAATTGATTTGTCGTTAAAATTGTGGTATTAACACTAGATATGGAGAAAATTCATCTGATTCAATGAAAAGGACTTGAAAATATATTTTAAAAGCATAAGGATGCAATCAAGTATCACTTCCAGATAGTAAGTAAGTTGTGAAGATATAATATTTTAATGAAAAGAACTTTCACATCAGCATGATTAGTGTTAAGGTTATTTTTGGGTAGTTGTATGAAGGGGACTAAAGCATGCAGTTCTTGATGACTTTGGTGTCTGCACATCAACAATTGTTAAATTTTTTGATTAGAATACACAGACAAGACATATATCTATGTTAACAGTATATCATAGATTGTATTGATTTAAAGTGCTCTTTATTTTAAACTTTCTATTTTGGCTGAATTCAATGACTATATGGCGTTCCATACTTTCAGAAGTGAGCTAGTTGAATATTTATATTAGAACATCGTCCATCAGCTTTGCCTGTTTTTTCATGTGACATACACACAACATGGTTTTGTGTCATCCATAATTGATCCTTGCCTGGAGAAAAATAATATTTTTGGTGAAAACTATTAGTTTAAGGCTATCAGGTTTCAGTGTAAATGCAGAATAATTCTGATACCATCCTCACATTAAAGTAGAGTGTATCTTGTTGCAGAGATTTGTAGCATTAGGGTAAACCAAATATTATTGTAAAACCTTTAAAGAAATTTACTTTCCAAATCTAAAAGTAAATCACAAGAAAAACTATGCTTATTTGATTTGAATGTCTTTTAGTAGACCATATTATGACCAAATATGTTTTCTCTAGTCAGCTCTCTTTCGTAATCCCTTGACACTGAAGTTTAAGAGATATGACAGAGATTGTCACAATAGATGTTTTTTTTCTTTTTATGCAATGGCTACCTTTGGGACATAAAATCTGCCACCTTTCTGAGTTTACTAACTGATTATCAATATATGTATCAAAAGAAGGTTGCAGTGCATTTCCATGTTATCTTTGAAAATAATGGCCCAACTTAAGGGAAAAATTATGTCTGTTCAGAATAGGGAACGTTAAATCAGATACCTTGTGTAAGGAGAGTGCAATGCTCTGCGTGTTAAAAACCTTTGCAACAACTCTTCAAGGGATCTGCAGGTAGCCTGTTGCAAGACAAAATTTCTGTCCCTATCCTATATACCCTCATTTACCAGTGGCAGTCCAAATTTCCTGACCTCCAACCTTGACCGCCTCTATTAAGGACCTACTAATTGTATTTATTGTTAATTTGTTGATGTCCTGAACATGCATAAAATATTTTCCACTGGATGTTAAGCAACCAACAATCAATCAATTAAGGATGAAATGCAATAGAAGTAGTATATACCTATGAAGAGTGTGCAGTAATAACTGGTGTATGTTCTTAAAGGAAGTTACCCATAGCACCAAGGAGACAATGTAATGGAGGTAGTTAATAACCCATGGGAAACGTATAGTATTAACTTTTGTATGTTCTTATAGGAAGTTACCCATAGCACCAAGGAGACAATGTAATGGAGGTAGTTAATACCCATGGGAAACGTATAGTATTAACTTTTGTATGTTCTTATAGGAAGTTACCCATAGCACCAAGGAGACAATGTAATGGAGGTAGTTAATAACCCATGGGAAACGTATAGTATTAACTTTTGTATGTTCTTATAGGAAGTTACCCATAGCACCAAGGAGACAATGTAATGGAGGTAGTTAATACCCATGGGAGACGTATAGTATTAACTTTTGTATGTTCTTAAAGGAAGTTACCCATAGCACCAAGGAGACAATGTAATGGAGGTAGTTAATACCCATGGGAAACGTATAGTATTAACTTTTGTATGTTCTTATAGGAAGTTACCCATAGCACCAAGGAGACAATGTAATGGAGGTAGTTAATACCCATGGGAAACGTATAGTATTAACTTTTGTATGTTCTTATAGGAAGTTACCCATAGCACCAAGGAGACAATGTAATGGAGGTAGTTAATACCCATGGGAAACGTATAGTATTAACTTTTGTATGTTCTTGTAGGAAGTTACCTTAGTATTAATTTTTGTATGTTCTTGTAGGAAGTTACCTTGGTATTAACTTTATGGGAGACAGTACAATGGAAGGTGACGATACTCTGGAGAATGTCTACGAAGGAGAAGAGCGGCAAGAGGAAGAGAAACAATTCACAGACATGATGGAGAATATAGGAGCTAAATCTTTGTTTGATGAGTAAGTTAGAAATTATTATTACTTAAATGCTAATGATCCTTAATTTTTGCACCTTAGATTCAGAATTTTATCTTGTGGGTTAAGGTCCAAGATTTTCCTGTATTAATCTTGTCAGTGTATCATATCATATTAATTACTTTTCTATTTCAGTGAAAACACTATTAGACATTTGTGGATGAAGATAAGGAGAGACGAACCAGAAATGGTTGGAAATTTTGAGGAGTTTCTCTATAAAACATCAACAGATTTACGCAAAACTAAAGCAGACTTTGACACACTGGAAAATGCTCTGAAAAGGTAATGTCATGATTCTCTTCAAAGTGATAAATGGTACATGAAATTTTAGAGTTATTTCCCCTTGCTTTGGATTACAAGATTTTTGGCAGGTATGAATTTAAATACCAGCTAATATTATATGCATACCTTTTGATTTGTCCCTAAGAAGATCACTTTTAGTCATACCTTTAGTAGGAGGAAGAAACAATTTATTGCATTATATTTGTTTACTCAGGGTGGTTCTGCCTTTCTCATTGATAGCTTTATCAATCATTTGAAATTTTTCCTGAATTTTGTGATAATTACTTTGAAAAGACTGCCAGTTTTTGTTAAAATTTGAGGATACTTGTTGATGTAAGTAGCTGTTATGATATTTAAACCTTTGATTTGCCGTTAAGCTAACATTTTTTACAAGGTCCTGCGGAGATATTACTGCAGTATTTATTATGGAGCTCTTTTAATGTATGATTAAGATGACATGAACACCTCAGACATATTTGAAATTATATATATATGACAAAAAAAGATAAGAAAAAAATCGCATTTAAAACAAAACATTTGTTAATTTCATTTTGAAAATGCATTCATGCTACCTTTTTCAGATTAAGGGACTATTTATCCTGCTAACATGTCCAAGTACTATCATATTTATGTTGAATCAGCTAGTTACAAAATAACAAATCATATTCTATGAAAAATACTTGAATAACACCATCAGTGTGTATTTTATTTTAAATAAAAACTTTTATTTCTTCACAATTTAAATCTGATAATTATTGTAAAGTGCTATTAAATTTTAGAGTTTAAAATATGTGTCAAAGCAAATCATTAGTATTTATTTACATGAATAGTGCAGCTAAGTTTGATAATCCTCTTATTTGACCAAGGATGATAAATTATAGTGTATTTAAAGACCAAATATTAGGATTAAATACTGTACTGTAGCTATAAGAACCATATAAATTGTTTTAAGTGGCGACATTATATATATTGCCCTAGGTCATGCATGTAATGTTAAATTGTCACTGATATTTGGCTGTAACGTGCACCTACAAAATCAGTTAGTCATCACAAAATTTTTGTGGATTTTTTTTTATCATATCTGTTACTGGAAATTTTTTTACTTTCATCAAATAGGTAGGATGTTTTTATTGATAACTTATTGGTTGCTATGTCCTTATGCCATAGGCTCTTATTTTTCATGTTTCTTGTCAGAGATCAAATAAATCGTGATGTGCACCTTATATACTCATCCATATAAATCTGATTGGAATTTGGGAAAGACATATTAAGTCAAAAATAGGAAGTATTTACACCTTCAAATGCTGTAGGTGAACATAACCTGGGTCACCTTATCTGGGTCACCCTAATCTTGGTCAGTAGGACAGTATACTGTTGATTTTCATCTTGCTAATTAAAATGTCTTATTGTTTAACATTCATATTTTAAAAAATGAATTTTGCTTTTAAAAAAGTGTCATGAGAGGATTTACCCTTTGATATATGTACAATATTTCTGGGATTTTTAGTATGACTATATTTCAAAACAGGTCGATGTGAATTTATAGAAGGAATAAGTGCTATCTTTTAATTGTTGCAAAACTATTAAGAATTAAAATAAAGAAAATGAATTCTGCCAAATACCTTCACAATTCTGTATTCAGCTTAATTAATAAAAAAAAAGTTATCAAAGAAATTTATTTATTTGCGCTCAATATATTTAATATTTATTAAATAAATGACCAGTGATTATTTTTTTATGGACCACATGTGATATAAAAGACACCAAAGCCATTTTTTTCTATATTGTATTTTTGAGCTTGGTATAAATAATTGAAATCTTTGTATCTTGTGTGAGCTCATCTTTTATGGCTGTTTAGGAACCATCTAGAAAATCATTTTGGTTGGCATGGATTGTTTGGTAGCTGTCTGATCAAAGTTAATGCCACTACTCTTTGATATTTCAGTTTGAAATTTATTACACCAACATAAATGAATGTACATGAAGTTTATCAAACACAAGTTGATTTGCATAATAATTATCATGCCTCATTACTGTGCTGTTCAACTTAAAATGTTTACAACCTTCATAAACTGGTATTTAAAAGCTATGCATGGTTAATTAAAAAAAGAAATATTGAAATGTAAAGTACATTGAGAAATTTATGATGCTCTTTGCTTGATAAGGTTATTTGTAAAGGAATTTACTGTTGAAATTGGACTAAAATCATTTGAGTGTAAAAATATAAAAAGAATTTTGAAGTTTAAGAAATGTTGATTTTCTTTAGATACATCCTTTAACAGTCTGTACTTTATAAATTTGAATATTTAATTGATATTTTAGATTTATATATTTAGAAGAGGGTAAAGTTAAAAATGCTCTAACTTCTTTTTTGGTAAATATTCATTGTAAGAAAAGGAATAATTGTTAATATTTCTCTATTTTCAGTAAAAGTTCTGCTCACGACGAGGAAGTAAGGAAACTATACGAAGAGATGGAATATCAAATAAAGAAAGAGAAAGAACGCATCCTGAGTGAGGTATGAAAAGCATTTATCTGTTTAAATTTGTATAAAGAATGCTAATAAAGAAACTTAATTTGCATAATTTCAAAGAACAGAAAACAAGAAAAACTTTGTTTTTCTATTAAATAGGCTTTGTTTGATTTATACACCAATCATTTAGATGATGTCTTGTTGGTTGTGTGGTAGCATGCTTGCCTAGAGTGCAGGAGGTAGTGGGTTCAAACCCCAGCTGGGTCAAACCAAACACTTGACAATTTGTATTTGCTGCTTTTCCGCTAAGCACACATTATTTAGGAGTCCTAGCAAACCTGATCAATATGTCCAGGTAGGGTGACATGTTTCTACAGACTGCTACCTTGGGAACTAGCATGTTTAAATTCTGGCTCAGCCTGTTGGTCAAGTTCAAATAAGGGTTTCTATTCATATCACATTATCATGTTCTTGTCCTGAATATGCATTTAATTTGCCACTGGACGTTTAACACCATCCATCCATTCAAATTTTCAGACTTGGTGATTTAAAACTGGACTTATTCATTGGGTTTCCCTAAGCAAATCATTGACTTTGCCATTGCTATTTTTGTATTGTACCTATTTTTTATCAGTAACTTTTGGGTTCTAAGCAACTCATAGACTTTACCATTGCTTTATATATGAGGATGGGGGTATCATTTTGTGAGCTTTGATTGCAGTTCATCAAGTTTCTATATACTTGAGCTACAAAGATACTACCATTAAATAAATATCTCTTTGTAAAAAATACTTTATTTATAAAAGAATTATTATCCCCGAGTGAATCAATATCTATGTAAAACATATTTTATTTGCAGAGAAAGATTATCCTTCTAATGAATTTATATTTTTATGACAAAATACTTTATCCAAAAAGTTGCATTATCCTCCCACTGAAATTTACTGCAAAATCTGTGATGATTCATCTGTCCTTTCGCTGGTTCAATAACACCCATGTCAGTAAATGTAACAGCTTGGTAGTATTGAACTGTAAAATAAACAGGATTGATTTGATTTTTTAATAGTTAAATAATACATCTACTATATAGTTTTGAGGTCAAACAATAAATAGCTCTATAAAAGTATGGACATTTTGTATTCTGATCTAGGTCCCCAATAAATCATTCTTATTACAGTGCATAATAAATCATTTGGATCAAAACTCTTATTCCTTTTGTCTTTAAGTACAAGGAGTTTATTTAATCTTCTTAGATTTAGATTAAAGGTATGAAATCCTCTGTTCCATAATAGATACATGATGTTTAACAGTGCAAAATTACAACCATTAATGTTACTTCTATTTAAATGTCAACATTTAAGCAGAATATATGGTTATGTTTATAAACAAACATTTAGGATACTCCAAAGATATGTCCATCAGCAACACATTTATTGGATAACTTAAAGATGTCAAATTTGAAATAAAAATGCATAATAAGTACAAGGATTTTGTCAGTTTTCTTCAGAGAAAAAAAATTAAAGACAAAATATAAGAATTGAGTCAGAATGTATATAACAATGGCAGCTCCTTTAAAAAATATCTTTAGGGGTAAATAAACAGAGTTCTAATTTCTAATCATCAGCAAAAATTTCAATGTCCAAAAACGAGTTCATTATTCTTATAGTTAACAAAATGTAATACATAAAAAAACCTATAGATTTTCAATATAAATTAAAGAGAAATGGTATAACAGTGATAATTTCAAATGGTCAACCATCCCAGATTTTTTATTGCCCTAAAAATTTGGTTCAACTACTCAATATGTTTTATAGTTCAAATGATTAACCATCCCCAGATTTTTGAAAACCTTAAAAACTTTGTTCAAACTGCTCAATTGATCAACAATACTCAGATATTTTATCATCCTAAACATGGGACAATTACACAGCTTGTTTAAATTTCAAATGATCAACCATCCCTAGATTTTTGAATACCCTAAAAAATTTGGTTCAATTACTCACTATGTTTTATATTTCTAATTTCACAAAATGATAGAAGTGAGTTTTTTTCAAATTATCAACTGTCCCTAGATCTCAAGATATTAGATTTTTAACTTGCTTCAACTACAAATTCTTTGTATGTTAAAGAATAGAACGGACATGGAAATGAAAATTTGAAATAAATGTAAAAAAAAAAAGAAGGAAAACACAATCTTTTCTAGCTGGTAAAACATTTACCATTAAACAAGAGGTTATATGATGTGTAAGTTGGGAAAATTAGTAATATTCTGAGAAAATCAGTTATTATTTGTGAGAGAAATTTTATATTGATGCATTGCCCTTACATTATGACACATAACCTACATTTAAGTATACCGGCATATTCAAATGATTCTTCAACCAAAGTAAAAATGTTTCTTTTTTTCAAAATTATATTTACAAATTTATAAGAAAATGTTATAAAGGGGAGACAACTTCTGACAAAATTTATGTCAGATCTGTATATATATATAGGGGTTTAATGACATCATTGATATATGTTGCTGATTAAGATTTTATATTAAAATTTAGCTCTGTCATTTTATGACATTTAAAGTCCTAGCTGATGTGGAATTAGTGATGATATAATATTGTCATTTCCAATCAGTGCGAAGCATTTGAAATGAACAAACTATTAAGCCATGACAATACCTAATTGATTATACATGTATTTAGGAACAATTAAAAGAGAGAAATGTGAGAGAAACTCTGGAGAGAGACTTAGAGGAGAAGGATAAACAACTACAGGAACTGTTAAACAGACATTCAGAGGTACGGTCAAATTATTAGAGCATTTAAGGTCATCATTAATATTCAGTTGAATTTTATTTTTTTTATTTTGTTGAAATTAATTTTCATTCATATTATTGACTAGGGAAGAATTTCCAGATTTGGATTTATTGGACTCGTGTTGAAGTGGAGTAATGAAAATGAAACATATTTCTGTTAATTGACATCAAAGGAGAATTACAAATGGTCTAAGTCTATGAAAATAGTAAATAGGAATAGTAAGGCTATTTTTTCGGGTAAAAGTATCATCAGTTAAAAGGGTTAAATGAGTATGAGTAACTCGCAAAATACTTACAAAACAAATTACATTTTAGATGGAGAAGAAATTGGAAGTGTTAAATCTAGTAGAAACAGAGACCAAACAAGAAAACGAGAAATTAGCAAAGGTAGAATGAATTAATATAACTAATAAGATTATTCTAAAATATGAAAGTCTTTAATTGGTTAAAATGGTATAATACAAATTGGAATGAAGTACTTTTTAAGATTTACATTTTAATGTTGATAAGTTTCTCCTTTATGATATATTTTTGACAGTTGTAATATTAAGAAATATGTTTTTCCAATGAGAAATGCAAAATTGAAGGTACTTTGTTCAGGAGAAGCATCACAAGACCTTTGCTTAACATAGCCCTTTTGCAATAAACTACCCCCCTTTTTCCCCTTTTCATAAAAAAAAATCCTTTGAAATATTTTAACTTATATACCCCTTAAGGAGCCCCACAAAGAAATTGTGTCCAAGATCTAATTTTGTATTTTTTTTCAATTTTATTGTTGCTTGTTTTATGCAGTGATATTATTGGTGAATTTAAAAGAAATCCAGTTATGGTTGCTATGGAAATAATTAGAATATTACCCTTCATTGAAAACTGGACTAATTCAATTCTAAATATTGATGTAGATTAGCACATTTTGTATTGTTTGAGAATAAAAAGGCTGCAATTAATGAACAAGCTGATTCTCAAACAGAGATCATTTAATAGTTGGGTGTGGTTTCATCAGTCACTTCACTTAATTTTAAATCTTCTTTAATTTCAGGATAAAGAAGAATTAGAGGACATGTTGATGAAGTCTCAGGTTGGTTTAGAAGATTCTAAGATGTACATAGATCAACTCAGACATCAACAGAAAAAGGAGAAACAAGACCGAGCAAGGTAAATATATGGCAGTATCAACAGAAAAGGGAGAAAAAAGACAGAGCAAGCTAAATACATGGCAGTACAATTTTGGCAAGGACAGAATATGTTTACAAAACATTAGTGACAAAAAAAACATTAAAGAGAATGTGTTAGGAATCCCTCTGTTGTATAGATTCTCAGCTTTATTTGCATTGATGGAATGATGGTTACAGTGATGAAGAAAACTTCATCTGATTACAGTAGTTGTCGTCTGTTTATGTAGTTCATACATGTTTCTCGTTTCTCGTTTTTATATAGATTAGACCGTTGGTTTTTCCGTTTGAATGGTTTTACACTAGTAATTTTTTGGGGCCCTTTATAGCTTGCTGGTCGGTGTGAGCCAATGCTCTGTGTTGAAGGCCGTACCTTGACCTATAATGGTTTACTTTTATAAATTGTAACTTGGATGGAGAGTTGTCTCATTGGCACTCATACCACATCTTCCTATATCTATTCATAAATCCAAATAGTGAGCTATTGTGACATTGATGCAGTATATTTTTTAGGATGTGTTGATGATATATATTGTGTTATCATTATAGGTCTGCCATCAAGTTAACTGAAAGCATTGCCTTGGAAAGAGAAAGTTTGGTCAAGCAGCTAGACACACTCAAGTATGTATGTTATTATTTTAAAAGAAGTGGAACTGAAAATAAAGTATCTTTCAAAGAAACCACAAAAGTTGATTTTGTAAAGGTCTAGAAATAATGTATTAGAATTTGGTAAAAATAAACAATTTGAATTTCATTATTAAAATATTTTATAAATTTCATGTGCTTGTTCTCAATATCGGTTGCCAGAATTGTTACTGAATGTTTTACATGTATTTAGCTCTCCAAAAATACTTGAGTTAACAGTGGAAAAGAGTTACAATATTTACTTTTTATTTTTTAGAGATGTAAACAAGAAGTTACGAGATGACAAGGACGAGGCAGAGATAAGGCGGGTATATAAACCGTTTGTTATTTTCAGACAGGAGACCCTCCCAGACAGTCTTTTTCTTAAATTTCTGTGCATGTCTGTCAGATCTGTCTAAGTTGAAATCTTTAAAAAAATCTCCTCGACTATAGAGCTTTACATGAAATTTTGTCTTTATAATTCTAAAAACTTATATTATTTCTCAACTTGCATGACTTAACTTTTCATGATCTCTCATCTTTTTACAGTTTTAAAATGTCAGAAATAACAACTATCATTTTCTCTTCCTACATGACTAATTCAGTTTCTTATACTTTTTAACTCAACATTTTACTGTTTTAACTTTCATTTTAAGTTTTAACTTTGAATAGATTACTAATGCCTACCATATAAATTATTGAAGCATTTAAAATTAATAATATTAAAAAAGCTGTTCATCCAATTATTATTGCAGTATATTTTTATATTGATATTTACCAATAATAGATTATATATTTTGATAATGCATGTAAACATTATATTATTGATGAAAACACTGCACATATAATATATTAAATATACCGGTAGTAGGAAGAAAATGCATTTCAGTTTTTGCACCTTATGTATACTTGAACAAGTTAGGAATGGTTATGTAATAAGAATAGAAGGCTGCAATCAGCTATTTTAAATATTTAATATATAACATTTCTTCAGGAGCAGATTTTATAGATTAATTTGATTCATGCAAATAAATTGTGATTGGGGATTACCTAACAATCAAATTCTCACCTAAAAATTTATATTATTGACTTTTTATCATAAGAGTTTTTTTTTAATGAAAATGCTTATAACTCTAGGTACATTAGTTGGTGTTACAAAATTAATATTTTGAGATACAAGTTTCATTCTTACAGGCATCTTTCATATAAGCATTGTATTTATTTAAAAGTAATGGAATTGCTTGAGCTTGTATTTCCAGTGCATCTTGAAATGTTTTCTGAATGAACTCTGGACCTTTTATTATATTGAAATGACTATAAAATCATTTTTATTGGGTTATTCTTATTATTTCAGTAAAATAACTGACATTCTTTACTAATTTAAATGAACAAATGATACAATAAAAATCTTGGTATGTTATAAATATTTAGCTTAATATAATATTTGTACTCCATTTTCCTTTTTACTTATGGCTAACTCTAGGATCTGACCAGTAACCCTGAGACAGATGACCCTGAACAGGTATTCTCCTGCCTGATCTGAAACAAACTGGTTCAAACTGGTTTTACTTCATTTAAACTTATTTTTGTTTGTTTTACTTACATGAAGTTATTGTTTGATTATCAACTTTCAGAGATTCTTAGAAAAAAATAGTTTTCTGAGAACTTACAACTTAGTTAAAAATATATGAAAATCTTTGAAAGTTGAAATGTTTTGTTAGGTTTTATTATTTCAGACATGTTTTTGTGTTCACCCAATTAGTTTAAAATCACCATTTTCCTGCATGTTATTTAAATGTTGCAGTTGATTTACCACCAATTGTTTTTAATATCTTGTTTAGAAATTCCAAAAAGGAAACTTACATTATTGTAGTATTTAAACCATTTGAAAGATGTTTTGGCCACTGGCCTTCTCCAGTTTCTCTGTTATGTTAATAAACTACATTATAGATCATTCACCTTTAACTATAAGCATTTAGATGTTTTTATACATTTAGATCATTTCTAGTGGTTGAAATGTCTTAAAAATGGTTTATATGCAGGATTGGATGCTTTTTTTTGGGGTAGTTTTATTGGGGTATAAAAATGTTGAGTGAAGCCTTGGAACACGCTTCATGCTAAAAAATGTATACAAAGTCAATGCTTTTACAACTCTACAAATTGACACAAAAAGCTTTCAAGTCTTATAATTACATTTTAGCGCTTAAACCAGGAAATTGAGTTTTATAAACCTTTTTTTACAAGTGTTTTAAACATTTCTATGAATTTTTGTTATTTGTTATGGGAAGCATGTGCAGTCATGGATGTTTTGTTTTGTTGGGACATAAGTTACCAATTTAAAATGCCATGAGACAGTCGACTCGGTTGTCTGCCAATCAGAACGATGGAGTCTTAATGAAACATCTATGTAATGATATTACTTTGAAATTGTTTCAATTTTGTTGAACATTATGTTTCTTTCATTTGAGATTTCATACACAAGCTTTGTTGTTACTGTTTTGTTTAGTATAATTAAACAGAAAAATGAATATCGGGATAGCTTATCGCACTTGAAATTCACCAAATTCCTTAATGCTTATTAATCAATAAATAAAAAATGACATTCTCTTAAAATAGTTATTTTCTTGAAGTCTAAATGATTTTTCAAGTGCCAAGTAGTTTTTGTCAGAAGTTTTATTTGGTCTGAAATTTTTGTAATACTTCATTTAAATATCTTAGAATTTACAAAATTAACTGTTGAGAGAAAATTCAGAATTATATTTGACAGTTAGCTATTGTTATAAGCAAAGGAAGAGGAGTACTAAGTGATTGTATTAACACAGAATATCTGTTTTATGGTTACAGATTCTGGAAGCAGAAGCAGGCAGGTCTTCACCAAGAAAAAAAGAATTATTCAAACAAGGTTCAATCCTCGGAGATTACTTCCCAACCAGCAGGTATATAATCTAAAATTAAGAAACTTGTGCATTACGAGGCAATATTTCAGAAACAAGATTGAAGTGCTTTTAACATATATAAAAAACAAGTTCACAAGTGATTACTTTTTTATTCTGTGTACAATATTTGTTGTTGAAAATGAAAATGGACAAGGTGAGATTGAATAGTAAATAACTGAAAACTACCGGTATATGCCATAATTTTTTGCAAAAAAATTACTGTTGTGTAAAAAAGAGGCGAAGGATACCAAAGGAACATTAAAACTCATAAGTTGAAAATAAACTGACAGCGCCATGGCCAAAAAGAAAAAGACAAGCAGACAAACAACACTACACAAAACACCAAAGACTGAGCAACACGAACCCCACCAAAAACTAGGTGTGATCTCAGGTGCTCTGGAAGTGTACGCAGATCCTGCTCCACATGTGGCACCCATCGTGTTGCTTGTGTAAGTTTAATACTCAAGCAAAATATGTACTGCTATTTTATGAATTCTGTTAAGTATATTCTAATCATAAATACTATGAAGTACATTGTAAATAGCTCTGACTTCTTTTTTTTCAAGGAGGAAATTTGAATCAACAGCCGAGTCAATTGAAGAAAGTTTAGATGTAGAATCGGGCAATGAAGATGGATTTTCGGATGACGACATTGAATGTGATGATGACGATTTAATTGAAAATAATTGTGCTAATTTAAATAATAATGATATTTTATATGGGGATTCTGATGATAAAGTAAAAGGTAGTTACTATGGACACGATTCTAACAAACTGGACCAATCATTAAGATCTAGTGATGAAGATGAGGCTGGGAAGACTGATTCTAACAAATCAAGGTCTGTATTTTTCATGCACAATGATCAATGGTTAAACAATTTGTTAATTGAAAATGAGTGCTGATCTATTATTCACTTGCACCAAGTTGCTTATTATACCAATATAAGAATAAGAAGATGTGGTTTAATTGCCAGTAAGACAACTGTCCACCAGAGTTCAAATGACGAGATACAAGCATTGATTACTGAAACAGCAGTAAATGAGGATAGTTGTGTATGATCTACCATCTGTTTGTTTGTTGTTCATCCATACTTTGTATCTGCAACCTTTCTCCAATCTGGCTCAGCGTGGTGGTCTAGTACAAAGCATGGGTAATATTCATGTTACATAAACGTGTTCTTGTCCTGAATATGCGTTTTATTTGCCACAGGACGTTAAGCAACCATCCATCATCATCTACGGTATCTGAATCTGAATTTTGAACAATTTAATTTCCTTTCAGACACAAACCTAAGAGAAAGATACCATCAAAGAAACCAGGTTTTCATCCTGTTAGGTAAGTGTAGAAAAGCTTTGATGTAGTTTTGGCAACAGCATATTTTAGTTTGCTCTTTTGTACTCAGGATTTCATATTATTCTTAAGAAAAAATCCATGTAAGAATCTGATGGTAACAATTAGTAAGAATCAATTAAAAGTAATAATTACTGTAATAGTGATAACATATTGTACAAATTTAAACATAGAGGAAAGAATTGAAATTGAATTTGTGTGATTCTTACATGGGAGTTTTCTACCAGTCAGATAGGAGAGACCACATTCAATAAAAAGAAGCCCTTTCCATCAGAAGCACAAATAATTTTCACTTAAACTAATTGTAATGAAATTTTAGTATACCTCCACTCTTAAAGAGTGGAGGGTACCAGGAGTGTAGGCTATATTGAATTCAACTTGTCCGTCCGCCCATCTGTTCATCCTTCAAAATTTTTTGACACATTTTTAGCTCACCTGGCCAAAGGGCCAAGTGAGCTTTTCTCATCACTTGGCATTCATTGTCATTAACTTTTACAAAAATCTTCTTCTCTGAAACTACTGGGCCAAATTTAACCAAACTTGGCCACAATCATCATTGGGGTATCTAGTTTAAAAATTGGCTGCCAACCAAGAGGGCAGACCTGGCTAAAAATAGAGCATAGGGGTAAAATGCAAGTTTTGTCAATTATTTTGAAAACCGTTATAAATAGAGAAAATCTTAACTGGAGCATAAATGTTCAGAATGTTGAGCTCTACCAATTGTTCATATACATCAAAACTGTCAGACCACTTCTTATAGGAGTAATTGCCCTTAAATGACAAATTTTACTATTTTTTTTTCATTTTTGCCTATTATCTTGAAAATTATAATAGATAGAGAGAAACTTTCAATTGCAAAATGATCAACGAGACAAGTTCTACAAATAAGTCTGCATAGTCCATATCGTCAGTCGTTTCTTTCTTAGAGTTGTTGCCCTTTGATGACGATTTTTACCGATTTTTGTGTTTTGCTTTATATCTTCAAAATTGTAATAGATAGATAGAAACTAAAATAAGCAAAAATTATCAGCAAGACAAGATCTACAATTAAGACGATATGGGGGAAATCGTCTGATGACTCCTTATTGGAGTTATTGCCCTTTAATGACTTTTTTTTACCATTTTTTTTGCGTTTTGCCTTATATGATAAAAATTATAATAGGTGAATAGACACTTTAAATCACAAAAATGATCAACAAGTTAAGATCTACTAACAAGTCAGATTTTGCTGATATAGTTAGTAGACTGTCACTCTTTATAGGAGTGATTGCCCTTAAATAAGGATTTTTTTTACCCTCTTTTGTGTTTTGAGCAAAAACAAAAGAAGATAGAGAGAAACTAAACAGACTAAATGATCAGCCATACAAGATCAACAAAACAGATTTTTGTCATGAGTTCTATTCTCGTCTACAATGTTGGAGAGTGTCCTTTGTTGAATATGCACATAGACCAAGATGAGCGACACTAAGGAGCCTCTAGTTTCATGTACTTCTGAATAGATTGAATGACTTCATATTTGGTTAGCTGTTTGAAAATGGAACTTGTGAGAACTTTTTTGAGTACCTACTTCTTGTTCAAACATACTTTAATTTTTCAATGTGCTGAATGAAATTAATATTTTCGTCGCACATGTGTGCACTACTTTCATATGTGGTAAGCAGCTTGACAGTGATGAGTAGTTTTATGTGAGCCATTGTCGTATCTGTCAGGATAATTCCTGTTTTCCCATACCTTGAATTACGAGTGTGGTATGCTTAGTACAACAATATGTGCAACATATTATTCAGTATCAAATCTCTTAAAAAAAAAAGTTACAGCTTGGGAAAGTTGAAAAAATACGCCAGTTTTATTCTAAACAATTTAAGTAATTTTAACTCTATACATAACAAATGCAATATAATGACTAATCAAATTTAAATTTATCGGTCATCATTCATTTCTCACAGTTGCTTACATTTCACATTGGTTTTAACTGTTGTGCACTTAAGGACTTTCCATGGAAACTACAAAAATTATTATGAAATGTGCGAAAACAAGAAGCATTTTCAAATTAAACATTGTTAATGCAGAAATTGCAATGAAATTGGGAAAAAAATTTGGAAGTTTTTATCCTAAATAAATTGCAGACTTTACTGTTCTTACAGAAACTTTCTATAGCTGCTATATTTGAATTGCAAAATGTCAGTTATCCTCTTACTGATGCATTGCACAGAAAGCTTCCTAGGAAAGTCCTCTTCACATGACTAACTTTCTTATAGTTACTTAACACTAACTAATGATCACCTTTACAGATATGTAGAACTTTAAAAAATGGAAAATTGCACAGTTGTTTTTTGCATTATGTAGATTGAAATATTGACTATTTCACTTGCAGTAGAAGAGTTTACATTCTTTGATAGTTTGAATAGTGTACAACATTTTTTGTAAATACTGTCATTTTGGGGGAAATAAATTTAATCACTACAAATCGAAAAATATCAATTTGTCAAAAAAGACAACTAATTTAAATAATAAAGGTGATCATTAGTATAGTCAGATTTCTTAACATGGTCTTTCCTCCCTAGCATGCATTCCAAGAGACCTGTAGCTCCACCTAGTGGTGATGGTGTAGATGATAGTTATGAAGAAAGTGGAGATAACATTGACATGATGGTAGCTCCTGCTTTCGAGGACAGCTTAGTTTTAAGTCCAACTGGTAAACGTCACTCTATATTTTTTGAAAACTTGAAATCTGTTGACATGGAAACTGTTGCTGTACAGACTGAGGAAGAAATGATACCAAAATCAGAATTAGAAAAGTTTACCTCTTCACTTAGTGTTGATTCGTCAACAAACACTGATATTATTGAATCTAAGGGAGATAATTCTAGTAATACTATTGAAAATATTTCAAGATCTGACACTGTTGATTCTTCAACAAACACAGACATTATGGAATCTAAGGTAGATAATTCTTGTAATACTGTTGAAAATATGACAAGATCTGACACTATTGATTCATCAACTAATACAGACATTTTCGAACCCACTGGTGACATTGAAAATAAGTCTTTAAAAGATATGTCTGTTTCTTGTACCATTGATTGTTCAACAAGCACTGATGACCTAGAACACACAGAAGAGGGAATAAAATCTGAATCTTCTGTCTGTTCAGTTAGTGTTTCAACTAATACAGACTTTGAGGAATATCAGTCACATGAAAAACCTGAGTCAAACTTAGGCCTTGGAGATGTATGCAATGAAACCAATTATAAAACTGAGTCTCTTGGATTGTTGGAAGGTGGAAAGATCAGTGATATAGATAATTCTTTTGAAGTTGGTTCTCAAAAGGATTTTAATAGAAATAAGAAAGATTTCAAATTAAAAAGGAATAACAGAATTTCTGACGGTGATGAAAATTCTATTGAAATGGCGAAAATGAAACCTAACATTGGTGTTTCAACAATGGTACTGGAACACAATGATCGGTTTGTTATACCAAGGGATGGTCCAGTTCGGGATAGAATGTATGTTTTTATTCTTTTCTACATTATAACTTTGTATATTAGGAAATGTGGAACCTTCATGCAGTGGTGACAGTATATTTACTACAGAAGAAAAAATTGTCTCTGCGACTGTGTTTAATAATAACTGTTTTATATCCTTGGGAACGAAAATCTGATGGTGACGGCTTTGAACCTGCAACTTTTTCCTGGGATAAATACCTTAATGAACTTTAAAATGACAGATAACTTGACTGTTCACTGTAATTAAGTAAAAAGTAGATATATACTAACACTGTGCAAGTGGATCTCAGCTTTTAACCTTAAAGCACTATTGGTGGTGGTCATTTAAATTTTGGTGAGATGATTTAAAATATGCATGCATCATTTTGTTTTGCACATTGTGGTATAATTATTGTAGCATGAGAATAAGCACAGTAATCTTTCACATTCTTCAAAGGTTTTTTTTATAACATGTTTAAATAGCTTGTTTTTGGAAGTCAAAGTTTTTAAAGCTTTTTAAATGAAATTCCTTGATATTCAGTTTTAAATTAAGCTCTTTTATTAGCAATTTTTATTTTTTTTCTCAAATTCCTGATAATTATAAATTCAAATTTATTGTGTGATCTATTAGTTTTAATTTTAGTTTTTTGTACAAATTAACAGTGATTTCCATGGCAATGATGAAGTATTACAGGGAACCAGAGGACAGCCTGTTGGAGCAGATATAGAAACTAATGAAAAGGTAAACAAATGAAAAATAAGTATAAATGTTACATTAATTATGAAATTTATTATATAGACTTAGACTTGAATTTAATATATGAATGTAAACAGTATTGAAAATTCATATTGGAAGCTTATGTGTATATGACAGGAAAGCTTTAGCAACATATAGCAAATTTTGTGTCGTCTGACATAAAAGCTGTAGTGTAATATAGGAAATTTTATGTTGCCTGACAGAAACCTGTTGCAACATATAGGGACTTTTGTGTCGCTTAACAGAAAAGCTGTAGCATCATATAGGGACTTTTGTGTCGCCTGACAGAAAGGCTGTATCAACATATAGGTCCTTTTGTGTCTCCTGACAAAAGCTGTAGCTACATATAGGGACATTTTTGTCACTGGAAAGCAAGATGTAGCAACATATAGGGACTTTTGTGTCACCTGACATAAAAGCTGTATTGACATAGGATCACTTTTTTTGTGTTGCCTGACAGAAAAGCTGTATTGACATAGGAAACACATTTTTGGGGGTTTCTCAAAAGATTCACTACTATTTCCACTTATTCATTTGAGATGCCTTTGAAGACTGACACATTTTATTACAAATTCTTACAGTCGGAAAGATTTAAAAGAGCACCGTATAAAGCAAAGTTTTGGTACTTCCATAGTGTTAAGTAAGATAATATTAGGTACCATATACTAAAATGTTATCAGTTTGGTTTTAAAGTCAACATAGCTAACATAGCACAGTATAAAATCATGACTTGTAAATATGTGCAATATGGTTAAAAAGTTTAAACAAACCTCCAAAACTTCAAATCTCTTGAATTGAATATGTTATTTATTTCAGGGCGTTGAATCAACTGTTGCTATGAGACAGAGAATCTTTAAAGTTGTATTTGTTGGAGATTCTGGTGTTGGAAAGAGTAGTTTTATTCACAGATTCTGTAATGATAACTTCAATCCTACATTTAGTGCTACCATAGGTATGTTCAATATTTTTAAATATCAGTGTTAGTGAAGTACTGAGTTTCAGCAGCAAATTATGAAATGAAATACAAATTTTATAATAAATATGAAAAATTTAGTCATACATTATTTGTGTATTTTTTCATTAAGTATTTCATACCTTAAATTTCATAACTTTTTTGGTCACAATTGAAAATTTTTGTATTGCAGATTAAAAGGATTTTTTTTTACTTTGAGGTAATTGTCATAAATTGCAATTAATTTGTAGTGAAATCCAGATATGTTGAATTTTTGTATACAATGACTTATTGTTGACTGCTTTTATTTTACAGGTGTTGATTTTCAAGTAAAATCTTTAATACTGGGTGGACAGTCGATTGTCCTACAACTATGGGATACTGCTGGACAAGAAAGGTGAACTATTTTTCTTTTCTTAAAGTGTAATAAAATAATGTAAGTTCAAGAAAATTGAGTAAATTACCAACGGTCCACACAAACCTACACAATACAACTAAAGAATTATCCAAACATAGACATCCAACAGAAGGGTAGTCAGTATCCTTCTCCATTAATGGCACCTGTTATTGTCATCAATGCAAAGTTGGAACTTGAAAGTATCATGAATAAAAGGGGATATTGGATAAAAAAGCAATGAGATTGAAACCCACCAATACAAATCAACTGCAAATATACAATCGCTAAAGGGTTACCATTTTTACAATAACATTGGATAAGTAATCAAACCATCGGACAAATGAAGTGAGTCAAAATTGAGACAAAATGGAAATAAATTCAACAGATGGAAAAAAACGTTTCGGCAAGTTGCTGCAGGCTCTTTTCTTGTATTTGTGTATAATAATTAAGCATCTCCAATATTTGTCCATGTATAACTAAACAACTTTCCTTATTAACATTAAAATATATATTGTTTTAGATTTCGTAGTATAACCAAGCAGTATTTCCGTAAAGCAGATGGAGTTGTTATCATGTATGATGTAAACTCAGAAGCTACGTATACTAATGTGAGAAATTGGATGGAGAGTGTGCAGGTTTGTATGTTAAAATTAACTACAGTTACCAGGGGATAGGGGGGAATATGTAGGTTGAAGGTCAAGGTCCTTTTTGTCTATTTGACGGAGTAAAAAAGTGAGACTTAGGTATGCTGTTTTTGGTGGCGGTGGCGTCACAATGTATTAGTTTGTGATTAGGTCAATTTATGGGAAACCACTAGTGGTAGGTCAATGATATTTGGTATACAGTTAGAAGTATTAGCATTGGCACACTTCATTTCCATGGAGATTATTTGGCCCCCGTCCCCTCAGTCATGGTCTTTCGACTTTGAAAATTTTGCTTAGTTTACATGTATTAGTTTGTGATTAGGTCAGTTTATGGGGAACCACTAGTTGTAGGTAAATGATATTTGGTATGCAGTTGTATTAGCATTGGCACATCTCATTTCCATGGCAATTATTTGACCTCCTCCCCCCATTCATGGTCTATTGACTTTGAAACTTTTGCTTAGCTTACATGTATTAGTTTGTGATTAGGTCAGTTTAAGGCGAACTACTAGTGGTAGGTTAATGGTATTTGGTATGCAGATGGAGATTATTTGGCTCTGCCCCCTCAGCATACATGGTCTATTGACTTTCAAAATATTTTGCATAGTTTACAGGTTAAAGTTTGTGATTAGATCAGTTTAAGAGGAACCACTAATGTTAAGTCAATGATATTAGATATGCAGTTGTATTAGCATTTGAAGCCTTTTTTCCATGGAGATTATATGGCACCATCCCCTAGTCATGGTTCATTGACTTTGAAAGTTTTACATTGTTTACAAGATAAAGGTTGTGTTTTGGTTAGTGTAAATGGCACCACTTATGATAAGTCAATGGTATTTGGTATGCAGTTTTATAAGCATTGGCATTTCTCATTTCCATTGAGGTTTTTAGGTCCTGCACATTAATTCATGGTTCATGGATTCAATATTTGCATTATACTACCAAAATTACAAAAAGGCAGGACATATCATTGTGTCAACAGTCTGACTGACCTTCGTGATTATTCATATTAATGACAGGATTATCATTTAACAGGAAAAATGTCTTTAGAGTTTTCAAGTTTCAAGATGGGACAAAATCTTTTTAAGTTAAAATTTATGAAGTCACTACATGTAAATTTTTTTACTTGATTTTTTTAAGGAAGGAGTTGAGGAAGGAACAGTTGTCTTATTGGTAGGAAATAAAACAGACATTGCAGAATCAGAATCTGACCGCGCTGTAAAGACAAAAGATGGCAATAAATTGTCTGTTGTAAGTTAATCTTTAATTGTTATACATACAAAATTTGTAAACATAACATCTTGCTGATAGATTTACCTTTGTTTTACCTTCATTATATTTACAATTCTTACTTAAATTTTGTGTCCATTTCATTTAACTTATGGTAAGTTATAGTAATTTCAGAAAATATTTATTACCATTATTTTTTTCTTATATTATTGCAGGAGTATGATGGTATCTTCTTTGAAACCAGTGCTAAGATGGGAAACAATGTTAAAGAAAGTATGGAAGCTATGGCCAGGTAAGCATTGATTAAGAGCCATGTATTACAAAGGAATATAAGAGAGGGTCAAACCTCAAAACTAGTTCTTACCTTTTTTAACAGAATTTTACCAGAACAAAAAAGTGCTTTAGACACACCATTTTCCAATAAAGCCATTTATAAAGTGTTATAGTCATTTTAAAGATAGACCTCTCTGAATTTAAGTTTTTAGAGTGGAAAAATCATATATACATCTATGATAATGAAAATATACATAATAAATCAATACTCACATAAATATTCCTGATTTCTGATCTTAGTAAGGATCCAAATTTTTTTTAAGTAATCCTTCTTCCCATGAAACATCAATCAAATTTTTCCAAGAGATCAAAATCAGTAATGTGTCAAACCAATAGAGATAAATTTGATGCTTAGAATAGAAGAACCACATAGGGGACACGATAATTTGTCAAAAAAACACACCCCTCCCCAAGAAAAAAAACCCCAAAATTAAAACAAACAAAAACAACAAAACAATGTAATATATGTAATATACATTTTCTGATGAAATTTCAGCATTCTAAAAGAGAAGGAGGATAAAGAAATTGAAAAGGCATTACATCTGGATGACAGTGCTGCTAAAAAGAAATTTTGTTGTGGATAGCACTCTATCTGTACATAGTACTGAAGAAAGATCTAAATAATTCCACTTATCAGGGTTCGCTTGCATCGCTGTAAATCATGCTTCCTAGCAAGTTATGGATGAATAAAGTTTTACAGAATTAACGAGAAGAGACTAAGGTTAAAAATGAGCAGTGTATTGATCTGATGTATTTGATATAAGAACAGTTCAGTGAAACTAATTCATGTTATTTTTTGCATTTTTTAAGTTTTACTATTTTCAGAATTTTTGTACAAATCTTTTTGAAAATACATTCATAGTCTCCTGCAGCATAAAGTATTTTTCTAAATAGGTTTTATTTGTCACCAAGAATATGCATGAAATATTTGCTGCTGGACAGAAGAATCAATCAGATTTTTTATTTAGAAATGTACAGAGAAGTGTCATGGTATCCCAGTTTTACACTGAAAGCATTCCAGTTTGTTTCGATCTCTTAGACATGTGTGATTTGTTGATTTTATTGAGTTTAATGGTTGTTAAATTGTAAATATAATTCTATCTTTGTACATTTTGATTTTTGATTATAATGAATTTTGTATCTATCAGAGTCCCCATATCACTTATGTACTAAAATTATTGTAGGCCAAATGAATAAAAGATTAGATTCTTGCATTTCATAGTGCATCCATACATTATCGTTGTTGATTGTATGAATATTTATTCAATATTTTATTTATTTGGCCTAAAAATATATTATATTTTTTCAGTTGCTTTTTATTTATTGTTTTTTATTTTATTGAAATTTTTACTTGCATATTTATTTATGAATAGTTTTAAGCAGAAGAAAGTTGAAAAAGTAGTAAGAATTATCATATATATATATGAGAAAAGTCTTGGTTTTAAAATCCTGTGGAAGAATGTATTTACATACATAACCTTGTGCGATGACCTTGAAAGATTTGCCTAACCAACATCTTCTTGATAAGGATGTAATTTTCAAGCAGAAAACAACAATAAACGCACATGATTTTAATTCACTTGTTTATAGAATTATAAATTTTTACATTTCATTAATTGTGAATTTATCAGTTCACAAGACATTTTAGAAAGTAGTTGTAGTTTCCACAGCATATTTTTTTTCAAATATTAGACATAGCATTTTTAAACTTTAGCCAAAAAATTGATTTTAGAATAAGAAATGTTCAAATTACTATTGATCTCATGTAATAAATCAATTTTAAGAGAAATTGTTACTATTTGATGAAAACATTTACTTTTGATCACTTTATGATATGCAATTCAAATTAATTCCAAAATAAAAAGTAAAGGTGCATGTATATAAAATGTCATTTATAAGAAGAAGAAAACCTTGATATTGAATCATAGTCTTTACAAAAGTCTTGTCCTATTTATTAACTCCTAGATAGAAACATACCGGCATAAGAAAAGTAATTTTAGATACAGAAAAAAAAAATATGGAAGAAATGATTTTCGACTTTTGTTTGAAAATCCAGTTAAATATCAAAATCCTGGCTTTGTTTCAATTGGTGCTTTTGGCAATCACAGTATTTGCCTTGACCTTATATATCTCTATTGGTCAGATTCCTGATTCACATTTTCATTTTTGCTATATATATTCAGATAACATATATTGTTGATTGTCAAAGATTCACAACTAAAAATAGTGAATTGTTTTATTTTCTGAATTTATGTTACTATTATTTTTAAAGAATGATACATTCTAGAAAAATTCTGTCATTCTTATATATAATACTGAATTGTGGGATTTCCAAGGATATATGTAGCAAAAGAATTTTTTAGCTGTATAATAAAGTTTTTGAAAAGGCTGATAGAAATCCAGATAGTTGTTAGACAGCATGTGCAATATATTTTTTACTCACTTTTTCTTCTTATTTGTAAAATCATATTATATATGAGGTTGGAAATAAATTTTCAAGATTATAGTTTGTTAATTTCTTTGTTTGCTCCTGAATAAGTAAACGATTATAATTGAAAACCAGACCTAAGCAAGATAGAAATCCACCTATACCCTGTCTCCAGACATGTGTTAATGTTGTTTAAAAGTTATCCTCACAGATATATGAAATAACTTGATAAAATTTAATACCAATAAAAATATGACTTTCTTCTCACCAAGGAAACATGCAGTTTTTGTCTTTCGAAATGTTGGGCATGTGTCTTGAACACAAATTACTGTTTACATTGAAATTAAAGACATTTTGTCAATAGTTTCTGTAGCTATATTAGGTGATAAAGTTGAATAATCCTGTGTAAATTTTGAAATCTGTCCTTTGTTCTCAAAAGTTTTTTAATGCATAATTTCCTACAGTGGACTTTGTAATGATTATAAATAAAAGGAGATTTGGGGTAAAAGTTGATAAGTCAGCAACCCAACAACATGAATAACCAAAAGACATCTAGAGGTCAATAGACAACTGTCTAAACAATATATCAGGCTCCAAATCATCCACAGTATATAATAGTTGTGAAAGAAGTGATCAAAAGACAAGCAAAGATCTGCTGTAAGCACCAAAATCTCCAGATAAAAACAAAAAATTTAGCTAATGACATAAGGCAATGACTGTCGAGATTCAGGGCTTGGAAAAGGCACCTTTAAATATGGAACAAACTGTGACATAATTGCTTGCATATCAAATTGGAAAAGAAACAACAGATATTGGGTGAATGAACATGTGATAATAGCCCTATGGAATACTAGGCATTATTATACAATTTATATACCTTTCTCATAAGTTGAGGTCTTCAGTAACATTTTCTGATGTGATAGAATGCACATTTTACTTTCAAAAGCACAGTGAAATCATGGGATTTGCTTAAAATAATTTACTTGTGTGGCGAATTGCTACATGAAAAGGTCTCATACATCAATAACTTATCATACATTTGCCAGACTTAGCTTTTTTTGCTTCTGATTGCCATAGTGATAAATTATAGCCATTTTATTGCTCATTAACTTAGAAAAAATAAGATATTTTACTTCCCACTTACATAGTGGGTAGTATTATTTAATGGCCTTGCTTTATGTAACATATTTCTCAGCTTCTGGATTCTTATTATGGAATGCCTAAATATTTGGTTTGGAACTTTATAATGTCAAGCAGTAACATGTATGAATATCTGCCAGGCAGTCACTTCCTGTTTGGCAATACTTTGAATTTTTTATCAACCCACTGGGAATGGAGGTTTTTGTCAATGTCTTATAAAATTGTGTCAGGTGTATACTTTCCACTTTATTGTGTGCAACTTCTTGATTTATTTTGATATTTGTATAATTTTGAAGAATGCAGCTCCACGAAAAAGTGGATGCCCAGCACTTATATCCATACACTTCATAGTAGGAAACTTTACCCTGTCAAACAAGTTTTAAATGTACCTACAGATCCTAGTTAAAAGATGGAAACCTCTAAGTTAACATTGATCATTATACTTTATTGGAGGCATTTCATTAATCTTGAGATTTTCACCTCATTCTCTGATGGTTTTTGGTGGATTACTGAGTCATTGACAGTTACACAGTTATATAAAAGTTTGCCTTGCTACCTAATTAAAAATTAAAACTATATTGGAATATGATTATATACTAAGTAGTAAATACAAGTAAGTATTATATGTAATACAATAAATGGTGATTGTTCGATATCTGAACAATCCATGATGATATCGATATCTGAGCAATGATACACAGGTTTTCTAAAACCCCATCAGATAAACATCTGTTCAAAGTATATATGATATGAGTTTTCCAATATCACACACTATATCAACCCTCAATCGATATAATCCCTAGATCAGAGCTATCAGGTTTATATTGTGTCCCAGATGTGATAATGAACAAACCATATACTATTCTCTATTTACTACAGCAGATATATTCCTAATACACTGATACATGACCATAAGGCAACACCAATCTAAGTTGCACTTTCTTCAGATATTACATTTTGGATAACATTTCCACAAGAAAATGTTTAATTCAGTACTAAAAAAAATCAAATTTGACTTATCTATATTCAGAGTAGAAGATAATTTCTTAATTCTAATTCTATTTGATGTAACAGATCTCTGTGTTAAATTATGGCATTTTGTCTATGAGAGTAATTAAAATCAAATATTTCATCTGCACAATATGAGTATGGGCTAGTGAATCAAAAGTTCTAATCAAAGTGATGGAAATCACTCATGGAAAGATTGGAAGAGTAGTTTGAATAATTTCAAATTCTATTTAGGTACGGTGTGGACAAAAAAGAACATTAATATAGAATTATTGCAGACAATTGTATTAACTGCAGGTCTTTAGAAGGATAAGCACTTTTTCAGTAGATAAAATGAGCTAATGATGCAATTTCTTATCTTAACCTAATGTTCCCTGTTACATTTTATCGTTAGAAGCAGAAGAAATTAACAAATAAAGATAATATAGATAGTGATCCGGCGGCGGCGGTGGCGGCGTTAGCTAACTTCTTAAAAGCTTTATATTTTAGAAGGTGGAAGGGGTGGATGCTTCATACTTTGTATATGGATGCCTCATGTTACGAAGTTTCCGTCAGTCACATGTCCAATGTCCTTGACCTCATTTTCATGGTTCAGTGACTACTTGAAAAAAAAGTTCAGATTTTTTGTAATGTTAGATTCTCTCTTATTATAAGTAATAGGATAACTATATTTGGTATGTGCGTACCTTGCAAGGTCCTCATGCCCGTCAGACAGTTTTCACTTGACCTCGACCTCATTTCATGGATCAGTGAACAAGGTTAAGTTTTGGTGGTCAAGTCCATATCTCAAATACTATAAGCAATAGGTCTAGTATATTCGGTGTATGGAAGGACTGTGTAACGAAGTCAGTAAGTGGATAAATAATTTTTATTATGTAATTACAAAGTTAAGACTGTTTCTAAAGTTCAAATGTTCGATTGTTCACAAACTGTCTTTAAAGTTGAATTGTTCGAATGTTCATATCGTCACACGGACACGTGATCGTATAGTGGTATAACTGTTCGGTCCTGACTGAGTAATTCGGATGGTTAGTGAATAAATTCCAGCCTACCCACAAGGGGGGAGACCTTGGCGGATCTCCTGTCGGAATCTATCTGTACGAATCTATCTGTACAAATCTATCTGTACAAATCTATCTGCCGTTCGAGTCCAAAGCTGGATCTTATATAGTTCAGTGGTCCATAGCTGTAGGCCGGTTACGTAGTAGTCTGGTTGTGGAGTAATACTAGTCTGTGGTTAATTGTCAAACTATGCAATTAACCCCTGACGGATACATGTTATTTCACAGTAGACATGGTCATTTATTGGCTGCAGGGTATATGTCTATAATATTCGTACAGATTGTTATTAAGTGTCTAAAGGTTACATGTAATCGTTTCGGATTTGCTGTATTTAGTTACTTCCTGATGATTAACGTATGGAACACAATTGTGTTACATAATGCCTTCCATCCAAAATAGAACGAAAGTTCGGTAAAATACGATAGTTTTTCTTCCTGTAGGTTATTATAAATTCTGTAGTTTTTTGTTAAGTCTTCTGTAACCATCACCACATATATAGTTCATAAAATTCGGCAAATCCAACATCTGGATACATAGAGTTCATATGGTTCATAAAGTTCAATATTTGGGTATATATTGTGCATACTTTTTCCCGTCACCATTATAGCATATTATTCATCAACTGCTGGAAAGGGCACACATCTTTGTACACGTGTCGGTCATCATCATCTCCATTACGAAGTAGTTGACGCATCTAGCAGGTTGGTTCATCCTTCTTAGAGGCTGTTAACATCGGCCTTCGGTTAAGTTTCGTCCTTGATCAATGGCGCAGAGAAAGACATCTCTCTGGAATCAGTAACATCTGTCCCGTCCCAACCAATCACGTAGACACCATTTTGTACTCATTGTTCGTGGCATTAGAACCAAAACTCACACCTTTCTTTTTGGCCAACCAAGATATATTCTGAACAAATTAACAGTACAAAAATATGGCTATTCCAATGAAGATCGCACCTAAACCCCACTGATAAACTTATCTCAATTTGGAAAAACTTGAACTTGTTAACTTCCCCTTATTTCTTTTTTTTATTTATCAATCAGATTATTGATAGTATGTTCACTCGCCTTTAGTTCGCTGGGTTATTCAAGCCTAGCAACATTTTGTAAAACAATTCCTATATATAAATCAATACGTTCTTTTTTTATATCGAATTACCTGTTTAAAACAAAAAAAATAAAAGGGGGAAACTGTTGTATACAACTTCTACAAGTTTGAGAATCCTACATAATAAAAACAAAGATATGTTTATTTACACAAGACATAAGAACATATTTACAAATTTACAATCAAATAAGTTCAATTGGATCATTTTATATAACCCCTACACCTACATGATACCTATAAAAAAAAATACTAAAAATTATATGCGTTACTTTTTAACCAATTGTAATACTTTTACGTCTTTAACTTTAGTTTCTCATTAATTAATCTTAATGCTAAATGTAGTCCACAAATTAATTCAGGCTCATCACTCTTAAATCGTTTACATTTCCAAAAAAATGTATATAGTTTCCTCATCATAGTCTTTCCTTTCTTTTTTTATATATATCATTTTAATTTGCTTTAAAACATCAGCAACCTACTGCCTTTCCTTTTTATACATTTCATTATGACTGAATGTTTTTATTCATTCTATTTTTTTTTTAAACTTGACTTACTTCTTAAAAACCAAAACAATTTAAAGTTTGTTCTATGCTTATTTATGTACAAAACCCATTGTTTAGACTCATTTTTTGTTTTACTACTAAATTAATTATTTTCTTATTCTTATTTTAATTTCTGATAATTATCCTCATAATTGTTTATAAAAAAAAATCAATTTTATTTTAATGCTAGTTTTCCTTTAATATCAATTATCTATTTCACTTAAAGTTTGTCATTTGTCATGAAGTTCATGTGTCTCTCATTTTTTACAAATATCAATCTACCACAAAAATACTGTAATTCCCTTAGGGCAAAACATATCAACATTTATCTTTAATGTGCTATTTCCTGAAGATACTTCTCTTTATCTATTAACATTTATTTTTATGTAAATAAGGCGTTATCTAACACCATAAAACAACTTGCACCATTTAATTACTTAACATCACTTATGTTAATCGTCCGAAGAAGGGGTTGGAATCTAAAATTATAGACTATTTGTTTTCTCTAAACAAATGTGCATACACACTACCCAACTGCGTAAACCATAATCGTCAATGGCTATAGCATCGCAAACATATGAACCCACAATGTACCCTTAACTTCATCTACCAAAGGTTCTAAATCAACCTTCATATATACCGGTGCTCTACTAATTTTACGTAAGATATATATTTTCTAGAATAATTGAATGTATCTTCAAGAAAACAACCCATAATATATATGATCAAAAACCATAAATACGAAAAAATGCTATAGTATCAGACATTTTACTTTTTTTTATTACATATTTACTCTAAACGAAAAACTAGCTTCTTCAAACTTAAAAAAAGAGTTTTATTTTAAAGAATCATACTTATTATATATAACGTATCCTATCTATTAAATAACTGCATATAAAAATAACTAAAAAATTATCTTCAATTGTTTTAAGAATATGTGTATTCATAATTCTTAAATTGACGTACAATTTCTAAAAATACTAATAAAAAAATTTCGTGCGAACCACAGCTCGTGAACAAACTTCTGATTTTAAGCCTTTTAGATATACGGCCTCATTCCCTTTAAAATTAAAAAACTGTACTTAACATGTGTGCCATCCCTTGAAAAGCCATTTCTACTTTTTGCGCTGACATAGAAATATCTTGATTGTCCATAAACAAAAAAAATGAAAGTAACTTAGTTCTTACGTTTTATATTCCTTTGCGTTGTTTTAGCCAATCCAAGTCGATCCTGGTCTAGACGGCATCAATTTTACGACTTGTAACGAAGTCAGTAAGTGGATAAATAATTTTTATTATGTAATTACAAAGTTAAGACTGTTTCTAAAGTTCAAATGTTCGATTGTTCACAAACTGTCTTTAAAGTTGAATTGTTCGAATGTTCATATCGTCACACGGACACGTGATCGTATAGTGGTATAACTGTTCGGTCCTGACTGAGTAATTCGGATGGTTAGTGAATAAATTCCAGCCTACCCACAAGGGGGGAGACCTTGGCGGATCTCCTGTCGGAATCTATCTGTACGAATCTATCTGTACAAATCTATCTGTACAAATCTATCTGCCGTTCGAGTCCAAAGCTGGATCTTATATAGTTCAGTGGTCCATAGCTGTAGGCCGGTTACGTAGTAGTCTGGTTGTGGAGTAATACTAGTCTGTGGTTAATTGTCAAACTATGCAATTAACCCCTGACGGATACATGTTATTTCACAGTAGACATGGTCATTTATTGGCTGCAGGGTATATGTCTATAATATTCGTACAGATTGTTATTAAGTGTCTAAAGGTTACATGTAATCGTTTCGGATTTGCTGTATTTAGTTACTTCCTGATGATTAACGTATGGAACACAATTGTGTTACAACTGTAAGGTGTACATGTCCAACTGGCAGGTGTCATCTGACCTTGACTTATTTTCATGGTTCAGTGGTTATAGTTAAGTTTTTGTGTTTTGGTCTGTTTTTCTTATACTGTATGCCATAGGTCTACTATATTTGGTGTATGGAATGATTGTAAGGTGTACATGTCTAGCGGGCAGGTGTCATCTGACCTTGACCTCATTTTCATGGTTCAGTGGTCAAAGTTAAGTTTTTTGAGTTTTGGTCTTTTTTTCTAATACTATATGCAATAGTTCAACTATATTTGGTGTATGGAAATATTTTATGATCTATTTGGCAGTCACGCAGGTTTTATTTGACCTTGACCTCATTTTCAAGGTTCATTGCTCAGTGTTAAGTTTTTGTGTTTTGGTCTGTTTTTCTTAAACTATAAGCAATAGGTCAACTATATTTGTTGTATGGAAGAATTGTTAGCTGTACATGCCTGCCCAGCATGGTTCATCTGACCTTGACCTCATTTTCATGGTTCATTGGTCAATGTTTAGTTTACTTGGTTAATGTTAAGTTTATGTGACAGTTGTAATAAAGCTTTATATTTAGGACTATCAACATAATATCAATGATTAGTAAAGAAGGCAAGACATTTCAGCGTGTGCACTCTTGTTTGATTTAATATCTCTGAGAAAAGAACATTGAAAATGTACTTTTTCAACATAAACAAATCAAAATACCTATTTTATTGAAATAGGGATTCAATGACTCCTTCATTGCGAAAATATACTTCTTGTATTCAAATGAATAATATTGTTAATCAAAGTACTGAAGTACTGAACATCGGATGACCGCAAGTTCTTGTGGATGGTCAAAAGCACTTGTCACAGAAAAAAATCACATCTCTATACCTGAAACTGAGGTTAATGTACAGAGATATATTTTTTTCTGAGATGAGTTCGTGTGTGGATGATGAATAGATGACAGGAAATTCAACCTCACCGTAATAACTATTATATTGTAGTGATGCAAATCAGTATACACTGGTTTGTTGTTATATATTATATTAATATAACAGTTACATATATATATAATTTTCATCCATTTGTATATCATTCTATTATACTATTCTAATAATAGTGCAGTGCAAGTGCATGGTGGACACTCTTCTGTAAAAATTTGATTTTTCTAAAAGATTGGATATGAGTAGGCATTCATATTTTCCCACAAAAACAATTACAGAGTTACCGGTCCTTGTCTGGATTCTTGAGATATTCTTCCGCATGCTTTAACACAATTTTTCGGTACGTGTGCATAGATATTATCAATGATTTTTTACTTATATATATATATCTAACGACAAAACATTTTCATATTATTAATTTATGTTCTAAACAAAAATATTTTTATCAGTATTCATTGAAGAGATGTATTTATAACAAACGATAAGGAATGTTAATTTGCACTCATTAATATCAGCGTATTTATCATGTTCATAGATCGGTTACAAACCCAAAACGAAAGTTACATAATGGAAATCTAGGCGATAGCAATACATCGGAATGCCCTCACGGTCATCACGATGTAAAAAGGAATTTAATGGGGAATAAACTTGAAAATATTGGTTTGCTCAGGATAAGAGTTTTGAAATTTTACTTACCGGTGTCATATGGTATTTTGAACCCCCTGAAAAGTGAACCCGGGGTCAAAATACTATATGGAAAATTGACCCTGGGGTCATTATACTGCATGGTATTTTGACCCCGGGGTCATTTTTCCCATATGGTATTTTGAACCACACCATGGAAAATTGAACCCCCCTGTTTTAGATAATGAGTATTGCAGATTATCTAATTTACAATATGTTGGCTATGATTTTTTTCTAAATTGGAGGTCCAATATACCATGGCAGGGGGGTAAAAATACCATGGCTAAGTAAAATTTTCAAAACATCTTTTCCGGCATGTTAAATACATACAAACTACTTATTGGAGTATTATTACTACAGTTCTGCCAACTTTTAATAATGCAAATGCGTGAGATTTGGCCAAAATCGTAAAGATCAAAGAGAAAAAACAATAGATCAAAGGAAAATGCTGCCAAATAAGCATGAAAATGTGTGAGTCTCACGCTAAATGCGTTAGACTTGGCAGCCCTGTTACTATGTAAAGGAGTTAGAATAGCTAAAATTTTTGAAATTAGAGGTCTATAGTAGGGGGTTCAATATACCATGACAGGGGGGTCAAAATACCATGGCTAAGTAAAATTTTCAAAACATCTTTTCCAGCATGTTAAATACATACAAACTACTTATTGAAGTATTATTACTATGTAAAGGAGTTCTAATAGCTAGAATGTTTGAAATTAGAGGTCTATAGTAGGGGGTTCAATATACCATGGCAGGGGGGTCAAAATACCATGGCTAAGTAAAATTTTCAAAACATCTTTTCCAGCATGTTAAATACATACAAACTACTTATTGAAGTATTTACTATGTAAAGGAGTTAGAATAGCTAGAATTTTTGAAATTAGAGGTCTATAGTAGGGGTTCAATATACCATGGCAGGGGGGTCAAAATACCAGTAGTTTTACTGAGCCATGGTAATTTGACCCCCTCCCCCTTTTTTACCATGGTAAATTTAACTCCCTTTATTTGTTAGAATTTCAAAGCATTCAAGGTACATGGTCTAGTCATAATGCTTCAATAAGTATTTTGTTTGAAATTTTGTTGGTAAAGTCTTCAGCATGTTCAGAGCACTTATACCAAGCCATGGTATTTTTTTTTATTTCCTATCATGGAAAATAAAAGTACCTCCCATTTTTGTATGTCTGATTTTCAATCTATAATAATCTTTAAAATAATGTATAATGTTCTAATAATTATCTAGAAGGAAAAAAACATGGGGGTTCAATTTACCATGGGGGTCAATTTTCCACACAGGGGGGGGTTTCAATTTACCAGGGGTTGGGGGGTTGGAGGGTTCATTTTACCATAGCGGTATTATGACCCCGGGGTCAATTTTCCATGGGATTCAAAATACCATACAACACCAGTACTGTTTCAAACCAATCACTGATAAATTATTGATTAATCACAGATGATTTATATCATTTATCTTTCAGACATAACTCATCATAGAATCATATTATGATACATAGAATCATTTTATGTAGGGTATATCAAAAGTAATAGACAATGAAGATATCATTTCTATATATCAAACATCAAATATATGCATTTGTGTCGTCAAATAATGAGGTTGAGTATTCTTGTATTGAGATGTATAATGAAGGGTCTTGTTTAATTGTGTAAGACTGAGGTTGATTAGTAATTTCGTCAATATGATTGGCATTTAAGGAGGAGGGAGATTCAAACTAAGTCCCCAAAATGTCTGTGATTGTTTGGTGATCATGGGAGTTGTCAATCATACTGGTACTGTATCATTACTCTTACCTAATTAATTTGCAAATAATGCAAATTGACAAAACTTAAACATAACATACTTGAATCAAATGCTCCAAAGATATAACCTAAATTTTCCACAGTTCATATGTGCATATGTACACAGACAGGAGAATTATAGGGAACTTATAGTATTTCAATGTGTATACATTTTGTATATTTAGTAGCTAGTATGTGCTACTTCCTGTTTTGGAGGCCAGTGCCTTAGGAAAGACTTGGAACAATTCTAATCTTTCCAAAAATTATTATGGTGTGGCCTTACCATTGTTCTCGTTATAGATCCACTCCATCACTCCAGTGACCTGCTGTAACAGGATAATAAACAACCATTCTGAGAGTATTGCATGGCAATACATAGTCCCCTACCGGTTAAAAATTAATTGTACTGGAACAAAATGCTAACTTGATCTATAACTTGTCATGATGTAAACTATATACCAATTATCAAGTCAATATCTTCAAGCATGACGAAAAAAAAGTGTGGAAAACTGATCATTTAAGTGAATTTTCTAAGTCCAAGGACCATAACTCTGCACAAAATCACGAGACTGGAACAAAATTCGAACTTGGTCTGTAACTTGTCATGATAAACTATATACCAATTATCAAATCAATATCTTCAAGCATGACGAAAACAAGAGGCTCTCAAGAGCCTGAATCGCTCACCTGTATTTCAGAGGAGAAGATTTTTAAATGTTAGCAAACTTGATGAACAAATTGTGTAAAATTGTCTTTAAAGGGCAATAACTCCTTAAGGGGTCAATTGACAATTTTGGTCATATTAACTTTTTTGTAGATCTTACTTTGCTGAACATTATTGCTGCTTACAGTTTATATATATCTATAATAATATTCAAAATAATAACAAAAAACTGCAAAATTTTGTTAAAACTACCAATTCGGTGGCAGCAACCCAACAATGGGTTGTTCGATTCATCTGATAATTTCAGGGCCGATAGATCTTGACAAATTAAACAATTTTACCCTATGTCAGATTTGCTCTAAAAGCTTTAGTTTTTGAGATATAAGCCAAAAACTGCATTTGACCCCTATGTTCTATTTTTAGCCATGGCGGCCATGTTTGTCGATGGATCAAAACTTCGGATACAATTTATAAACTAGATACCCTAAGGAATATTTAGTTAAAGTTTGAAGGTATTTGGCCCAGTAGTTTCAGAGGAGATTTTTGAAATAATTTACGACGACAGACGACGGACGACGACGGACGCCAAGTGATGGCATAAGCTCACATGGGGCCCCCGATGAGCTAAAAAGTGTGGAAAACTGAATATTTGAGTGAATTTTCTAAGTCCAAGGACCATGACTCTGCCCAAAATTATCAGACCGGAACAAAATTCGAACTTGATCTGTAACTTGTCATGATAAAACAATATACCAAATATCAAATCAATATCTTCAAGCACGAAGAAAAAAATTGCAAAAAACTGATTTGCTGGACTGACGGATGGACAGACGGACAGACAGACGAAGGAGTGCAAACCTAAAGTCCCCTTCGACTTCGTAGGTAGGGGACTAATAAAATATCAACTTTATCAAGTCAGTGAAGCATAAAAGAGTTTTACATATTTTTGTGTTGAGACTCATCGTTTTACTATAAAAAAAAGAGATGGCATACAAAGTTAAATACTCCTACTTGTAGTACTCAAGATTTTGAATCTTATGTGAACTTAAAACAAAGTAAGTAGAGCATGAAGCATGGTAAATAGGCCAAACTAATCATAATCTTACATCATCCACAGACCTAGATAAAAGTTTGTTTCTTGTAAATTTAAGACAGTTGAGCATACAAAATAAGTCGAAATCTATACTTTCTTATGAAATGACTAGATACTATACATCATCCAATGACTCAGGTAATTCAGATAAAAGAACAGAAAAGTGACAATTTCAAGAAATTTTCAAAGGGCCACAAGTTACAACTTTGCAAAAATCACTCACTTTGAATCACTAATTACCAAATATCTAATCAATTGATTTGAGCATTTCAGAAAAAAAGTGAAGAAGCATGTGCGACAGAATGATGGATGAACAGACAGACGGCTTGATTGGCAGACAGAGTGCAAACTTATATTTCCCTTCCATTTTTCTAGGAGGGGACTTAAAACCAAGTAAAAATGTATGCTTAACTATAAAAATAATCAGTATGATGCAATCAAGACAACTATAAACACATTATTCATTCCATAAAATATTTAATTATATACTGATGATGTACATGAATGAAATAGGAACACATTGGTAAATGTTAGTAATAAGATGTAACAGTAATATCAATAAACAGGAAATAACTGTATTATAAATACACAGCACCAAATGTAAACATGTAGCTCATTACATTTTTTTTTTAACTATATACATTGTATCACATCATTTAACTAAATATCTGAGATATAACTTATATTTCTTGTTTACCAAAACATTGAACCAGCCAGGTTTACCCATCTTCTTTGTAGTAAGATTTTACAATATCATCACCACATGTAAATTACTGCCTAGAATTTTCTAAAACAAGATTGTGTAACAATTCATAACACTGATTAATTGATAAATAACAAAATTATCACAGAAATCTTGAATATCTTATAAACAACTTTTTAGCAACAGTTTTTATCACTTGACTTTACATTTCTGTATCATCCTGAGGAGTTGTCCTGCTTGGTGTAATGCTCTAGTATCTGAAGCTCCACCAATACATTCTCCATTTACAAAAACTCTTGGTACCTGTAATATAGATAATGTTTTATTAGAATTTGTAATGACCATGTGCAACACCGTGGGTATTACATGTGGAGCAGGATAATCTTACCCTTGCAGAGCAGCTGATATCACCCCTGGTTTTTGGTTGAGTTTGCGTTGCTCAGTCTTTATTTATTTTTGTAATGTTTAGTGGACTTTTATTTGTCTCTTCTTTCTTTTTTTCCCTGAGTTTCTCGGTCTCTCTTGACTTATGAGTTTTGATTTTCACTTTTGTATCCTCCACCTCTTTTTTTTTAATAGCTATGAATTAGGAAATACCAAAACATTTTGTATATTAAACAGTATTTGGCTTGAATATTAAAAGGACTACTTACACAAGTTGACTTAAATAAAAAAGATCAATAAAAATATACAGACTTAGTTATCACAAAAGGATTTTGATTTTAGAAATACTTCTTATCAGGGATGGTAAATCAGAAAATATCTTGAAAACTGTAGCCCATATAAGAATAATAAAAAAAACTGAAAAAAAATTATCAGAGCCTGGCACTGTGTCCTGGCATAGTGAACTTAAATTTGTTTTTGTACTTTTTAACTACTTAAATTGAATTTACTTCCTTTAACAGCTAAGTTGTACTAACTGTGTTTTTAAAACTAGTTGTTTTGAACATTGTTTTGTAAGAGTTGAGTTTTACTTTCAGTTTTTTTTCAATGGTTGAGGTGAACTGCCAATTTTTATGTACTATTCAAGTTATACTTACTGTTTTTTGTTTTGTGATGTCAGCTAGAACCTCTTGAACTTTGTGACCAGATTCCATCTTATTGATTTCTATAGCTTTATAAGGAACACCTATCTCATTAAACAATTTCTTAGTGTTCGTACAGTGTATACAAGATGTCTTTGAGAACACTGTTACACAATTATTATGTACATTGTCAAAGATAAACTTGTGCTCCTCTGTATCAAATGTTGGTGGTTTGTTTTGGGACGGTGATGATGACTGCTGTGATCCCATCTTGTCAAGTACAGCTGCAAGATAAATCAAACTGGAAATTAAATATGAAAAAAAAATGTTAAAACTTTTTGAACACAATATGAGCTTCATTGAACCTGTTCTCCCCACAATAAATAGTAAAATCTTAATAGTTAAAATCAGATCATTTGAATAATACTTCAAGAAATGCATGGTGTTTGAGCAAATAAGTTGTGAGTTTGAGTCCAGCTCATGGCAAAGTGCATTCTACTGCTGATCTTAATTGACTGGGATTTCTAGTTTCCTGAATTGGTCAGTGGTTCTCTTCTGGTACTCAGGTTTTGTCCACCAAGTGGCATTAAAGTGTAAACACCAACAATCAATCAACAATTCTAGGGTCAGTGTCAAAGAAATGGTTCTTGTCATCCTTCTGTACTGATTTAATAACATGTCTACAGGATTACAGAATGAGTTGTAATATATCGTTTCTGCATTTTATTTTTTAAATCATGGCACATAATTTGGGATAGTAAGTACTTAGGAAGGTGAGAATTTCATGGTTCTTACTAAGACAAGTCCATGAGTCCTGAACTCATCATTTTCTGAACTGATGAATCCAAAGACGATCAAGATTGTACAATTTTGTTTCAGCTGAGCACAGATATCATTTTATAGCAAAATTTCAAAAATTAATCTAAATTTCCTTTCTTGGCGAAGAGACTGAAATAATGAATAATAAATGGAGAATGTGTCCCCATGGACACAGATGATGCCCCCGCTTGCATACAACATAATAAAGGGACATAACTCAAGAACAATAAAAGTGACGCTACCCAAATTTGTACTTGATCTGAGTTTTGTGGTAATAAGTATTGTGTAAAGGTTTCATAATGTTTGGTTGGGGCAAATAAACTTAAATTAGAGAACGGAAACTAAAAATTTTGCATTTTTTTCCATTTATAAAGAGGCATAACTCGAGAATGATTAAAGTGACCCCACCAAAATTCAAACTTGATCTTTATTTTGTGGTAATAAGCATTGTGTATAAGTTTCATAACATTTGGTTGAGGCTAACTTAAGTTAGAGAACGGAAACTAAAAATTTTGCAATTTTTCCATTGATAAAGGGGCATAACTCTAGAACGGTTAAAGTGACGCCACCAAAATTCAAACTTGATCTGTGTTTTGTGGTAATTATCATTGTGTATAAGTTTCATAACATTTGGTTGAGGCAAACTTAAGTTAGAGAATGGAAACTAAAAATTTTGTAATTTTTCCATTTATAAAGGGCATAACTCTAGAACAGTTAGAGTGACGCTACCAAAATTCAAACTTGACCTGTATTTTGTGGTAATAAGCATTGTGTATAAGTTTCATAACATTTGGTTGAGGCAAACTCAAGTTAGAGAACGGAAACCAATTTTGGGACGTACGTATGTACGTACAGACGGACAAGGGTAAAACTTAATGCCCCCTCCGCTACAGGGGGGGCATAATAAAAATAGTTTTCTTCTCACTGTTATAAAAATAAGGAGATGTGGTATGATTGCCAATGAGGCAACTATTCAACAGAGTTCAAATGACCTGAATATATAAGCATAACAATTTTATAGGTTACCGTACAGCCTTCAACAATGAGTAAAACCCATACTATATAGTCAGCTACATGTATAAAAGGCTCTGACATGAAAAAATTGAAACAATTCAAAGGAGAAACAGATGGCAGCATTTTTTACGGCTCATTTTCAACTTAAATCAATGTTCAATCTCAGTTTATAAACAACAAATTAACAAATGTTTATCAATAATGGACTTTTTATGAGGTCAATACGTTATATATGGACCTGTTCAGATTATATTGACGAGGACCAAGTCCGAGTGTCAATATAATCTAACAGGTCCACATAACGTATTGACTGAGTGAAAGTCCTTAATTTATATATTACATATGTAAATGTAACAGCCACTATGTTCCGTCAGTTACTTTGTTCCGGCGGAACTTTTCAACTAGTTATTTCGTTCCGATGGAACTTTCCAACTAGTTGTTTTATTCCGAGTGCAGTCGAAAAGTTCGCGAAAAAAGTAGCTAGTTGAAAAGTCCCGGAACAATGTAGCTAGTTGAATAGTTCTGGCGGAACAGAACAACTAGTTACATCTTTCCGAATATACCATATTTCGTCCTTTTTGTAGAAAGAGGGGGAAGAATGAGTATCAGTATATATTATGGCAAAACATTAATTTACAAGAATACCCAACGCACTGAAATGGGTTTCTTTGGGGACAAATATGCAAAATTTAAGTTGTATTTCATAGCTCACATAAAACGGAATAAGTTGCATTATCATGCAATTTTAGTATTCATAGTACCCTCAAGAGAGGGAAGAATACCCCCCTCCTCATGTGGTTCTTTGCATCAATTCTCCAAATGGAACTTTGTGGCTGGTTGATAAGTTCCGTTGGAACTTTTGGGCTAGTTTGTTAGTTCCGGTTTTGACTTATTTGCCAAAGAGGAACTTTGTGGCTAGTTGATAAGTTCAATTTGACTTTTGTAATCAGTATCTTGGTTTCCCTTTGAAAGGTTCAAATATAATATGTTGGCAGTTGCGCTTTTGCGGTGCATCAATTCTCCAAATGGAACTTTCTGTCTGGATGATAAGTTCCGTTGGAACTTTTGGGCTAGTTTGTTAGTTCCGGTTTTGACTAATTTGGCAAAAAGGAACTTTCTAACTAGTTGATATGTTCCGTTGGAACTTTTCAACTAGTCACTTTGTTCCGGTGGAACTTTTAAACCAGAGGAAGAACAAAGTAACTAGTTAATAAGTTCCTCCGGAACATTTCGGCTAGTTAGTTCTTTCCGCCCGGAACTTTCCAACGTCAGAACAAAAGAGCATTTACATTAACAGTGTATTATGGAAATTACTTCAATGTTCTCTCAGTGTATTTTGCATTGTATTTTGCAATATTTTTAATATTGACCATCAATATATACCGGTAATAGAAATAGAAACATAGCGTATTTTACGTTGTATTTTGCAAGATTTTTAATATTGACCGTCAATATATATATAAATAGAAACATAGTGTCTATATACTTAAATACCCTTTGAATCACATGATCGTAATAATCAATGAAAAAAAAGAATGCTACACCATATCTTATTTATATGCATATCTACTGATGAGTTTCAAAACCCCTGGATGCACATCTTGTTCAGTAGTTAATGATAAAAAATGTAAGCTTTGGATTTTAATGAACGTAATCTATGTATTACTGGTAAATTATTATGTCAGGGATTTCGTTATCACAAATTACTTAAAACCTTTACTAAATTCTTCCATAGATATAAAGATTTGGTTTTGAAGTTTGGTTGTACTTGTAGAAAACTTATTTCAAACAGGATAGCACATCCTCATTTTTACGGAGATGTTGTTTTCCGAGCCCGGAAATTTAGAAATGATCCTGGTAAACTTATCGATCCTTTAAATAAACTTATGCGACAAGGTTACCAATTCAACACTGTAATTAGATCTTTGAATATTGTTTTTATTGGTATTAATATTGATTTTGTTATCAGTAAATTAAAATCAAACTAAATATTATTGTTATATACATATGCACATTCATGGCTCTACAATCTGTCGATACCTGTATCTTGGCATTGCACAAGGTCATGTTTTTCTCTGGCTGTTTATGATGTCTTTACACTAAATCCATTGGATGTTGGATGTGTGCTGATTGATAATTTAGTCTTACATGCATGATTTTTTTTTTATTAATTGTTATTGGCTTTGAACTAGCTGTCAGTAACTGTGAGTACTCTCAGATCTATGCTAAGTGTCTTTTTGTTGTTGGGATGTACAAGTACCTGTCCACGTCCACTTTGTGTTTTTGTTAGATGTATTTCTATTTGTATCCATCTGATGAGTTAAGCCTTTTTCAACTGATTTTTATAGTTTGTTCTTATGTTGTACTGTTACACCACTGTCCCAGGTAAGGGGGAGGGTTGGCGCCTTCAAACTAGTTTAACCCTGCCACATTCTGTATGTGCCTGTCCCAAGTCAGGAACCTGTAATTCAGTGGTTGTTGTTTGTTGCTGTGTTACATATTTGTTTTTCGTTCATTATTTTGTACATAAATTAGGCCATTAGTATTCTCGTTTGAATTGTTGTACATTTGTCATTTTGGGGCCTTTTATAGCTGACTATACGGTATGGGCTTTGCTCATTGTTGAAGGCCGTACAGTGACCTATAGTTGTTAATTTCTGTGTCATTTGGTCTATTGTGGAGAGTTGTCTCATTGGCATTCATACCACATCTTCTTTTTATATATATTCGTCACTTCCAACCTACATTGAGTGAATTAGTGAAAAAGCTTCATGCTATACTGGACAAAATATTTGTTAAATTAAAATCTAATTAGTTGTCACCATCCCTTTACTTGTACAGGAATTGAGGTTAACTTACCTAAGGAACATAAATTATTTCTAGACTGCAGAATGGTGATCCTGAAGATGTCTGAAACTTTAATAGTGCAGGGATACAGGCACGCTTCTATCTGGTAAATGACCTCATCAGGGCGTGCCTAATTGACAAGAAATGATTCCAGAAATAACCTACTCACAGTATCATGAGTATGAATCTATGATATGGTGGACTCTTTTTTATATACTTCAGTTGAAAGGATCCTAGCTTACTGTGCCAGGGAACCGGCATGTAATTCTGGTTTAATATAGGTGTATTTTTGGGAGGAAATTACTTCATTGTTACATCAATAAAAAGAAATAAGGTTCTACAACATGTTTACATAACATATATATACTAAGTCTATTTGTCTACAATATTTTAGTTTTTAGTATTCCTGTCTTTTTAAGTTCTTTGTTGAGAAAAAAAATACTCCTATGCATGTCTTATGATTCTTTGAAACAAATCTTGCATTTAATCTATAAACTCAAAACATTTCAACCTCAAATTTACCTCAAAAACTTGCCTGTTTTATATTGACCTTTGCTGGTACTTGGACAATTTTTTCAAAAGACGGACTAGACTTGACAAATATTCCGGATTATTTTTTACCTTAATAAATTAAAGTTATATAGGATGTCAACTTCCCATGGTTAAGTGAAATGTCTAAAATAAATGCATGTATGTGAAAAATTTGTCTTTCTCATACTACAACCTTCTCTGGTGATTAATTTCAGATGAAAACTACTATTGGTCTTGTTCCGTTCAGTAGCTGCAATTTGGTGTACCCTAAGAAAATTGCAAACGTAAACAACCAACATGGAAGTCAGCTGATTTCCTGTGCCAAAGTTTTATAAGAATTTGATAACACTTATATATTGTACAAGAAACATTGTCACACAAAAATGTGGACGAAACCTGATGAAGTGTTATTAACAAATGCTCTTTGGTACGAAATACTCATGAACATCTCAAATATAAAAAAATATTTTTCCACTTCCAGGTAGCATGACACATGTATCTGTGTATATCTGTATTTGTTGCAGGAGGTTACTCTTGAATCATCTTTATTGTCAGTAATCCATATTATGTTATGCTGGTAGCTATGGTATTATTTTGTTGGTTTATACCTCTAGACAATGCACCTTATTGCTATTTGTCTGCTATTACTGGACATCACAAAGTTTCCTGTAAAATTTTGACGTCACAATAGAAAATGTCTGATACCACAAAGGAAAAGTGATTGTTGTATGACGTCAATAGTTCAAGTGTCGCAGATTCTCAAATAGCGATAAGGTCTATTCTTAAGGTTGTTTATCATCTAGATAATATGAGGCAGGCGTTACCTGTTTTATTATCAATGTCAAACTCCCTCTCTTTACTATTGTTAGAGCTAATTTTTATACGACCGCAAAAAAATTTTTGTGGTCGTATATTGGTATGACGTTGGCGTCGTCGTCAGGTGTCGTCCGAAGACACATTGGTTTTCGCACTCTAACTTTAGTTTAAGTGAATGGATCTCTATGAAATTTTACCACAAGGTTCAATACCACAAAAGGAAGGTTGGGATTGATTTTGGGGGTTATGGTACCAACAGTAAAGGAATTAGGGGCCAAAAAGGGGCCAAAAATAAGCATTTTTGTAACTTCCAGACAAAACTTGTGTGTTAGTGTATTGATCTCTCTGACATTGTACCACAAGGTTCCATATCACAAAAGAAATGCTGGGATTGATTTTGGGGGTAATTGCCTCAAAATTTTAGGAATTAGGGGGCAAAAAACAAGCATTTTTCTAGTTTCATGACAATAACTTGTGTGTAAGTGTATGGATCTTTCTGAAATTGTACTACAAGGTTCCATATCACAAAGGGAAAGCTGGAATTGAGTTTGGGGGTAATTACCGAAACGTTTAGGAATTGGGGGCCAAAAAGGGGCCAAAAATAAGCATTTTTCTAGTTTCCAGACAATAACTTGTGTTCAAGTGTATGGATCTCTCTGAAATTGTACTGCAAGGTACCATACCACAAAGGGAAGGCTGGGATTGATGATGGGGGTAATTGCCTCAATATTTTAGGAATTGGGGGCCAAAAAGGGGCAAAAAACAAGCATTTTTTTAGTTTCAGGACAATAACTTGTGTGTAAGTGTATGGATCTTTCTGAAATTGTACTACAAGGTTCCATATCACAAAGGGAAAGCTGGGTTTGAGTTTGGGGGTAATTGCCCTAAACGTTTAGGAATTTGGGGCCAAAAAGGGACCAAAAAACACATTTTTCTAGTTTCCAGACAATAACTTGTGTTCAAGTGTATGGATCTCTCTGAAATTGTACTGCAAGGTACCATACCTCAAAGGGAAGGCTGGGATTGAGTTTGGGGGTGATGAATCATAAGGGGGTTTAAAAAAATTTGGGGGGGGGGGATTTTTTTTTTTCCTTTTTTTCTTTTTTTCCTTTTTTTTTTTTCTTTTAAAATTTTCCATTTTAAGTTGGTTATTTCTGATTTATATTTAAAAGCAAATAATAATGATATGGTAGGAGATACACACCAAACAGGATGTGTAAATTATTATATAATAAGTATTGTGCAATAGCAAGAAATTTTCAATTGCACAGTATTGCACAATAGCAAGAAATCTTCAATTGCACAGTATTGCGCAATAGCAAGAAATCTTCAATTGCACAGTATTGCGCAATAGCAAGAAATCTTCAATTGCACAGTATTGCGCAATAGCAAGAAATATCCAATAGCACAATATTGCGCAATAGCAAGAAATTGTCAATTGTACAGTATTGCCCAAAGCTGTATCAAGCTTGAATGTTGTGTCCATACTTGCCCCAACTGTTCAGGGTTCGACCTCTGCGGTCGTATCAAGCTGCACCCTGTGGAGCATTTTATTTTATCGTTATAGTCAAATCACATTTTTGAGCTTCTGTTATGGTGATAGTGTCAAACAGAGTGCAATCTAACCCATTACCTAAGCCATTAAAGATCTGGAAATTATTTCACACAATTTCAGTCGTTTTGAGATGACTTGAAACTTGGGGTCCTTTTTTCAAACTTTCGATTAATTCAAATTAACAATATTGACAAACTTGTATAGATGTTTCACAGCATTTACTTCTTGAAATATCTTAATGTTTTTCTACAAACGTTTAAGAACAATTAATGGAATATACAATTTAAAATTGAAATTATTTTAATGACTAAAAACTAGAAATTTCTCAAGAACTAAATGCATTTACATGTGCATGATGTGTACATGTTCAGAACGAAACATAATAGTTTAGTTCTAATAACTAATTTGTTGATACAAATCTTATACAAAAAATAAGTACAGAATTCAAGAAAAAATTAAAATTAAGTGTACAAAAATTATAAAATTGGATGATGTTCAAGATTGACTTTGAAAAGTCAAGTGCTTAAACATGTTAAATTGAAAATCTAGTTCAAAAGTATGAAATAAAACTCTCTTCACATGATTGTGAAAGATGTGTTTTTTCATTATTGGCTGTAAAATAAAAATGCTTTTCGGTGTTGTCTACTGAATAGAATAACAATGTTTTGATAATACCATAAGTTATCCCATTTTGCTTTTAACAAGGAGGTTTCTGTTAACGCAAACATTAAAGTAAAGATGGGGATTGCGGTCAGTATGACCAAAATAATTCTTTTTAAGCTTCACTGTCTTATTTGATATGGTTGATATTCCAAGAACTTTTGTTTTTTGTAATTCCAGGGTTACAGAGCGGGCCAATCCATTCTTTATCCTTCAGAGGAGGAAAGGATATGGAGGAGGCGGGTTAACAGGACTGTTGGTGGGAACCATAGATACTGTATTAGACAATAAGGTATTATAACACAGCTTTGTTGTTAATTTTGGGAGAAAATTTCATTCAATTTATGGGTTTTTTTCTGTATTTTCTCTTAAAAGTAAAATTTTGATCTCAAAAGAAGCTTGCTAGGCTGTTTAGAATAATAATAGCAAAGGATAAAACATCAAAAGCATTGTAATCAAAAACATTTTAGGAAATTAGTATGTATAAATCATAGAAAATTATAGTTTACATTAGAGTGCCAATTTATTTCCTCGTGGCCTTTGAACCCAGACATTAATAAACAGATTATGATAAAACATGACCATTTGAGTGTTTGTTTAAAATGTGTAAACAGAGGTTCAAATCTAATAAATTATATGTTTATATATAATGGTATACAAACAAATTCTTAATATCTAACATGATGTTGATGATAATTCTTAGATACCATTAACAGAAATCATCTTTCAGAAAGCTACTACATATAAATAAGAAGTTGTGGTATGAGTGCCAATGAGACAACTCTCCATCCAAGTCACAATGTATAAAAAGTTTACAATTATAGGTCAAAGTACGGCCTTCAACATGGAGCCTTGGCTCACACCGAACAAATTCAAAACAGTTCAAATAGGGAAACCAACGGTCTAATCTATATAAAAAACGAGAAACGAGAAACACCTATGAACCACACCAACAAACGACAACCACTGAACAACATTTACAAAAACAAGAAATATGGACTACAATCTGATGTCAATAACTTAAGGCTCAGGGGCTCTCAAAATGTTTTTTTTTTTTTGTACAGAGAAATATTGCATTTTGATAACATAAGTTTATGTGTACTTATTTAAGAATAACTTGAGGTTTAGAAGTAAAAGCACAATATGTACAATAAACTTAAATTTCAGACACCACCATATAGAATATTACACCAAACAACTGAATCAGAAGTCAGTTTCTGTAAGTACTACTTTTTACAATACACAAATGTTAAAATCCTCAATCCATATACCATCTCTCATTGCAATTTTTCTGACAAATTTAAAAAAAAAAAAAAAAAATAAAATATATCAGCGTTGCCACATGATGGTGTCCAATGTCATGTTTTGATACATTCCATACAGCTCTTTATGAGAAAACTGGAATAAAGTCAGATTGAAATAATAGCATACTGTAAAGGGTTAAGTTTCCATGGGTTTTATTTTCTCTTGAAATTTGATTTTTCATAAATGAAGAAGATCAAAATAAAATTGGAAAATTAAATCTTGCAAAAAGATTTGGCCTTTGAAATAGGGAAATTTTAACTTCTACAAAATAAACCATTTAACAGTATCGATTAAAGATATATGTCATTTTGATGAATAGATGTAAATTCATTGGTAAAACATGTTTCATATAATTTTTTACAAATGTTTTTTTTTATTATTTTGATGTCTTTATTTAACTTAGATTTGTAAAAACCACTTTTATCTTATGTTAATATGATCAAGTTATTACATTAAATGTCAGCTCAGTAGTTCTAGGCATTTCTCAACTAACATAGCTATTGTCAAGATAATGTGTATACTGAGATAAACTGTCACATAATTAAACAACTAGGTAAAAAAAATTCAAGCATCTAAATGTTTAGTTGATCTTAGAACAACAATGGAAACATCAATACAGCAGCTGTCATGAGATTGTTATCTTTTTAAAAGCATCTCTATAGTGTTTTTAATCACTTTTATCTACCTTTTCTTCAAACATACACATGTTGCTGTCATAGCTCAATCATTCATGATAGATTTCCAATACACACTGTGATTGCTATTAAATTATATTTCGTCAACAATTCATGACAACCTTTCATTAGATTGTTTTTATTTTTTAGTGGTTGCAGTTGCTAACAACAAAAGGGATATAATAAAAGACTGGGAATGGCTAGAGCAAAATTTGATGGAAATTCTTGGTAATTTAGAAAATAGTTGCAATTATCTTTCATATTAAACCTATGATGTATTGCTTAAAACAAAAATAGTAAAAGATGAAGCAAAACCCAATGTAAAACAAAATCCTTACTTCATAATTTGATTTTTCTTGACAATGTCTAATTTAACTCTAAAGATTAAGAATGTTGAAAAACCTCATTAATATAAAGATAAGAAGATGTGGTATGATTGCCAATGAGACAACTCTCCACCAGAAACCAAATGATATAGAAGTTAACCATTTTAGGTCACCATACAGCCTTCAACATTGAGCAAAACCCATACCCCATAGTCAGCTAGAAAAGGCCCCGAAATGACAAATGTAAAACAATTCGAACAAGAAAACTAATGGCCTGATTTATGTACAAAACAATGAAAGAAAAACAAATACGATGTACAGCCACCAAAGACAACTACTGAATTACAGGCTCCTAACTTGGAACAGGCACATACAGAATGTGGCGGGGTTAACCTAGTTTGCTGGCACCAAACTCTCCCCCTAACCTAGGACAGTGGTGTAACAGTACAATATAAGAACTATTTTAAGCATTGACAAAGAATTAATTAGGTCTTTAAACAGTTCAAGTTTTCTACAATGTACCAGAGTTACAGAGTTACACGAATATTTAATATACTTATTTTACAGGTGCATTTGAAAATGAAGATGATGCAACAGAATTTGTGAAATGTAAAATAGAAAGTCTAAGAGCTAATGAAGTTAAAGTATTTGATCAAGGTACATGTACATTAAGTCATATCAAACGCGAAGATTTGTAGTATATATGCATGAAATTATGTAATTATATCCCATCATATCCAGTTAAAACTATAAAACAGGATCCAAAGTTCACTATGTTGTCTTCAACCATGAAATAACCCCCACACACCAGAGTAAGCCAGAGGAAGTTTTCAATAAAGCACATAAAACTTCTTATAAACAGACATTAAGTCATCTTATAGCAAGAATGTCACAATATGAATTCCATTGCTTTACAGATCTGCCCATAATTCGAGTGCAAAATTCACATATCAGTTTGACATTAAATGACAGTAATAATGATTTAGGATGATCAATCTTATTTCAAAATCTGACCTCTCATCTGTAATGAGGAATATAAAAAGTTGAGAAGGTAATGGAACAAATTTTTATGCCCCTGCCGCAGCTGAGGGGGCATTAAGTGTTACCCTTGGCCTTCATACATCCTTCTGTCCCTCTGTACGTCCCAAAATTAGTTTCCGTTCTCTAACTTAAGTTTGCCTCAACCAAATTTTAAGACACTTATACACAATGCTTATTACCACAAAACACAGATCAAGTTCAAATTGGGTCTGCGTCACTTTTACCGTTCTTGAGTTGTGTGCCTTTATAACATTATATGCAATCAAGGGCATCATCTGTGTCCCATGGACACATTCTCCATTTTTTTTTTTAATTGTGATCATACATTTTGATTTGCAGTTAAACATAATGAGCCCCTTAATGATGCTTTACAAAATTTCCTTGAAAAACAGAAGGAGAAAGGGATTACTGCCCATGTGCAGAGTACTGACAAAAAAAAGCTTAGATTTATGATTCACTTATATATTGATTTTTCTACTGCAATGAGGACTCTGTCTTCATATATGTTGTGTGCAGTTGAAAAAAAATCTTTATTCATACTTATTTGAACTATTCAAGTATAGACTGAAAACAGAAACATTTAAATATATTTTGACTGAAAAGAAGTGCTTCGACACAAAACCCAAAATAATGATAATAATGTGTTTTTTCAGATGAAGAAACTGTGAAGTTCAAAACAGCAACACAGAAGTTTATGAAATTGTTCAACATGCCAAAAGAGGAAAAACTAGTTAATTGTAAGATTAATGTCAATTTATTCTGCTTATATTGAACAGCACGATTCTTATGTATATTATATACCTAGAAAAGTGACATAAACAGTACCGTATGTAATTTCTAATACAAATTACCCTGCAGACATAATTTCAGTGCCTAGAGTGACTTTTAGAAACACCTAATTACTCAAAAGCATTAAGTATCTAGAAGCTCTGATGATTTGTTTATAACAATGGAGAAACCAATACAGTAGACAATTACTTTACAAAAGCATTCTATGTATCAAGAAATTTCATTGACTTGGTTTTACTTTTCTTAAACACATTGGTGTATATGCATACTTTGTTGTTTTTTTATGACTTTTCAGTTCCTTACTGCATTGGTTATATTCAAAAGAAATGAATTTTATAATTAAACAATTTTATGTTACAGTTCATATATTGTATCCCTAAAAGAATGCATATCTGCAAATTATAAGTCAATTTTAAAAAATGGTACTGACTATTTATTGAATTATGAGTTTTTTTAGCATGTGTGTTATAGTAAAGCTTGACATACATTTTTCATTTAGTTCATTGTTTCTTTTAGTTTTTGGAAATTGATACTGCATTGAAACCTTATTACCTATGAATTTCCAAAATGGTTTTCTACACTGAACTAGTTGGAAAATTAACCATAAAGCATGTTGAGGTAGTACAAAGTTATTGATATCCAACTATTCACATATCATTAACCTACCTTTTTGTCTTCAGATTACTCCTGCAGTTATTGGAAAAGTAAAGTACCAAGACAGGGCTGGATGTACCTGAGTATTAACCATCTGTGTTTCTATTCCTTCTTGATGGGGAGGGAAGCAAAAGTTATCATTAGATGGACTGATATAACAGTAAGTTGAAATTTTTCTCTGAAGACTAATTTATTGGTTTTGATATGAAACCAAAATATTTATGTTTAATTTTAGTTTATAGTCCGTTTGACTTCTATAAATCTTCAGAAAATAATTCTTAAAAATTCATTTTTACAAATTAACATTGTCGTTGTCGTCGTTAACTTTTTACATTTTGAACTTCTTCTAGAGAACCAGTGAATGGAATGAAACCAAACATGGCATGAATGTTCCTTATGAGAGGCTGACCAAGTGTTGTTACTTTGTAGCTGATCCATCATCCAAGATGGCTGCCAGCGGGGGACTTAGTTTAACATAGGACCCTATGGGAAATACATACAAATGTCTTCTTTTAGAGAACCACTGAATGGAATGAAACCAAACATGGCATGAATGTTCCTTATGAGGTGTTGACCAAGTGTTGATTCTTTGCAGCCGATCCATCATCCAAGATGGCCGCCAGCGGGGGACTTAGTTTAACGTAGGACCCTATGGGAAATACATACAAATGTCTTCTTTTAGAGAACCACTGAATGGAATGAAACCAAACATGGCATGAATATTCCTAATGAGGTGTTGACCAAGTGTTGTTACTTTGCAGTCGGTCCATTATCCAAGATGGCCAACAGCGGGGGACTTAGTTTAACATAGGACCCTAAGGGAAATACATACAAATGTCTTCTTTTAGAGAACCACTGAATGGAATGGAACCAAACATGGCATGAATGTTCCTTATGAGGTGCTGACCAAGTGTTGTTACTTTGCAGTCGATCCATCATCCAAGATGGCCAGAGGGGGGGCTTAGTTTAACATAGGACCCTATGGGAAATACATACAAATGTCTTCTTTTAGAGTACCACTGAATGGAATGAAACCAAACATGGCATGAATGTTCCTTATGAGGTGCTGACCAAGTGTTGCTACTTTGTTGCCGATTTACTGTTCAAGATGGCCACCAAGATATTTTATTAAATAACGGGACCAATATTAATCCAAATTTGGCCTCAATCATTATTTGGGTATCTGTTATGATTTTTATCTATCTTTACATGATTTCTAAAACCAAAGTAGAGTCAGGTGAGCGACACAGGCTCTTGAGAGCCTGTAGTTTTTCTTGATGTATGTTAATGTATGATATATACGAACTCTGACAATGAATATCATAATTTTGGGCCAATAATCAAAAATTTTACCCATTAGATCTCTATGTTACTTCTATTTTTTTTTATATAAAATACTTGATGGAGTAAGTATGAATAGTGGAACAGCTTTCCATTCAAAACAAAAACATAAGACATGTGCTTTAAACCTGTTTCATTATACCATGTGACTTAACTCATTTAAATAATGCTGACCAGCAAACAAACTTGGACTTCATTTAAGTTTTATGTCATGTGAATACTGAACTTATTGTATACATGATTTTGTATTTTTCATTGTTCAATTTCTATGAGTAACTTTAGTAATATTTTCCACTGGACATTACTAGTATAACATTTTTAAAAACTACAGAGTAGTTTTATGCAAAATTCAGTTTAGAAATTTTATTAAAAAGTTTCCCTTATCATCAGTAAAGGTCTTTATGGTTATATTTTATCTAATTTTATTTTCATATTTTGAAAGTCATAAGCTGTGTTTTTTCAAGAAAAAAGTAAATATTAAATGTATTCTGTAAGTACTTATTGGTGAAACTTTTTAGAGGCTCTCCATTTTGTTTATACTGTCATCATGCTTTAAGCATGAAAAGCTTGCTTGTATTCTTTTATAAGATATATATAAATATATAATCAAATTAAGGTAACAAAACTTAAGATTTGGTAAGTAATAAAAACAAAATAAAACATCTGATTATAATATTTTTTCCCACAAATAACATCTTTGTAGATACATGCAAGTTCATTTATAAAATCATATAAAACCAGTTATAAAAAAACTTAGATGATGGTCATTTTTAATGACATGTATAATGTCCTTTGATATTTAAATGAGTTAAGTCACATGGTACAATGAAACAGGTTTAAAACACATGTCTCATGTTTTTGTTTTGAATGGAAGGCTGTTACACTATTCATACTTACTCCATCAAGTATTTTATATAGAAAAAATAGAAGTAACATAGAGACCTAATGGGTAACTTTTTTGATTATTGGCACAAAATTATGATATTCATAGTCAGAGTTCGTATATATCATACATTAACATACATCAAGAAAAAAAATGTTTATTTGCAAAAATGAATTTTTAAGAATTTATTTTCTGAAGATTTATAGAAGTCAAACGGACTATAACTATAAAATCATGAATTTTTATTACATGGAAAAAAGAATAAGCATATATAAATCTGTCTCTGTTTTTAAAGGACTATTCCATTAATTTCAATTGAACTTACAAAGCCCCCTCACAAGTTCACAACCAACACATAATGTACAGTGTCGTTAAAAATAATTTTGCATGCATCAAATGGACATGAAAATAAATGACTCATGACCCATGTAAAAATATCAAAATTTTTCCTATCCTCCTAAGTACATGTTTTGTTTATGGGTGGAAATTTTTGTATTGCAGAAATTACCTCGTATTTTGTAATTGTTACTGAACATTCTTTACTGTATTTTACAGTTGTTATGCATTTATTTTAGAAATTAGAAGTTGGCAACAATATGCTGTTCCCTGATAGTGTCAAAGTTACAACCAGAGAAGGGGAGGTAAATGAAGTTAAAATTCCAGACAATTTGTATAAAACCTTGAAGTAAAAAAGTGGTCAAAATTTATGTAAAAACTTTTTTCTTTGATTTTACATGTAAAAAAGACTTTAAAAAGGAATTTTGGTTATATAATCGCAACCGCAGGCTTCAGCCTTAAACAGAAATATTTATTTTGAGATGAAAATTATATTTTGTTCAAATTAGTTGGTAATTGAATAGTGGTAAGTGATAGGGCTGAATGAAGTGCTTTTCAATCTCATTTCATTGTTTTTCTAATATTGGAATATACCATTTTTAATTTGCCCTTTTAAAATAAATTTTTCTTCTTACAACTTTTAGAAATAGGCTCTGTTATGCAATTTCAATATCTGTTTTTGTTTAATTCAGTTTGTTTATCTTTATTTATTTCAGTTTTTCTTCTCCATGTTATTACACAGCAGTGAATCATTCAGACTCATGGAACAGCTGGCTAACATGGCTATGAAGCAGTATGTACAGTGTCTAAAATTAGTTTCATGAATCTTGTATAACCCAATATAATTTAATTTTTGATGTAATATGTCTTCTGATTGGCTGACGTTGTTTTGTTTATCAGCTCATAGACATAATTTTGTCATGTGACCGTGACGTCATCAACGTTTTTTCATGGTTTACTCCGGTTTAAAATGGAATTTAGAATTAAATTAAAAGAAATGAATGTAATATTTTTTCTGTCTATTCGAAATAACATAAAAAATGTGGTGCACACTTTAAAATAACTTGCTACGCGGGTTATTCAGTGTGCACCACATTTTTGATGTTATTTCTTCATAGACAGAAAAAATATTACAGTCATTCCTTAAGTATACACTCAAATAGGTCACATGTGTTTTATTTTTGGGATCAAACAGAATCTCTCTAAAAGCGTTATTAATTTTTTTGAGTCTTTGGTAGATATTTTGACATCTATAAAAAATGGTTAAAATGAATGCTTAGGATTATTACTCACGATCTTAAGATATATAAACATATATTTATGATCATGTAACAAGTTCATATTCAAATATACCCTAAAAAACAAAAGAAAAATAAATGAGCAGGTTGTCATTGGCATCAATGTGAAATAAATGGTCATGGAAACAGATTATTTTTAATGACCTAATAATACAGAAACGTTTAAATCATTTAAGTACAAAATAAATTTTAATGACAAATAGTTTTTATGTAGACAACACACAATGCAGAAACAACAAAAACTAGGGAATAAGCAAACATTTTGACATGTTTGTATATTTTGTAGATTAATGCTTGAAGGAGGATTCGAAGAAGACAAAACTATTGCAGATAGAACTAAGTAAGTTATTATGTGTCAATTTTTATGAATTCATTATTACTTAGTTGTGAAAAATAGAGAAATCAATGGGCACACCAAGTATCCAATAATGGAATATGCTTTATTTTTGTCTGATGATATGAATATTAGAACATATGGAGTATTTGTCAGTGAGATAGAATTTAAAAACAAAAATAACCAGAAGACCTCCAGAGGGCAATATAGGGGTTTGAACAGCAGACAGATGTCCATACAATATATGTCAAGAGTCTATAAAAAGTGTAAATATATTTAACTTGCAATCAAAGATCTGTCAGTAGCAATATATTCTTCAAAAAATGAAAAAGAAAGAGTATTTTAAAATTTAAGAAGAGCCGTTTTAAAAGAAATGCATCAATGACACTATACCATGTGGAATCTTAGATCTAATTTATAAAGGGAAAGCAAAATTACAGATCATTGTGCACCTTTTCAATTTAGTTGAAAGTTGAGAAAGTTTAGTTTAAACATATTTTATTGTTCAAAAAAAGGACAAATGGATTAGACACAAGTCTTTCAACTTAGTAATGTCTTCTCCAAAAGTTGAGGAAGAATGGTTAATAATGAAAAAAAAACCAAACTTTTAACAGGTATATTTTGGATTTATTTTTGTGTAACCATCCAATCATTTGAATACTATATACTATGAGTGTTATTTTATAAAATATTTATATTTCATCAATTGCACCATGAATGGCTTTTCAAAACTAACCACAAGTAGCAAATTGTGCATACTTATATTTTTCTAATATTAACTTTACAGAAGGAAGACTCCAAAGAAAATGTCTTCTATAAAGAGAGATCTGGATGCCAGAGCCAGGAGTGATGCGTTCAGGTTAGATTTACCGATGTTTCACATTACAAAAAGTAGCTTTTAAAAATGTTAGTGACATATACAGACATGTTGACTGGTTAAACTTGTCCTAAATCCTACTAATGTATAAAGAACAAATTTTATAAATAAACCCAAAATTGATCAAAATAATCCTTGGATGGTCACTTTTATGAATTATATCCACTATATACAAAAGAAGCTATCCAATCTGGAAAAATAGGATAGAAAGAAAATCAGTGAAAAACTTCTATTAAATAAAACAATTTCGTGAATGATTCTGATTGAACCATTTGAATTAGTTTTTAAAACAATCTTCCAGTTAAAACCAGGGCTTCCAAAACGGTCATATATTCCGGACTTGACCGAAACTTTCATAAAAAGACCGGCTGCTCTCAGCCTCAAACGGTCAAATAGAATTGGTGTGCCACATTTTGTTATTCAAGGCATTTTCATGAAACGGTCATTTCAATTTTTACCAACTATCGATCGATAAAAATGTCCGTTTGGGGCTTTGGGCATGTCCGTTTGGGCATTTTAGTTTATAATTGTGGCAATCTATTTCACAAAGATATTTCGGTCATAATTGGGTTTAATAAAACAGAAGCAGCATATTTCAGATACTTTGAAGTGTCTCAGTTAGTCTAATCCTCTGGGTACATAAATGTACGGCTTGGTCTTTAGCTTGTGTACATCAATAAAAAGTAGAAAAAACACGTTTTCTTTTATTTAAATAACAACAAGCTGTCAAACAATTATCCCTTCAATAAGTTATATTGAAGCCATAAATCATTCACTGATTACAGGTTTGTTACCTTTGATGAGGTGTCCTTAGCTTATCTTTATCAATAGAATTAATGATGCATAACAATGTACATAAAGGTAATCCGGTAAACGAGGTCAAACATGTAAGCGTGTATGGAACAACATCCTATTTAATTACGCTTTATAGATATTATTTTAAATGAGCATTCAGTTTTAAAAGTATCCTGATATTTAAAAGTTATTCTTCAAATAAGGATATTTATAAATGAATAAGTATGATATATATTATTTTATTTAACACTGTACATCGTGTTAAATACTGGGGTACTCTCAAGGGGAAAATTTACAAAAATATATAGGAAAAACCAATGGACAAATTTCAGTCAATAAATAATTTAACTAAGTTAAATGGTGCCGTGATCACTTCTAAATTATATCAAGAGAACAATGCCTGCTCCGAATTTATTCAGACAATTTCCGATGTTATAGAGAAAGAGGTGATGTCCGACGTAAAGTTAATTCCCGCCGTGGGAATTATGATCGACTAAGGTGTAGTCTAGGTATTGACGCTTTAGATCAACTTATGAGGATAAGCTTAGTAGGTGTAGATGTTAAAGACTTTGACCCTGTTCCTGCTATCCGCAAATGGCAATCCGTTCGTAACTGCCATGTTTATCAGAACAATGCATTTAGCAAGCTCATGAATGTAAAATCTTTAATTAGACTAAATGAACTCTAATCTTGTGCTGTGATCTGTGCTTCTTTTCAATGTGCTCATTGTAATATTTATTGCGTGTGTTTGTCAGCATTGTGCTCTTCTGATATTTTATTGTTGTTATATATGCTTACATAAAATATCATGTTGTTATTCATTACATTATTTATCAACTGAGTATGTTTTTATTTATTCCTTATTTTCTAAATCAGGTTGGGAAATTGTACAAAGAAAAATGTTATCACTGTTCAGTAGATTTTACACGGTTTAAAACAATATCCTTCATCGGGCCTCCTCAATGTTATCTATAAATACCGCATCAGTTGTAAAAGTCACGTGGTCAGGTAATAAATACACAAAAAGAAAAGTATCACGTGTATTGATGATCAAGTTGTACTGCAATTAAAGCCAACATCAACAGTTTCAAATAAGATGGCCTTAATTTACAAAGTGTTAAGTACTCACAGAGAGAAGATAGATTATATAAACAGAAACAAAAACATGAGAACAGTCAGGTACTGAAGCTGATTGATGCAATGATGGTTACTGTATTACGATACACAGAAAAATGACACAATACCGAGGATAATATTTTATTTATTTTTAGAATGAAGAAAACAAAACAGTTATAAATAATTTTATTGCATATAACACTACTAATTATTTAGACACATATATCAATTTATGCATCCTCTCAGTTACATTTAAGTATCCAGCTGATCATTGACCGTCATAAATAATTCTTTGAAAAATGTCCGGCTGTCGTCAGGAAATTTTGGAAGCCCTGGTTAAAACCATTTCGAATTTACATTCCAAAATCTAAGATATCAACCATGACTGAAAATTCTTTGTATATGAACTTACTGAATAAAAGTTCTTTGGTTTCTCAAACGTTGGGTCTTGAGCCTACTTGATGAATTTTATTTCATGTGTTGTGCACAGGGAAATAGGTACCATAAGTTTATAGTATACATTTAGACATCCTTTGACCAACACATTTAAAAATAATTTCAATTATTGAGTTTTTGATATTATGCAAAGATGGCAGATTGGTAGTTTGGTTGCCCTCTCACTAAAGTACTCACCACATTTGCTTTTATTCAAATTTCAAATATTTTTCCTCTCTTATCAGGGACTAAAATTTAGTTTTTGTTTTTGTTTTGGTGTCATGATTTCTATTCAGACTTTCTCTTTCAAGCTAGTTGATTATTTAGACAATATGATTATACTTTCAGGTCATTATTTAGATTGCCTTTATCTGCCAAATTAGATGGTGATGTAGACTGTATGATACAGACACCATATAACAAACACTATGTCTGGGGAAGGTTATATCTGTCTTCTGGATATATCTGTTATGGAAGTAGGGTAAGTATGGGGAAGGTTATATCTGTCTTCTGGATATATCTGTTACGGTAGTAGGGTAAGTATGGGGAAGGTTATATCTGTCTTCTGGATATATCTGTTATGGTAGTAGGGTATGTATAGGGAAGGTTATATCTGTCTTCTGGATATATCTGTTATGGTAGTAGGGTTAGTATGGGGAAGGTTATATCTGTCTTCTGGATATATCTGTAATGGTAGTAGGGTATGTATGGGGAAGGTTATATTTGCTTCTGGATATATCTGTAATGGTAGTAGGGTATGTATGGGGAAGGTTATATCTGTCTTCTGGATATATCTGTAATGGTAGTAGGGTATGTATGGGGAAGGTTATATCTGTCTTCTGGATATATCTGTAATGGTAGTAGGGTATGTATGGGGAAGGTTATATCGGTCTTCTGGATATATCTGTTACGGTAGTAGGGTATGTATGGGGAAGGTTATATCTGTCTTCTGGATATATCTGTTATGGTAGTAGGGTAAGTATGGGGAAGGTTATATCTGTTATGGTAGTAGGGTATGTATGGGGAAGGTTATATCTGTCTTCTGGATATATCTGTTATGGTAGTAGGGTAAGTATGGGGAAGGTTATATCTGTTATGGTAGTAGGGTATGTATGGGGAAGGTTATATCTGTCTTCTGGATATATCTGTTATGGTAGTAGGGTAAGTATGGGGAAGGTTATATCTGTTATGGTAGTAGGGTATGTATAGGGAAGGTTATATCTGTCTTCTGGATATATCTGTTATGGTAGTAGGGTAAGTATGGGGAAGGTTATATCTGTCTTCTGGATATATCTGTAATGGTAGTAGGGTATGTATGGGGAAGGTTATATCTGTCTTCTGGATATATCTGTTACGGTAGTAGGGTATGTATGGGGAAGGTTATATCTGTCTTCTGGATATATCTGTTATGGTAGTAGGGTAAGTATGGGGAAGGTTATATCTGTTATGGTAGTAGGGTATGTATGGGGAAGGTTATATCTGTCTTCTGGATATATCTGTTATGGTAGTAGGGTAAGTATGGGGAAGGTTATATCTGTTATGGTAGTAGGGTATGTATGGGGAAGGTTATATCTGTCTTCTGGATATATCTGTTATGGTAGTAGGGTAAGTATGGGGAAGGTTATATCTGTTATGGTAGTAGGGTATGTATAGGGAAGGTTATATCTGTCTTCTGGATATATCTGTTATGGTAGTAGGGTAAGTATGGGGAAGGTTATATCTGTCTTCTGGATATATCTGTAATGGTAGTAGGGTATGTATGGGAAGGTTATATCTGTCTTCTGGATATATCTGTTACGGTAGTAGGGTATGTATGGGGAAGGTTATATCTGTCTTCTGGATATATCTGTTATGGTAGTAGGGTAAGTATGGGGAAGGTTATATCTGTCTTCTGGATATATCTGTTATGGTAGTAGGGTAAGTATGGGGAAGGTTATATCTGTCTTCTGGATATATCTGTTACGGTAGTAGGGTATGTATGGGGAAGGTTATATCTGTCTTCTGGATATATCTGTTATGGTAGTAGGGTAAGTATGGGGACAGTGGTTAAAAGATATCTAATATTATAGTACTATAAGGTAACATTCAGAATAAAAATCACATGATCTAAAAGTGGATCTTTATTTGAATATATCAAGTTAATGGACAATCTCACACAACTGCTCTGATTGCCTTTTAGGCAATGCTTAGTTCATTTTAAAAGTTTATATCTTGTAATCTTTCAATCTTGTAACAGGTACCAGATTTGGTGACTGTTGTATTACCTATCAGAGAGATACAGTTGGTAGAGAAGAATGACAACACATCAGGAAATGAGCTGGGCAATAATGCTCTGATTATAACTACAAAGGGAAAGGTATAATCTGTATAGTAGTGCTTTACAAATAACTACAAAAATAAAAGGTATAATCTGTATAATAATTCTCTGGTTATAACTATAAAAGGAAAGGTATAGCCAATGCTATATGCCAACCTCTAAATAGCTTAAAGTCAAGACAATATATAGATTTACATAAATATAAGCCATACAAAGCAATCTGATCTTTTCATTGTTAAAGTAAATTTACAAGTTATTTGCATGTTGTTTGACAAGCATCCAGAAAACAAGTTCACAGAATTATCAGGAACCAACATTTGCTGTTTCATTAACGCATAAAATATCTGACTATTTTTTATTTTAGAGCAACTACATATTTTCCCAGTTGCCACAGAGAAAAATGATTTTGGAGAAGATATCAGACTTTTTATCAAGTCAGCATATTCCACAAAGGTAAAGGAAAATTTCACTTTCTTTTTGATTGCAACACTTTTTGCTGAAATCTCCCATCCTACAAATATATAAAGAAAAGAAAGGAAAGGAGAAAGTATGATTGATGTTTAAAATAACAAGTATATCAACAGTCATCACATTTCTTCAATTTGAGTATTATACCCAAACTAATGAAAAGCCAAAGGAAATGTTGCCATATCATTTAATGATGATGGATAAGCCAATCAAATCAATGCATTTTTCATATCACTTTTTCGCCGTGCAGTGTGATAGGAGAAATACCTCTCCATTTGAAAATAATGGGTATATAACAGGCCACAACCACAAGAAAATGGCTCTTTTCCTTCCTCCATGTTTGGTTATATTGGTAAGATAAAACCTGTGCTTATTCAGATTTACTTTCTGTTGTCTGCTTCCACATTGTATATGTATTTTCTTTCACTCAAAAGCAAGAGCAGGTGTATTAATATGCGAGCAGTAGCTTACGATACATATTGTTTATCCTGTTTCTAAATTTGTATAATTAGAACACAGTTGATTGTATTGTATTTATGTGATGTAGAATTCTTGACAGTTTCTGATACGGTTCACATTATTATAACCTAATATCAGTTTGATTAGTCAGATATTCTTAAATGATATACAGAAGATATCATTTCTTTTTTTTCAGTCCAACAATGAAAGGTTTAAAATCAAAAGGTTCAGTAACAGAAGAAGAGAAAGGTAAGAACAGCACCTGCCTTTATTTTTATTTAGCTTTAATAGAATGAAAGATCATAGTTAACATTTTTAATTGTTAGAAATGACTTTCCAGAAGAAATGGGGTTTGGGAAGTCAGTCATATTCCATTCCTTTTCTGTGATACCATAAACAGAATTCTAGTTGTTAATAACCACAATTGTTAAGTATGTTTAAAATTGAGAATGGAAATGGGGAATGTGTCAAAGAGACAATAACCCGACCAAAGAGCAGAAAACAGCCGAAGGCAACCAATGGCTCTTCAACACAGCAAGAAAATCCCGCACCCAGAGGCGGGCTTCAGCTGGCCCCTAATGGGGCTGAATAGTGAAATATGAGTTTTAGATAAGTATTACATGTTTACAACAATATACTGGTTTCTTGTTCCAGAAGATAAAAGAGGTACAATCTGTATATGCACTTGTTAGATTTATTGTTACAGTAAATGATCAATTGAAAATTCTACAAATTTTGTTAGAACGTTGTCATAGAGAAAGTTGTATCTTATCTATTATAGAAGATGAAGATACAGTACAATTTCAGCCTGCACTTGTCAGCTTGTTTCACAGAAGGGATTCTGATGAATTATCTGCTAAAGAAACTGTCAAGGAACATTTGTGGAATGTACACTTTACAGAATATGGAAGGTACAAGTCAGACTTATATTAACATGGAATTTGTGCTATTCATTACATTGGGTTTTGAACTGTCTGATGTTGTAAATTCAGGTATATCTGACAAGGACCCTACACTTCTGGTTATCTGTTTCTACCACAGATTTGTTAAAAGTAAATTAGTTTTTGGCTAATGATTATGCAAATGCAAATGTTGAAAACCTCTTTTTCTTACAATTGTTGGTGTATGTTGTAGGGTTCTATATATAAAGTTAATCTCTGTTTTGTTTTGTGGCTCATTTTTGGTATTTTTTGTATTGTATCTTGTAAGAGATTTTGATGAAGTTTGCTGGTCTTTATGAAAATTTAACACTAGGGTCATTTGCGTAAGACAGATACTTTAGATGTTTGTGTGATATGCTAGTCCCCACAGTTATCTAAAAAAGAAATGCTGTAATAAAAGGACCCTGCATGTTGATAACAAGTCTAAACTACAAACATGTATCTTTATTCTAACCAGGGGTGTTTGTATGTACAGAACACATAAGACACAAGATTTAGTATTGAAAGGTTTGCCAGAGAAATACAGAGGAGAAATATGGCTGTTATTTTCTGGAGCTATAAATGAGGTACACACTGAATTTTTTGTAAGACATAATGTTATGTGGTACTATTTTAATGTACAAAATATCTGTGTGAATCATATCAATTGTGCAATCACATCACAATAGCTTTGTTAAGCTTAATTTCATATTTTATTTATTTTTACTTTTATGATTTGCATTGAAGTTTTGAAACTGACACAAATAGAACCTTCCTTAACAAAAGTCAATTATATAGTTAAACCTGCCTTTACAATCACTTCGTTTCAGCTGTAACCTGTCGCTAACAGTCAGTTTCAGACCCTGTGAAATGTTTTCTCCATATAGTTTAACTCTTTTGAGCGGTCACATAATTTTTGCATGACATCATCATTTCAACTTTTAATAACGGTTATTTATTATGTGTTTAGCTACCAATATAAACATGACAAAAAATATGTGTGCTCCATATGGAAGTCTAAATGAGAATCGGATCTGGTTTGAACCGAGATCGCACAATTGGAGGTGAATTCGTAAATTCCTTATATTCTTCTGTCGATTTCCATTTTCCAATTTACACTGCAGGAATTCACCATTTTTTATTTCACAGCTCGGAGGACAGTAATTCTACCTATTGAAAACACTTAAATAATTTGCAGAGATTCTGGGCCATGGGCAAAGTCAGAATCAGAATTAGTGAAACCACTATTAAAAAGGTCACCTCTCTTGAGCGGTCATTTTTAATGATTCCAATGATGAAGTTTTAATACAGGTTTGACTGTTATCTAAATATAGTATGGTATTAATCAAATTTTTTACATGTAAGCTTTGTCGTTATGACCTTTTAGTTGTGACTGTTTGTTTTAGATGGCTACACATCCAGGATATTATGCCAGTTTAGTGGAACAGAGCTCAGGAAAGTACAGTCTAGCTACAGATGAAATTGAAAGAGATTTACACAGGTATACTAATCATGTATTGAGTATTGACACATATGGACATTTATCTTGCATAAGAACGTAACACTGTTTAGTCATTTGAGAGTTTTATTTTACTTTCAGAATGATGTAGGAATAGTGTAGTTGTCAGGCCATCATCAGGACAGAACTTCCAATTTTGTAGAATTATTTCTCTCGTAACCATGTCTTTTCAGTTCATGGTTCCAAGAGCTTGATTCTGAGAAATCCAAAATTCTTGCTTATAAACGAACTAACTGACTATTTCAATGTGAAATGATAATTATTGACAATTGAAACCAGATCTGCGAGTGAACTCATAAAAGGATACCCCTAACCCCACATATTTGATTATCTCCCCTTTGATATGTAGAACAAGGAATTTATTTCTTCATGCACATCCTGAGGTAGTTTTCTACATCTATATAATGGAAACATTAATATCAATATAGCTATTTAGTTGGAGATGCCTTTAGAGGTGATTATTACAACATATTACAATATTGAAGTTCGATTGTCTCCCCTTGACAGGTAGGACATATTATATTCTTTATGCACATCCCCAGGAAGAGTTCTACAACTGTGTAGTTTGAATTGCACTTACATAGACAAAAACCCAGACAGACAGATAGAAGTATGGACGAACAAACAGACCCAATGACAGATATGGTGATACCTTTTTGCCCAACAAAACCTTGTATGCAAGAGGGAGGGGGTATTTAAAAGTAAATACTGGTAGGGTAAATTTATTCTGTGATTATTGAATAGTTAGTGATATGGATAAACTTCATTGAGACAGAAACTTTAACATAATTTATCAAAATGTAAAAATCTAGAGGGCACCATATGTAAATCACTTTAAATAGTGAATGTAATTGGCAGAGAAAATTAAAGGTAACAAAAAGAGTTATTATATGTTCTGTTTGTAGATCTTTACCAGAACATCCAGCTTTCCAGTCAGACTGTGGTATAGGGGCCCTGAGGAGGGTATTGACAAGTTATGCTTGGAGGAATCCTACCATTGGTTTGTACTGTATAACATATATACAGAGTAATGATAGATGGAACTTGCACAATATCTTAAAAAACATCCAGTGATGTAGGAAAGCTCAAACCCAGAAACTTTATAGCCAAGGATGTATAACTTCATGATTATGTAAAGGATTTTATCACCAAAAGGGATCCATAAATTAATAGCTGAATCCATCCAAGGTTAACTTTGCTTGAGGGAGTAGCTAATTAATAACTTCTAAATTTGTCTTATGTAAATTTGTATTCTCGGTGTCTTTTAAGCAGTATCTTGTCACTATTTTTCTTTTTACGCACACCAGAAAAGCACTTTTGATGCACAACGTTTATAGAGTGTTTATTTCATTCACAATATTTAGTATGTTTATTTCAGGTTATTGTCAAGCCATGAACATAGTAACCAGTGTTTTATTACTATATACAAGCGAGGAGGAGGCTTTCTGGTTATTAACTGCTATTTGTGAGAGACTTTTACCTGATTATTATAATACCAAGGTGGTAGGAGCTCTCATTGACCAAAGTAAGTATGAACTTTACTTGTTAATCACTTCCATAATATTTGAATTAGTAGAATACAAAGATATGTTGTCTTTAATAAATGAATGAACATTTCGTAAAAATTGTATATGATATTCTAAATGAAAACAAGATATGTACATAAGTGTAAGATGTAAAGACTAATTGCATACAGGAAAAAGACAGAATTTGTAAAAGATGCATTTTTTGTAAGAGAAATTACTTGTGTTCAAATTTTTGAACAGTTTGCATAGTTATTATCAAGAAAGTTATTATCATTCCAGGTGTGTTCGAAGAACTAGTCAAGGACAATTTACCAACACTTCACCAGAAATTACAAGTTTTAGGACTGCTTAGTATGATCTCATTATCATGGTTCCTGACTATATTTCTAAGGTAAATGCCCTCATTGCTCTAATCACTCTGCCTAACATTTTGCTGTTATTGTTTTCCCTTTTGCAACAAATTTGTCAAGGTGATATGATATTATCTGTCTTTGTGTTTGTAACACAACTACCAAGTCCAGTTTTCATCCTTTGCCTGTTTTAAAGCAACTTATACTTATTATCTGAAAAAAGGTGAGCTGTCCAACCTTTCTTTAATAATTAAGAAGAAAAGAATAAAAGAAAGAGATGACATTGAAGATATAGCCTGAGTTTTCCCCTTTATTTTGTTAGTAACATTGAATAGTTTTTTGTTGAAGAGATGTAAATGTATTGACAACTAGTTGTATAAAATTGAAAAGTACTGATTTTAAAATTTCATCTTTTGTAATGTAGATAATACAGTAAACATAAAGAAAATTTGTAATTGTAACATTAGATATTGAAGCTTAAAAACCCCGCACACTCCTTCATAGCAAATGCAGCTGACCTTAGTTGATCTATGATGGTTTATATAAAACTACTTAAGATATAATATGAAATAGGTAAGTACAATTCATTGTGATGTAACTCTGCAGACATTTATATACCTTTACTATCATTTATATTTGCAGTGTGATGCCATTTAATTGTGCTGTTCACATACTAGACTGTTTCTTCTATGATGGTGCTAGTGTAAGTATTACTGCCAAATTGTAAACTTTAATTTTTATGTGTTTAAGTTTATCACTTATAAAGAGCTTATTAAATGTATTCAATTACTAATCAAAGAAATGAAAATATTATCATTGTCAAAAAGATTGCAATATACGCTATTTGGAAAAAAATTGTACACCTTTTAACGACAGACATATTATGGTATACTGTTGTTCTTATGTCCTTCTGTTTATTCGTCAGGTGTAAACATATTGTGTACTGACTTGAGAAGCTTTTAGTTATTTACACCAAACTTAACAGATTATTAAGAACGGTAGTCTAAGGGTCTGTGTCCTTTTTTTTTTTTTACCATTTTCACTTTGCCATTCCAGAGTTATGGGACTTTAATCTCCATAGAACAATGCATACTTTTTGACAATTTTCAACTTTGGTAATTCCAGCTTTATGGGGATTTAATCTTCATAAATCGTCATGCACATTTTCTTAAACACATATTATTCTTTGTTTTTAGGTAATATTTCAAATAGCTTTGACAATATTAGAGCAAAAGAAAGAAGAACTTGAGAATTCAAAAGATGATGGTGATGCCATGACAATACTTAGTTCATATTTAGAAAACGTATCTAACCGGGATTCCACAATGCCAAATATAGAACATACCAGTATGCTGTGTTCAAAGAAATCTGATGTGGTAAATTTAGATTAAGACATTCCTTAGTCAAGCTATAAAACATGCCCGAGTTATCCTGAAATTTTGCTTTGGCATTTATTGGTTATTATTTGAATGTTTTAGCAGTAAAATCTGAAAATTGTTCACTTTGAATCAGAATAAAATTTTACTCTGTTGTATGGCTCTAAGTGCTTAAGGCACATAGAAATTCTTTATATATTGGTGTCAAACAACAAATATTTATATCCTCTGTGAAATACATATTTATATACTCTTTGATTTTCATAACAGATATATGCAGTACATGTCATAATTAAGATGTTAAATCCACTTGTAACATGAATGGCAATTTTTCCTTTGATCTTCGAGTGAGTTAACTTCGGTTATTTTTAGAGGAGTGCGTTAACTGAACGATTTTTTAGTTATTGCACTCTCCAGTCCCGTCGTGTGTCGCTTGTCATAGGAAAAGCAAAGAATGGGAGGAGCTTAGACCAGTGCTCTAACTTCCTTCTCAAAAGTTGTTATTTCACTGTCTAGCTCCGCCTCCTTGGCCTTGGAAATGACTATAAATTTTCCTACTGTTATTTTGGTTGGATACCTGGTTTATCGTGTGGAAATTATTAATATTCTAAAAAATATATGTCACTGAATGTTTAGTAATTTTCTTCGTTTTATACAGGTCTATCTCCGTGAATTGATCATGCTTCAAATATTTGTCCCTGGACATTACACGCATTCAACAAGCAACCATTGCAATCAATTAACCGATCTTTTTTCCAGTTCTTGGGAATGGAAGGATAGTATTGATTAACATCATAATTGGTATTAGAAAATGTTTCCTTCTTATCACAATGTTACAAATCCTTTGAAACTACATGTCATTTTCGAGTTAGAGGGCAGATAAACATCGAATAATATTTTGCATCACCCCCACCCCCCTTTTTCAAGAGTTTTCGGGGAAAAAATATTTAATAACACGTAAATGGCTATTGAGCCTGAATCCCACGGTAACAATTCATTTAAATGTACCTGTATCTGACATAAAAATCCAATTGACATCTGCTGCATGTGTTAATTTTCTGGAGATCAGATATAGTATCACGCGACTATTTGATTGTCAGATTGAAAAGTACAGTAAAGTTTTATTGGTCAGCATTTAACCTTTGACATGTGTCATAGCCCATTAATGATGCAAATCATATATAGCCATGCCTTACTCATTAACATATTTAATCCACTCAAAGCTACGCTTTTCATGAATTAAATAAGTTAATTCATAAAAGCCGTGCTATATATATAACTTGTATTATACAAATTTTGTGCTAGTTTTTCTATGGTGATTTTTATGTTTCAGCCTTCAATAGATGTGAGTGATCTGATAGATGATAGCTACAGAAAGTTTGGTCATATCAGCAACCAAGAAATAGACAAACTTAGACTCAAATATAGACTTCAAGTTGTTCAGGTTTGATATTCTTCATTTTTAGCTCACCTGGCCCAAAGGGCCAAGTGAGCTTTTCTCATCACTTGGCGTCTGTCGTCCGTTGTCGTCGTCGTCGTCCGTCGTCGTCGTCCGTCGTTAACTTTTACAAAAATCTTCTCCTCTGAAACTACTTGGCCAAATTAAACCAAACTTGTCCACAATCATCATTAGGGTATCTAGTTTTAAAAAAGGTGTCCGGTGACCCGGCCAACCAACCAAGATGGCCGCCATGGCTAAAAATAGAACATAAGGGTAAAATGTAGATTTTGGCTTATATCTCTGAAACCAAAGCATTTAGAGCAAATTTGACAGGGGTAAAATTATTTATCAGGTCAAGATCTATCTGCCCTGAAATTTTCAGATGAATCGGACAACCCGTTGTTGGGTTGCTGCCCCTGAATTGGTAATTTTAAGGAAATTTTGCTGTTTTTGGTTATTATCTTGAATATTATTATAGATAGAGATAAACTGTAAACAGCAATAATGCAGCAAAGTAAGATCTACAAATAAGTCAACTTGACCAAAATGATCAGTTGACCCCTTAAGGAGTTGTTGCCCTTTATAGTCAATTTTTAACCATTTTTCGTAAATTTTTGTAATCTTTTACAAAAATCTTCTCCTCCGAAACTACTAAGACAAATTTAACCAAACTTGTCCACAATCATCATTAGGGTATCTAGTTTAAAAAATATGTCAGATGACCTAGCCCGCGAACCAAGATGTCTGACATGGCTAAAAAATAGTACATAGGGTAAAATTCAGTTTTTGGCTCATATCTCTGAAACCAAAGCATTTAGAGCGATAAAATTGTTCATTAGGTCAAGATCTATCTGCCCTGAAATTTTCAGACCAATCAGGCAACACGTTGTTGGGTTGCTGCCCCTGAATTGGTAATTTTAAGAAAATTTTGCAGCTTTTGGTTATTATCTTGAATATTATTATAGATAGAGATAAACTGTAAACAGCAATAATGTACAGCAAAGTAAGATCTACAAATAAGTCAAACATGACCAAAATTGTCAATTGACCCCCTTAAGGAGTTATTGCCCTTTATAGTAAATTTTTTACAATTTTCATAAATTTTGTGAATTTTTACAAAATATTTTCCACTGTAACTACTGGGCCAAGTTCATTATAGATAGAGATAATTGTAAGCAGCAAGAATGTTCAGTAAAGTAAGATCTACAAACACATCACCATCACCAAAACACAATTTTGTCATGAATCCATCTGTGTCCTTTGTTTAATATGCACATAGACCAAGGTGAGCGACACAGGCTCTTTAGAGCCTCTAGTTAAATTTCCTTTCCTGCTACTACTACTAAAGGAGATAAGGGGCAAACATCAGTGAGGCAGCAACTAAAAAACCAAAGTTGATAAAACAAACCTATTTAAATGTTATTATATGGTCTTCAGGGATGGACCAGCACCTCCTCTGAAGGACTATTTCTTAATATGTGAATTATAGAAATTAATAAATGTAGGCTTTTACACAAAAATCTCAATTTGAAAAAAATAAAATGGAGAGGGACAGAAAATCAGGTTTAAGATTCCTGACTTATTTGTAGGACATTTTTTTAAAATGAAAGTTCTAAATCAAAACAGCAAATTTCAGTGAAAAATGACCAAAACACAGCCCTTACTTCAGCTTTTTTCCCCATGTAATTACAGTAATAAGGTATCAAAGAGATTTTGCTGTATATTTTACTATTCAGTTGTTTTATTGTGATTAAAACTGATACCGGTATGTATTGATATTTTTCATTTTGTGATTTGATGACTATATACTATTACACAGCCCTGTTCATTAATTTATGTATTATCAGAATATAGAAGACAGTACTATGAGGAACATCATCAGAAGTGTGGCATCAGATACATTATTCAAAGGCCAGGAACTCAAAGATTTATATGTCTTATTTAAGGTAATTTCTTAAGATTTGTAGGAAATGGGACATTTGAAATATTAAAAAGAGACAATCAACCCTGAAAAATGAAAATATTCATAAATCAAAGAATTCTGAGTATACAAACATATGTCAGTCAGCAGTGAATTGTGAATTAATTTTTTAGAAATTATAGGACAAACCTATCAATGAACAAAATCAAAATATATGTATTGGTGTACTGGAATCAGGAGATAATTTAATATTTTGCTAAATAATTAAAACAGCATAGTTTTTGTGAATGAAAAAGATAACTACCTGTAAACGATGATATCAAAGCATATCTGTTGTGAGGACAAAAATCAATGGTATGTTAAATGATTTGAGTATCTATTTCATAGGGCACTGTTAACTTCAACAAATGTTTTGTTTATATTTGTAGGAAGAGTATTTAACCTCATGTTACTGGAGAACTCACCAACAACCAGTAGATACTGCTGATAAATATGACCCTAGTCGACCTTATTATGAACTCTACAAGATTGACTTTGACCAATTTAAAACCTTATTTATATCTCTGTCTCCCTGGGCAACAGGACAACATGCTGAGAAGATGGCTCTGTATATGTTTAGGGTATGTTACATCCTAAGAGTTCAAGGACATTTGAATTTTTTACCTATTCTTAGTGATCTGATCTGATTGGTCCTAGTTAAATTTCTGTTAATTCATTGGCCTTAGGTCTTCTCATACTGTTCAGATAAACCAGATTTTACATGTCACATATTTACATATGGCAATTTTTCAGTTTTTAAAGGCAGTGCTTTAATGCCTTTCTAGTTGCCGTGTTAATATTTCTTTCCGCGATATCCAACTTATCTACGTGGGGGGTCATTTAGCTCCAAGTAGATCCGGAAAATGTTGATTCTCTCCTCTTCTTATTGTGGTATAAAATGTTTTTTGTCTCATTTCATTTACATTGGGAAATAGAGAAACGATCATTGTGTTTTGTTAGTTTTAAAAACTTTTGATATATTTGTATTTTACATTATAAGCAGTCAACCGATTGACAAACTAGAATTATTTGAATTCCGTGTGGAAAGAGCTCGGGTTAATTTCGAGTGTTTTCTGCAATCTAGATGTTTATAAATCATTTCAGTCGTTGATATAATAATTAAAGGTCGACTGAACATGAATTATATTATACAATTTAAAGCGCATTTCCCGCGAACCCGTCTAACGTTATTGTTATTTCGCAGTTATATAAAGTAGCAAATTATCGTTCCTGAATAGGTGGCGCCGTTGTAGCCGATCCTGTACTTCAACTTCCGGTTTCTGCACTGTGCAACTATTACAGTTGCATTTTTAATTAACGATGCCAAGTACTTGTTGTTGTGTACCTGGATGTCATTTAAGAGGAGGACATGCATTTCCAAATGACTTAAAAAGAAGGAAAAGTTGGATCAACGCCATGGCCCATACGCAGATTGGACGAGAACATGATGAAATCGTGGAGTCCATCTCAATCAGCTGTTGTTTGCAAGGCACATTTTACTGAAAAAGACTACGTGCAGGAAACTATTCATGGTAAAACTCTATTTTCTTTTTAAAATATATAGTTATATATGTAATCGCCATGCGAATAAACCAAAGTCAGTTTACAACCGCAATTATCGTTGTAGAATAAAAGGGGGTGGTTAATTCAAGACGTCATAATTTTTTGGATTACGATTCAATGTGATCTGTTTGAGATTTTTTGGTGCTTGCTACAATTATAATGATTTCTTACAAGAGGTATATCATACTGAGAATTATTTTAGCAGTAATTATGCTTATGTAGTAATGACAGGAATGCATAAGCTATGCCTCATAGACTTTCTTGAAAAATATCAATGACAATGTTAACAGGAACAAAACAATGACATGCTCTCATCTATATTATAGTTATTTAGGTACAAACAATGTATGTTTGTTGCATACGTCTCTCATTGTTTGTCCTTTGGATTTACATAACATACATTTTGATGTACATTGAATCAGGCTAACATAGTTTTATCCAGATTGTAATGAACAAATCTAGTTAATATTTTGCCAGGTTACGAGTACAAAGGAATTATAGTTATCTCGTACCATTGTAACTCGTACCAATGTCAACTCGTACCACTAAACAAAAACTCGTTCCAATGCAAACTCGTACCACTGCTAACTCGTACCACGGTAAATTCATACCATTGTAAACTCGTACCCACTTATTTAAATGCATTCAAATGGTGTTTAATGATGAATATATACTTTAATTTCACTCAATACCTCTTAAGTCTGTAAAATGTATATAATTTGAAATTACAATAACCAATTTGTAGCTAATTTTCCTTGTCTAATTGAAAAGAGAAAACCGTGGCAGATTGGCTTTGTTGTCTCCCTTGAATAGACTCTTTTTTAAACTTTTACTGACAACTATTTGATTTAATTTTTAATCATTCCAAATCAGTAACATTGAATAGATTTGGGTATTTTTCTATTGTTTCTAAAAGGAATTTTATTTAATGAAAGAATTTATTGATTGTGTTTAAAAGGTTTAAAATTGTTTATGACCAACAGTTAGACAGTATGAAATTTATTTTTATACAATATTCAGCACATTTCAGCAGAATATGACCATGCTTATATGATTACACAAGTTGATTAGTTAAAGATAAAAAAAACCAAGTTGATTAGTTAATAATCAACCAATAATCACACAATCAAAGGAATTTAATATATTTATTAGCATGGTAATTAAGAAATTACATTTGTATTTTGTCTAAGATTTCATTAAAATCTGGTATAAATTTCAAAGATATTTTAATTTTTTGTATAAAGCTTAAAAAAAAAATAATCATAAAACATTCGTATTTTTGTCTAAGTTTTCATTAAAATCTAGTATAAAATTCAAGTAATTCAACTTTTTTTATTTAGTTTACCAAAAAAAAAAATCATAAAACTTTCGTATTTTTGAATATATTTTTAATGGTACGAGTTTGCAGTGGTACGACTTCCCAGTGGTACGAGTTTACGTTGGTACGAGTTTACAATGGTACGAGTTAACTTGCTTCTGTACAAAGTATGCATTGCTAATGGAAGTTCATTTATTTATCAAAAAACTAATGTTTTATAACCTTTTTCAGGGCACAAACCCACCATACAGAGACTTTAAGTCTACTGCCAATCCCAGCCTATTTTCCTGGACCAAGCAAGAGACTGAATCGTCCGCAAAAAGAAAAATCAGGGCAGTTTCCTGTGAAAACAAAAGAACTAAACTTGATGAATATTGTAGTAGAAATCTAGAGGAAAGTTTTGATTGTAAAGTTGGTTTTCCTGAAGAAGTAATTCATACTGCAGACAGGATTTATGACTGTCCACCACCAACTGCCGAGCTAATGTTGAGCTTCACAGATGGAATTACGCAAACACCATCAATGCCTATATTTTCAGCAGAGAATTTTGAAATGAAGACACGTGACACAGCCATGCATTTTTATACCGGTTTAGAGTTGTATACTAAATTTTTATTTGTTTTGACCACACTTGGTCCAACAGCACATTGTTTGAGATACATATATTTTCAAATTGATAGGGTGTCATTTGAAAATCAGTTTTTTTATGACTTTGATGAAATTGATGCATTATACAACCAACTTTGAACTGTCTAGATTCTAGATTGAAACTAGTGTTAAGAATATTGTGTAAACATGGATTGTTTTTATGTCTAAACAGTGGCGTGAGGCTAACACTTGGCCATTTAGTGGTTTAGTCAGGTATTTTTCGCCATCCAACTTAGAATTAAAGTTTCCTACAACTTGGATTATTATTGACAGCACAGAATATCCCGTGATAAAACCTAAAGCTCCTAGAGCTCAGGCAACCTTTTCATCATATAAAAACAGAAACACTGAAAATACTTGTATGTTCGACACCTGGTGGTTTAGTCAACTATGTCTCTAATGCATATGTTGGTTGTACCAGTGACTGTGAAATAGTTGAAAGATGTAGAATAGTTCAATTATGTGATCCAGGTGACAGTGTGATGGCAGACAAAGGTTTAAATGTGCAAGATTTGTTTGCTCACTTTTTTCAAAAAAAGAAACAGAATTAGTTCCAAAACTCTTATACGGGATAGAAAAGTCTCCAATTAACACGTGCACATAGAGCTAATTATTGGACTTGGCAAAACATACAAAATTCTAATAAATCCTATGAATGGAACTGAAACAAAACTTTCATCTGAAATAACATTTAGTTGTTTTATGTTGTGTAATTTTAGAACTTGTATTGTGCCAAAGGATGCATAAATAAAAGTGACGCAATGAAGTTTGTTCTGATATATATATATAAATATTATTTACAATTACATGCACATGTAAATTGTAATGCATATAAAAATAAGGAGATGTGGTATGATATTCAGTGAGTTTATCGAACCAAAGTGCATAAGAAATGGGTTAAGCAGTTACAGGTGTTACTGTCACCATACAATCTCCAACAATTAGAAAAACTTGTACCGTGTAAATAATTTCAGAGATCTTACAACTAAGTTTTGTTGTCTCACCTTGACTTTGGTGAATTGTTTATATCTGTTGATGTAAATATAAAAAAGAAGATGTGGTATGATTGCCAATGAGACAACTCTCCACAAGAGACCAAATGACACAGAAATTAACAGCTATAGGTCACAGTACGGCCTTCAACAATGAGCAAAGCACATACCGCACAGTGAGCTATAAAAGGCCCCGAAATGACAATGTAAAACAATTCAAACAAGAAAACTAACGACCTAATTTATGTACAAAAAATGAACGAATAACAAATATGCAACACATAAACAAACGACAACCACTGAATTACAGGCTCCTGACTTGGGACAGGCACATACATGTACATACAGAATGTGGCGGGGTTAAACATGTTCGCGGGATCCCAACCCACCCCCTAACCTGGGACAGTGGTGTAACAGTACAATATAAGAGCGAACTATAAAAATCAGTTGAAAGAGGCTTAACTCATCAGATGGATAAATACAAATACTAGTGGACGTGGCTGGGTAGTTGTACATCCAAACAACAAAAAGACACTAAGTACAGATCTGAGAGTACTCGCATTTACTAACAGCTAGTTCAAAGCCACAAACAACTGATAAAAAAATCTTGCATCTAAGACTAAATTATCAATCCATAAGCTCCCTTTAGAATTTTATAAATTTTAGATTTTACATTATTGAGTTATGGGGTTTTATTCATTAAAAAGGGGGGGATTTTCCAGTTTTTGGACAACAACTCAAAAATGCTTTAAGCAGTTCGCATGAAACTTTGGTGAATTATTTATAGCTATTGATGTAATCTCCCTATTGATTTTCATAAATTTCAAATATGACATTGAGAAGAAATTGAACTTTATTTGTTTATAGTCTGGCAACAGATTTATTAAGTATTGCGCAACAGCACAGTGTATTGCACAACAGCAAGAAATCTTTAACTGAATATAAATTCAATTCATATAACCGATTTCAAGTTCTTTGACTACATTTATTCAGAAACTATAATATGTCAAATATTTAATTACAATCCAAATTCAGACCTGTATCAAGCTTGAATATTGTGTCCATTTTTGCCTCAACTGTTCAGGGTTGGACCTCTGTGGGTGTATCCAGCTGCGCTCAGCGAATCAGTTTATTACTTAATTAAGAACTCCTTTTTGTCGAGCCTGTGACTTTTGTCGCAGAAAGCTCGACATAGATATAGTGATCCGGCGGCGGCGTTAGCTAACTTCTTAAAAGCTTTATATTTTAGAAGGTGGAAGGTCTGGATGCTTCATACTTTGTTTATGGATGCCTCATGTTACGAAGTTTCCGTCAGTCACATGTCCAATGTCCTTGACCTCATTTTCATGGTTCAGTGACTACTTGAAAAAAAAGTTAAGATTTTTTGTAATGTTGAATTCTCTCTTATTATAAGTAATAGGATAACTATATTTGGTATGTGCATACCTTGCAAGGTCCTTATGCCCGTCAGACAGTTTTCACTTGACCTCGACCTCATTTCATGGATCAGTGAACAAGGTTAAGTTTTGGTGGTCAAGTCCATATCTCAGATACTATAAGCAATAGGTCTAGTATATTCGGTGTATGGAAGGACTGTAAGGTGCACATGTCCAACTGGCAGGTGTCATCTGATCTTGACCTCATTTTCATGGTTCAGTGGTTATAGTTAAGTTTTTGTGTTTTGGTCTGTTTTTCTTATACTGTATGCAATAGGTCTACTATATTTGGTGTATGGAATGATTGTAAGGTGTACATGTCTAGCTGGCAGGTGTCATCTGACCTTGACCTCATTTTCACGGTTCAGTGGTCAAAGTTAAGTTTTTGAGTTTTGTCTTTTTTTCTAATACTATATGCAATAGTTCAACTATATTTGGTGTATGGAAATATTTTATGATCTATATGTCAGTCACGCAGGTTTTTTTTATACCTTGACCTCATTTTCAAGGTTCATTGCTCAGTTTTAAGTTTTTGTGTTTTGGTCTGTTTTTCTTAAACTATAAGCAATAGGTCAACTATATTTGTTGTATGGAAGAATTGTTAGCTGTACATGCCTGCCTAGCATGGTTCATCTGACCTTGACCTCATTTTCTTGGTTCATTGGTCAATGTTTAGTTTACTTGGTTAATGTTAAGTTTATGTGACAGTTGTAATAAAGCTTTATATTTAGGACTATCAACATAATATCAATGATTAGTAAAGAAGGCGAGACATTTCAGCGTGTGCACTCTTGTTTCATTCATAAATTACTTTATACTTGGAAATATAATTTTGCTTGGAGTTATAGTTTCTAAAAAAAGTATTGTCATTGAAAGAGTTGACATGTTGCAATGTACATTTATTCTACATAGTTCTATGGTACCAAATCAAAAGTTTATATTAAAGAAAGAAGTCAAAGGTTTCCCATCATAGTTTAGTTACATACATATTTTTTGTACCTGAGGTCGTTGAATATAGATCATTATATAAATAAGGAGATGTGTTATGATTGCCAATGAAACAACTATCATCCATACATTGTACTTACCAGTAACAAACCACATTTGCAAAGTTGAATAAAATACAGTTGATAACATTTACTTATTGCTTAAAAGAAAATGCCAAACTATTTTAAACAGTATTTGACTATAAACATAGATAAAAAAGGTACTAACTGGACATAATGCACTAGTTCATAAACAAGTGAGAACAATCGCCTTCATATAGTGCTCAGAATATGACATTCATAAAACTTGTTCAATATCATTAGAGAACTCTAAATCTTAAATACTGAAAGCCACCTCTGATAAGTACAATGTACTATGCAAGATAATGATATAACTGGACTAAAAATACACACAACCTGTAATTAACTGCCTTTACAGCGCTTTCGCGCTTTGATTAACTTAGGTTTACCCAGTGTAGGATAAATGATAAAATTTTCTTAAAAGAGAAATTAAAAATGTTGTTTTTCTAATAGCCTTATTTGTAGGTGGATTGAAAACCTATGCTTTGTGAATTATAAGGTTCATATCTATTCATACAGCATTTGATTACTTTTTTTTTTAGCATTTTTTTTCTGATTCTGATACCCTCTTCTTTAAATTATGTGGTTTTTATGTAAAAAAAAAAAAAGAAGATAATTTTGCATTCGAGCAGCTTGGGATACACCTTATCGCTAATCCCGCTTGACCCGAGAATCAGTCCCGCTCGAACTTTTGACGTCATACAACAATCACTTTTCCATTGTGGCGTCAGATATTTTCTATAATGACGTCAAAATTTTACGGGAACTTGTGTGATGTCCAGTAATGGCGGACAAATAGCGATAAGGTGTATTGATGGCTATGCATTAGGGAGCCATAAATTCATATATATGTTACAGAAAATCAAGATTAACTTTAATAGATACAAATATTTTGATATAATGATGTGTGATGTCTCATCAGTATACACCTTATCGCTATTTGTCCGCCATTACTGGACATCACAAAGGTTGCCGTAAAATGTTGACGTCATAATAGAAAATATCTGAAGCCACAATGGAAAAGTGATTGTTGTATGACGTCAATAGTTCAAACGGCGCATATTCTTGGGTCAAGCGGCACAGATTTCCAAATAACAATAAGGTGTATTGTACCTGAAGCATACAGATTTACCATTGTCCAGCTACTTGTCAATAAAATTCCATTTACCTATAAAATTTCAAGATTGAGTGACTTTGATAGAGTTTATTCTTTTGTTTGTTATGCCCCTGCCGAAGCGGAGGGGCATTAAGTTTTACCCTTGTCCGTCCGTCCGTAGGTCCCAAAATTGGTTTTTGTTCTCTAACTTAAGTTTGCCTCAACCAAATGTTATCAAACTTATACACAATGTTTATTACCACAAAACACAGATCAAGTTTGAATTTTGGTGGCGTCACTTTAACCGCTCTAGAGTTATGCCCTTTATAAATGGAAAAATTGCAAAATTTTTCATTTCCATTCTCTAACTTAAGTTTGCCTCATCCAAATGTTATGAAACTTATACACAATGCTTATTACCACAATACACAGATCAAGTTTGAATTTTGGGGGCGTCACTTTTACTGTTCTAGAGTTATGCCCCTTTTCAAATGGAAAAATTGCTAAATTTTTCATTTTTTTTCCAAAAATATCAGTCATTATTCAAGTAATTTTTAAAATTGGAGTTATCTTCCTTTGTCCATGATTATATTAAATCAACTACAATCAATGCTTTATACAATGCAATGTTTAATTTTGCCTTCCACTGATAAAACACAGATCAAGTTGAATTTGGGTACTGTCACTTTAACCATTATTGAGTTATGCCCCTTTATAAATCGAAAAATTGCAAAATTTTTAGTTTCCATTCTGTAACTTAAGTTTGCCCCAACCAAACATTATGAAACCTATACACAATACTCATTACCACAAAACTAAGATTAAGTACAAATTTTTTGTTTCCGTTCTCTAACTTAAGTATGCCTCAACCAAATGTTATGAAACTTATACACAATGCTTATTACTGCATAATACGGATTAAGTACAAAATTCCGTGGCGTCACTTTTACCATTCTTGAGTTATGTCCTTTATAAACCTAAAAATTGCTGAATTTTTTCGTTTCCGTTCCCTTACTTTAGTTTGTCTCAACAAAATGTTAAAAAACTTATACACAACCGTTCTAGAGTTATGCATGTGTTTACAAATAGAAAAATTGCTGAATTTTTCGTTTCTGTTCTCTACTTAAGTTAGCGTCAACCAAATGTTATGAGACTTACACACAATGCTTATTACCACAAAACTAAGATCAAGTTCAAATTTGGGTAGCGTCACTTTTACCGTTCCTCAGTTATGTCCCTTTATAACTATATGATATGCAAGCGGGGGCATCATCTGTGTCCACATGTGGACACAATCCACATTTATTATTAACATATATAGCATTCCTGTATAGTAAAGTTAACATTGCAAAATTTTTAATAAGCCAAAATATTATATAATCATTACCGTGTCCGAGGAGACGGTATTATGAGTTGAATGATGGACAGTCTTCGGAATGAATGCTATCTTCTACCTGATTGTTTGACTACATTGATCAGAATAAAGAAATTTACATATTCAAAGGGAAATAACTTATTTTCATATTGCTGCATAACATAACAGATGGACAAAAAATTGCTTTTATAAAAGAAAGATATTTCTTTGCTTTTAACCATGTACTAAACATGCTTCAGAAGTAAAATAGTTGATTTATGATATACAGTTTCTTAAAGGATTTAATTAAACAACAAATAAGAGAGTAAACAATAAAAAAACCCATCTACATGTGAAAATATATTTATTTTTAAGGGAATTAAACAAGCATAGTTGCCAACTGACATGATATTCGCATGTAATACACGCCTTTTCAGCGGTTTACACGCGAGGATTTTGTCACATGGCGTATTCACACGTTTCGCCACTTTACACGCAATTACACGTTTTTTCGTTGTTTTGATTTTTTGGTCGTTGGTGATATCGCGATTCTCAGGTTTTTTCATTATTAGACAAAAAATACCGAAAATTTCAAAGTAATTGTATCGTCGCCATTGTTTATTTTTCTATATGGACAAACAGCAAAAGCCCTTAAGGTAAGTAGTTTGTGATTAGTTTTTATGATTTTGTGACTTTCTTTCTTTCAAATTCACTTAGGCGAAATGTCGACAGAAATAGTTCGCTTTCAGGACCTGTACCGTTGTCTAAAGAGCCAATTGCTAAGCGAAAACGATGTGTACGTACCAAGAAAAATTTCAAGATTTACAAATTATATTTGGGAGTTCAAGTTTAAATTATCGAAAGACGAGTAACGCATTGTGCACCCTATGTTGCAATCATAACAATACATGTGAGAGGAGAACTACAATGTAGCGATTTGATTAAGCATTTAACGTGTTTAATGGTAATCAAATAATAAAATACTTTTCTTTTTCAGTTTCAAATCTAGCCAAACAGATTCCCACAGGCCAAAGGGGATGGAAATATCACGGAACTGTTGGATTAGTTCTCATAGTACCAGCTGTCTTCTGATGAACTACCCAGTTTTGACCAGACAATAGCCTCAGAGACAATAGCAACATATATAAATCGTTGGGAGCAATGGCAAAGATAATAGATGACATTTTAGATGGCAAAAAACGTTATGACACTCTTTCAAAGCTTGATCAAGCTATTTAAGTTCAGCCAAATATCAATTCTGACTGTGAGAGAACATTTTCAATTATAAAGAAATCTACACTGAATTCTGATCAGAACTCGACAATGATATATTGTGTGCCTTGTTGTCAAGTAAATGTAATCAAACTGGCAGTTGTTTTGAATATGTGCCTAAGCCTTGGGTGTTGCTTTAAAAGAAGCAAAACAGACCACTGTTGAATACAATAAAAGTTTACTCTAGAATATTGTTTTTATTATATATTAACAAATTTGTATAATCATGATAATGTGAAATTATGACCATTGTTCATATAAAAAAGTCCACATCTTCAACGCGCTTTTTAACACGCTTTTTGACATTTCTCATTGTCAGAGGTTGTCAAGTATGAACAAGGGGTTAATTATTTGATACAGATATTCTGAGCTTAACATGTCCGTGATCTTCAAATCAGTTGTTTAATACCACCTTTATATACATGTATTCATTGAATGAATAAAATTATACAATTATTTACAATTTGAACATTGTGGGTTTAAGAGTTTAATGCTAAAAAGAATATTACTTGTATTAGAACAGTTTTAAACTGTTAAGAGCAAGGATTTTAGGGTTTTTTCATCCCCCGCTGTAGTGGAGGGGGCATTAGGTTTTACCCTTGTCCATCTGTACGTACGTCCGTTTGTCGGTCTGTTTGTCCGTCCATACGTCCCAAAATTGGTTTCCGTTCTCTAACTTTAGTTTGCCTCAACCAAATGTTATGAAACTTATACACAATGCTTATTAACACAAAACACAGGTCAAGATTGAATTTGGGTGGCGTCACTTTTACAGTACTAGAGTTATGTCCCTTTACAAAGGGAAAAATTGCTTAATTTTTTGTTTCCGTTCTCTAAATTTAGTTTGCCTCAACCAAATGTTTTGAAACTTATACACAATGCTTATTACCACAAAACACAGATCAAGTTTGAATTTTTGGGGCGTAACTTTTACTGTTCTAGAGTAATGCCCTTTACAAATGGAAAAATTGCTGAATTTTTCGTTTTCGTTCTTTAACTTCAGTTTGCCTCAACCAAATGTTTTAAAACATATACACAATACTTATTACCACAAAACTCAGATAAAGTACAAATTTGGGTAGCGTCACTTCTACAGTTCTTGAGTTATGTCCCTTTATAACTTTATATGCAAGCGGGGGCATTATGGATGTGTCCCATGGACACATTCCCCATTTATTTCACATGAATCTATGATGATAATGTAACAATGCTATATTTTTAATAGTATATTTCCTTATAAAAATATTGTCACTATGACCTACGTTTTAAACTTAATCTTTAATTTCTTTCTTTACACAATCATATTTCTGTATGAGCTTATTTGTTGTTTATTTCTTTGCCATCACTTGTTGGATTAATGTAATTGTAAACATGCTGCTGATGTTTTATATTTTACAGAAAACTTATTTCTGTTGACTAGTTTAGCAATGAAGATTAGTTATATTTTGTAGTTAATCGATGAAAACAAGGACAACATGATAAACTTCAAAGAATTTGTTTACATCCTGGGTGTAGTATGTAAAGCTGATATAACACACAAACTCAAGCTGTTGTACACATGTCACCAACCACCAGCCTTACTACCAACAGATACACTGGATGAGGAGTCCGATGATGCTCCGGTCTCTCCTGTTTCAGGTATGTACATAGCACTCACAATCAGCCTAAATACTGCTGACAGATACACTGGACGAGGAGTCCGATGACGCTCTGGTCTCTCCTGTTTCAGGTTTGTACATGTCACTTACAATCAGCCTAATACTGCTGACAGATACACTGAAAGACTAATCAATTGACTCATATACTAGGTATGTAAATATTACAGACAACCCGTGCTATTCATATTGATAAACGTCATTTTTTAATGATATAAATATCTGGAGAATTTGGTGATGATGGCAAATTTTGTATTGTCTAATTAATTTATCACTACTGTTTTAGAGTCAGATGTCCTCTATTTGTCTTTTGATAATTTGTGTTATTGTGTTGCTGTCTCATTTAGACGGATTCTCCAGATTTCTATCTTGTTTTTCCTGTATTATATATAGGTTCCATACTGTTACCACATACTAAACACCAGATTTATGTAAAGTTTGAAAACAGACACTATCGGTTGACTGACTGAAGCTTACCCTTTTTAAGCCCCCTCTGTCACAAGAAGGGACAATAAGTGTTACCCTTGTCCGTTTGTCCATGCATCTGTCTGTCTGTCTGTACGTACGTCCCAAAATTGGTTTATGTTCTCTAACTATAGTTTGCCTCAATCAAATATTATGAAACTTATATACAATGCTTATTACCACAAAATACAGATCGTGTTCGAATTTGGGTGTTATCACATTCTGCAAGCGGTGGCATCATCTGTGTCCCATGGACACATTCTCCATTTATTTTAAATATAATATTATATTAGAATTGTTTTCACTTTCAGCTGCATCAACAGATGTTGCAGAAGAAGCTACAGATTTCTTTACGGATGATAAATCTTTAACAGATTCTACTAAAGATGGTTGGTAGCTAGATATAGATTTATTTCTATAATTTTTCAAAAGACAGAAAATTTATTAAATGAATATACTATTATTTTATGAACTGATCCCTTTATCAATCTAATAGAATAGCAACTATAAAAAGGAAAGAAAAAAAGAGAAAAAAACAAAGAAATATGATTCCCAGAACTTGTATTAACCAAATTGTTGTCAGACTTCAATAAATGCTGGAAGTCCATTGATTAATTTGTAAAAGGCTTCTAAGAACAATTTTATTACACTGAGTTGAAAATGGAAAAACATAAATTTAAGAACACCTGAAATGAAAAATCGAGCATTCAATCAAAGCCTAAATGAAAAGATAATTGTTCAAATAACTGACATCAGTTTTACTTTATGAACATAGTCAAAGTTTATCAAATCTACAAGCAAACATACCTCATGTACTAAATGTATCAGAGCCAGAATTGAAAATTAAAATGGCAACAATAAAACGTTTTTATGACTGATTATTTTATGCACTAGGAATGAAACCAGAGAACCAGTTAAAATAGAATTTATGTAATTACAATTAGTTATATATAGATTCTACCATTGCATCGAGTGTGATACGATATTTATCCACTCGAGACAGTTAAATTTTTAAATATTTAAAATTTAACTGTCGAGAGTGGATAAATATCGTATTACACAAGATTTGGTGGTGGAATCTGTTTCTCTAATGATTTTTAAACAATACGCAGGCAAATTTATTCCTTCTTTTCAAATGATCTGCAAAAAGATGTGTTCTTTCTATGTGACGTCATCAGGCATGGTCGCCTTTTTTCATGCCGTCACAATAGGAAATTCAGAGGAAAGCAAGAAAATTCGACGTCATAATCGGATTTTAACCAATGAAGAACTGAGATCAAACGAACCACACATTGATTAAATTTTTTTTATACAATGGGTGCAGAAAGGGATAAATTGACGAAGAATTAGAGAAAAATATTTATATTGGTTGATAAAAAAGTCAGCCAGTACTTTGGACATATTGAATATGAATAAATGTAAAACCATAAAGGTATTTCAAACAAAACTAGCTTGAATATTATTTGATTCAGTCATTGTATCTGTGACTTGAATTGTTGATTCAGAACCATCGTGCCCTGGGTAACATACATGATAAAATGAATTTTGTTTGTAGAAATAGAATTACCTGGTGATTTTATTGAGGAAGATGTGCCTGTCGAGGAACCAGAAGAACCAGGAACAAATGAGTCTGGTATAGGAGACAATGGAGCACAGAAATCCTTAGAAGAACAGCCTATTGACAATTCACAGGAAACTGGTTCTTCTCAGGATACTGAGAAGACTGGAGCTGAAGGAGATGGGTCCAGTGTAAAAGCACTTGGAGCTGAAGGAGATGGGTTCAGTGTGGAAGTCCCTGAAGCTGGTGGATATTATAAAGGTAGGCCCATCTATTTTCACAATGCAATGTACTGTGGATACATTTATTTTAATGAATACCAATTTTTTTTGGATTAAGGAAAAATTGTATTTTCTTGGATATTTGATTTTGATGTTTTACAAAAGTTTGCATACAAGCTTATAGAAAATTTGTACTACCTTGATCATGTCAATTTGTGGTTCACCTGAACCCACTAAATCCACAAAAATGGTATCCCACTTATAATAATAACTCCACAGTATGTTATATTTCAATTGTCCAGCTGGTCAGGATAGCTTTTCTTTTATTGACTATTAAATTCTTATCTTGATGTTTGACTTAAGAAAATTAGTAGATGGAAGTAGAAATGGACATAAGAATTGGTATTCAAAGGAAGGTAGTTTCTTGGTAAAATGTGACGATATGTGTCAAATATTGGGTTAAATATATTAATGAATGATGATTCACAGCACTAAGAGGATACCAAACAAGCAACCAAAAGACATTAATAGAAGGATAGACAACACTATGGCAAAAAAAAGATTATTTATTACAAGTAAAGAAGAAATGCCATTTTTTGTTTAATAAATCTGTGACTGATTTGAGCTTATTTATTCATTTAAATTTGAAGACCATTATTATAATGCTAAGTATGTTTGCAGCTACGGATATTCAGTACAGCTACAGAAAGATGGCTGAAAAGAAACGAGAGTTAAATAGATCAGATAGCAAAGCTGATTTGAAAAATGTACCAAGGTTAACTCAGGTGAGAATTATTTGTCTGTTAAAGCAATGCCAGTAGCTTTTAAAAGATGAATAAAAAGATTGAATGAACATTCTGAGATATTGCTTATTGTAGATACCACATACTTTTTTCTTATATTTCAGTATTAAAAAAATGTCCCCAAAATTTTGAGAAATAAATTTTTAAATAAATTATAAAACTGGTATATTTGATAAGGCTTTAGCAATATATTTTTGGATTGTTGACATGAAAATAATGTCACAAAATTGTATGAATGTATAAAAAGAGTACTGTACCTCATCGGATAAACAAATACCATTTGTGAAATTGAATAGATTGCAGGCGTCTTAAATTGGCAATTTAAAAAAATGAAGCTGAATTAATAAAAGGTAAACAGATTTATATTCAGAAATTGATTTGAAGTTTTTATAAATGCAAATAGTATGTTTGGGTGAGATTCGCAATAATAAGAACTCTCATTCGAATATCTGATACATATATCTATATGCAGCTTTTTCTGAAATCACAATAATTTACTCACATTTTTGTCCATTTTTCAAAAATCTCAATAATAGATGCACACAATAATTTCTGAATTTACAGTATTTTCTATCAATCAAAAATATGCTCTATAGTGTATCGACTTTATAACACTTGTTCATTTTCAGGTTCAGTTCATTCAGTTATGGAAAACTTTGTATGACATGTTTCATGATCATCCCCATGAGCAACAGTTATACCATTCCATAGCAACAGTGGGAACTCTTCTTTTGGAGATTGGGGAGGTAGGAAAACGCTTCTATTTGAAGTCAGTATCAGAAAGTTCACAAGGTGAAGGCTCTGTATCTGTGAGTGAAGTGGACTCAGTTGCAGCGTATGTAAAGAATGTAACCATTGATTCTAGTCCTAGTAAAAACTCTGGAAGCCCAGAAACGAAAGATAATGCTGAAAAATCAAATTCTATTGATGATTCATCATCAGCAATGTCTGGAGAAAATTCAAATGTTACACAGCAGGACAGTGGCATTTCTGAGCAATCAGCAGACAGTTTACAAAGTAGTACCTCAGACTCATCTTCACAACCTCATTCAAAACCAGATTCTGATTGGTCAATATCATTTGAACAGTTTATAGCTTCTATGTTAACTGAACAGCCATTGGTTGAATACTTTGAAAAAATTATAGACATAACAGAGGATATTGCAAAAATGAGAAACAGGCGTCTGTTGACTAGACAACAGAGCACATGGGAAACACAAAAACAGAATAGCAAGAAGTAAAGCTAACAGGAAATAACAGTTATTTCACAGAGTTTCACCATTGTTTTCTATTTACAAGCAAGAAGATTTTTAATATAACAGGTTAAAGGAGTAGGCTCACAAAATGTAAAAGTTGGCCCTAAAAATTTTGAAATTTCAGCTCAGAACTTATATAACAAACATTTGAAAAAAATGGAAAAATTTGTAAAAACAAAAAAAAGTAAAAAATAATTTTTCACACATTGCACCAGTGATGATTCCATAGTTTTCATTTCATAGGTTGCAGTCTTAACTTTTGACTGATTATTGTCTAAATTCAGGTAGTTTTTATGAGATTTATTTTTTAACCCATTTGATTTTGGTCCATGAAACTGACTAATATATTTAGGAACGATCTTTTCCTTAAAATGAATTGAAACTGCAAATCTTGGTTAGTACTGGAATAGTTTGTTGTTTTTAATACTGCTGTCTAAAGCGGATAACAAACAGAAATAATCTTTAGTTTATTTAAAGTTGAACAATTTTTTAATGAAATATTCATTTTCATTTTTGATTGCCCCTTGGTTTCTTCTTCCACCTTTTTCAGTTGACAAAATTTTGATTTTAAGATCAGTTTTAAACCATCTTGGCTCTACTTCTTTTGTACACTTTTAAACATTCAGGGTTATTACATTTAGTAAAGGCTTCATGGTTTATATGTATGTAGAATATTATTTTTGGGCATTTCCATTATACTTTAACCTATATATCGTAATATTTGTTGTGAATGAATTTCATCATGTCAGTTAAAAAACACAACAACCATTGAAAACAGTTTTTGGTTCATCTCCTACTGGTTTCACTGTATAGTTCTTATGCAATTTTTTTTTAACAATAATATGGTACATGTACAACCTCATATATCAGCTGTTGTTCCACAATATAGAAAAAAACATATTTCTTGTTACATCACTGCTAATATCATCATATCAGATGTTGACAATTAGAATTATGAGTCATCATTGTATACTCTGCTAAAACAGCATATTTTTAGGAAGCTTCCATTTATCTTTGGTGCTTTGAATCTAAATGTGCAGTATTGATGTTTATTCATTCATTCTGGATTATTCATAGCCCTCAATATATTTGGCAGTAATGCTGCAATATTCCTGAATATTTTTTGTAATTTGTTATGAAATTTTTTGGGGTAAATAGTCCATTGATATTCTGACTGATGCTTTGCTCTAAACAAACTTAGATATTAGAAGACTATTGAGTTGCTCTACCTGTTATTACATTCTGTACTTAAAACATTACTCATCAATGATAGAGCCTTTAAACTTTCTACAATGTTTGTATATAAATTTAAAGTATTCACTTCACTTTGTGTACACATTGAGATAATTTGTTGATTTGTTGAATCAGAATATTATGTATGGTACAGAGCGATACATTATATAAATATATATTTTGTTCATATAAATGCAAAGATCTTACGTTTTTTTCTTATTTCTTTAAAAACGGTTGTTAGTTAAACAGGTGCCATAGAAATAAATATGTACTGCCCTTTGCAGATTCTTATATTCAGCAAAATTTATCAATGATCTTATTTCTGCTTTTGATAGTTGTATATATTCTCAAAAAACATATCTTTTTTTTGGAACTGGCCAAGTCTATCTAAATGGTTTATTTGTAGTAGAAAACTGTCTGATAACACAGACCAAAACCATTTTCATGAGAAATGTGGTGAGCTTAAGTATTAATTCATAATATGTTTCTCAGTTGAACATTTTAAGTAAGTAACTTGCAGGAACTTTATAATGATTTTTTGTACCAAGCATAATGATATGCAAAAATAGATGTCGGATCTGTACCAGTAAAAATATAGAAGATAAAAATCATTCATTTCTTTTCTATCATTCATCATCATTTCACCATAATACGGAAATGTATAGGGAAATTGTACAATGTAATAATGCACTGTGGACAAAAATGATATGTTACAATTAATCCCATTTTAGGAATTACTGGATAAGAGCATTAGTATATGTATTTATATGTCATAAATTAAAAGCATGTTGAAAGTGGTTTTGTCACTTACAGGTTAGGCAAACAATAGTCTTTAACAAAAACTGGTATACAAATTGAAATTAAAAAGTATGCTCAAAATGTTTTTACAAGTATGCATGTCTTAATATACTGGGTAATTGAGTTTATTTGTTTATCAGTCAGATCGACTGAAATTTGAATGAGATTTATTTATTGTACATGTTTTATTGTGGTGAAATTTGGTAGGAAGTTTGGGATATGGTTATTTGTTTGTTAAATTTTGTATTTGTAATACTTTGTTTATAATCATATTTAGGTTTGGTTTTTTAGTCTTTGAAAAAATCAAACACAGTCCATGCAAGACAGATTTGCATAATGATATGTTCCTAGTACACACTATGATTAAGGTTGACATGTGTAAAATCTTCAAAAGGAAAATAAATCAGTAGAAAACAGAATACATGCCATTCCCTGTGTAAATTGACAGTTGTTTTGATGCCCTATCTATGATATAAGGGGTCAATTAGTGCATTTGACTGACCGTTAATTTGTCCATCTGTCCCTTAAAAGGGTGAAACTTTTGGTTTAATATGATTAAGGTCATTTGAAATTTTAGTCAGTCACACCAACTTGAAACTTAGTTCACATATACAGTATGACGATTTATGCCAGTATTTTGACCCAGACTTTCCGGTTCACTGAACATGGAAAACATTTCAGGTTAAATTTTGGTTGAAGATAGTATACCATGAAGTTGTGTACACATCAACTTTAAAATTTGTACACATGTTTATTATAATATGATCTTTTTAAGATACATGCCAAATTAGGGTTTCAAATTTCACTGAACATAAAAATGTATCTGGTTAAAGTTTTGGATTAAGGTATATTATACTATGAAACTGTAGTCACATCAACTTGAAACTTTGTACACATGTTTATTATATTTATGATACAAACTTTTGAAAATATATGCCTAAGTAATGTTTTTGAACCAGATTGCATTGTTAATTGAACATGGAAATTTGATAGTGAGAGCAGGGCATGGTTCCAACTGACACATATTCTTGTTTGCCCTCTGCTTTAATTGAATAAAGGAAACTGGAGTGTCTGTTATAAACATGTAAGCTAGCTTAATTGTATATCTTGTTGAATAACCACTATTCAAACTTCAAAGTGCTTAAATTTTATACCCATTGAATGCGCAAAAAGCTTGGTCAAAGTAATATATCCGATTCTTTTTAATACATCACAGCATGTGCTGGTTGTATAAATGTTGCATAATTTATATTTTATATGTTATATTGTTATAGATAATTGTATGATAATGATTTCAGTTACATTTAATTAATGTTTTTTGTTGATGAGCTGTTCATGAAATTTAAGAATTGTGATAATTGTTTTTTTTATTAAACTGGACCTTAATTGTAATCATAATCAAATTATGAAATAATATTTTTTTTGTAGGTTTTTGTCTCTTACCATGTATTTACAGTGTTCAAGTCCCCAAGGTACTTCTCCCTGCTGGCAAAGTGGGAGACACTTACATTTTAAAAAATAATCGTGTTCAAATTTGGGTGGCGTCACTTTTACAAATCTCAAGTTATGTCCCTTTGTAACATTATATGCAAGCGGGTGGCATCATATGTGTCCCAATGACACATTCTCCATTTATTGACGTAGTTATAGAGGTTTAAAATGACTTGAAAATTATTTAAAGCTAATTTATACTCACTGATTACATGTGCAATAGAGTTGACTTGTATCTTAACTGTTAGATATTTTATTGTCTTTGGCTTAGTGATAAAATTCTTGTTTGATTACTGCCATTTCTTATTAAGTAATGTCATCTACTAAATTTCAAAATTACTTAACAGCTTACATACATTTTTAGGCCTTGATTGAAAATCCAACATAAGAAACTGTGGGAGATATTTTATTGAATATAATTATCAATGCATATATGAATGTTTTTTAGCATGCAGATGAAAGTTCATGTTTAAAAAGTCTGTCATGTATCTCCAGTTCACAGCTGTAATTTGAAAAATAATGTCTTTTTAAGTGATGATTGAAAGAGAGAAGTATGTTTAACTTCAGATTTCTTCTAATGCAATGTATAACTGAAAAATCGTTTTTTATTTATGTATGTTTTATAAAAATGTTACAATATTTGAATTGTAGATTAGATTATTTATTTCTTATATATGACTCTTGGCATTACCTTACATGCTTGTTATATTAATATCAAATTCTTTTTTAAATTGGTTTTGTATGAATAAATTGTGAGTTCCATCTATTGCAGAAACAATTTATAATGAAAGTAAACAATACACATTTGACTACATTAAAGTTCAAAATTGATTATATAATTGAAAAAAATTTACAAGTGTTGATGCTTCTACAATTTTGCTAACACCAATTATTTCCCACAAAACTACTAAATTTACTAAAGATTGAAAATACATGATAAAAATAATTTTAGAGAATTTTAACACTATCAAACTTGATAGATATCTAGGAGAAATAAAGGTATAGGACATTTGTCTACTTCAGTTTGTTGTAGAGCTAAATATTTTCACCCCAAAGGTCCCACTTTCCAGCTTTTATGAAACAAATACTAGTATTCTTTCAACTAAATTTATAAATCAATAATCAATTTGAATAACATTTTAAACATGTACAATTTATGTCAAATAAACTTTAATCAAATATAGTAGAAATTGCTTGAAAATAAAAGAATAAATCTTATTATTTTATTATATATAAAATAGAAATACAGTTCAGTTTAGGAGGCAGATGAGAAACAATTTTGATGTAAAAATCATGCTAGCCTAGAACTTATGATTTAAACAGAATTAAAGTACACACCTTATGCATTTAAAGGTAAGAGAATTATATCTTTTTTGAATTACTGAATAAGGTTTCTTTTTTTCATTGTTATATTAAAAGTTAATTTTGAATTATAATAGATAATAAGTTGAATAATATTTATCATGTCCTTGGTAGTATTGACATACTGTGCTAAAATAAAAAAAACCGAAAGAGTATTTAAAATTTCACATATGCACAGAAAAGTACTATTTGAAACCTTTATTTTTACTGCTGTTAAAGTTTATACTTGCATTTATTTGTTTTCTTCAAGTATGTCAACTTTTCTAATAAATAAAAATTATACGACCATTTTTTGTCCAAGATTTCTTGCCAAATTAATTGACATCTATAGTAAAATAAGGACTCATCATTAAGGAGATGTTGTATAATTGCCAATGAGACAACTATCCTCCAGAGTCCAAATGATGTGGATGTAAGCAAGTATAGGTCACTGTATGTCCTGCAACAATGAGCAAAACCCATACTGTATAATCAGCTTTTAAAGGACCTGACATCACAAAATGTAAAACAATTAAAAAAAGAAAACTAATAGCCTGATTCATAACAAAACAGTAAATGAAAAACAGATATGACAGACATGAACCAATGACAACTACTGTATTTCATGAGCCTTGTTTTCATTTTTGATTTGCCTGTGTACAGGAGTTGACATATAGAGATCACTGTCTGCACTCTTTCATTTTCTAAATTGTCAATATTATATCACTTTTGTTAATTTGTAACTTCTCTTTTTATTTGACATGAACCAAACTTGCAGAGGAGATAAATCTGTTTACCTCAATTTTTGTCAAGATCAATTTCTTATTTTCCCCATGCAAAACAGGTTTAATAAAAAACCAAATCATGGCAACTAAAGAAACACCACTTAATGACACAACAATATAAAAAAACACTACTTAAAACAACTAATGACTGAGCAACACAAACCCCACATTAACAGGGGTGATGTAAGGTGTTCTAGAAATGAAAGAATTATTCAGCTCTACACAAGGCATCCACTGTTTACTGTTGTTCAGACAGGGGACATGTTTTATTTGTAACATTGTAATTTTTGTTAGACCACAACTAAATTTCATCAGGGTTTCTACAGCAAATGAAGTTGAAAACTCTTCAGTTTGAACCAATTTATTGGAACAGGCTTTCTACAGCAAATGAATTTGAGTAATTCATTTCAGTTTGACCCAATTGATTTCTTGGCGTTTTAAAAAAGAACAGGTTGTCTTTTGTTGCTTTGTTTCATATTTGTTTTTCGTTCATTATTTTGTACATAATTTAGGCCGTTAGTTTTCTCGTTTGAATTGTTTTACATTTGTCATTTCTGGGGCTTTTATAGCTGACTATGCGGTATGGGCTTTGCTCATTGTTGAAAGCCGTACGGTGACCTATAGTTGTTAATTTCTGTGTCATTTGGTGGAGAGTTGTCCCATTGGCAATCATACCACATCTTCTTTTTATATTTCGTTGTCATTTTGTTGCATATTTGAACCATACAATGAATTCTATAGCAAAAGAGAGGGACGAAAGATACCAGAGGGACAGTCAAACTCATAGATCGAAAACAAACTGACAACGCCATGGCCAAGTGACACATGAGACTTTCACAGAAGAATCCCTCCACATTTATTATATGATATGAGGAATCCACCATATAACACAACCGGATTGACACAATACATTCTTAAACTAAAGCAAGATATTTTAATTTCAATGATAGTATGATAAGTGGTTGAAATTAACATTCTAAACAAACATTTTTTCTCTAGTCTACAGTAACACCACTGATAATCAGCCCTAAAACTACTTTGCATCACCTGTCTGTTTTAGTTCCTGTAAGAAAACAGCTGACAATCACTGCCATCAGATATTTTTATACTTTGGAAAGACAAAATTGTTAGTGTTCTATTTTGGGCAAAAGAATTGAGCACGTAAACATAATAACCTTTCATATAATGGCCCTGGAACAAACTATACCCATTGGTGGCCTTTTGCTGTTTTCTGCTCTTTGGTCGGGTTGTTGTCTCTTTGACACATTCCCCGTTTCCATTCTCAATTTTATTGATATAAATAATTACAAATTAGATTTACTGTCCACCTATGTTCAGTTAATTCCAATTAAGGTTCTATTTGGAGTCTATATTAAAAAAAAATGGATAAAAGACAAGATCAGTCGGGGTCACAAAAAAAAATAAGTAGGAGACGGTCGATTTTGCCATGACTTGCTAAATAGATTTTTTTTAAACAAATACAATTTTATATATCATACTCTTCTACAATTAAGTAAATTTCCACCTAAGTTGAGGTCATTTTGAAAGATATACATAAAAGTGAATACCCCATGGGTCTCCAATTGACCATTCATCACTTTAGACGACTTGCGTCGTCAGTCTACATGAACACCAGAAAAGGTCACATAAAGACCTCAGTTCCGTTTCATGAACTATTACACCATATCCCTTTTCTATGATGCAAATTTTCGACCAAAACATTAAAGTTGCGCATACAAGTCGATTTCATTTTCAATATTTTATTTTTCCGGTTTACATAAATTTCGAGCATCGTTTTCTTACAGGTAAAAAAAATAATGACGATTGACTTCGACAAAGAGTGCATACAGTTGTTTTTTGACGGGACATGAAAGTTATATCGTCAAATTTTGACTTGGAAAATTATCATGAGAATAACAAACGAGAGGCGAAAGACCAAAGGTATATTAAACTCATAAGTCAAAAACAAACTAAGAATGCCATGGTAAAATAACGACAAAGACCAAAAGAAAAACAGCAGTATACAAACTTACAACATGGAAAACTTAAGACTGAGCCACAAGAACCCCACCAAAAACAGGGGGTGATCTCACATGCTCCGGAAGGGTAAGTAGATCCTGATCCACGTTTGGCACTCGTCGTGATGTTTGTGTAAGTACAAACAATAATGGATTCCTAAAGGTTTAGAAAAGACTAAATAACCATTTTATTTTTATTTGTCTTATTTTGCATGTCATTTTCTGTTCCTTTGATTTTGTTGTTTTTAAAAGAATAAAGTATTTTATTGTACTGTATTAATGGTATAAAAAAAAACCAAATATCAAGGACATGAAAAACTTACGCCGCACACAATATAAACGGTAGTTTTATTGTCGAGCCTGCGACTTTTGTCGCAGAAAGCTCGACATAGGGATAGTGATCCGGCGGCGGCGGCGGCGGCGGCGTTAGCTAACTTCTTAAAAGCTTTATATTTTAGAAGGTGGAAGGTCTGGATGCTTCATACTTTGTATATGGATGCCTCATGTTACGAAGTTTCCGTCAGTCACATGTCCAATGTCCTTGACCTCATTTTCATGGTTCAGTGACTACTTGAAAAAAAAGTTCAGATTTTTTGTAATGTTAGATTCTCTCTTATTATAAGTAATAGGAAAACTATATTTGGTATGTGCGTACCTTGCAAGGTCCTCATGCCCGTCAGACAGTTTTCACTTGACCTCGACCTCATTTCATGGATCAGTGAACAAGGTTAAGTTTTGGTGGTCAAGTCCATATCTCAGATACTATAAGCAATAGGTCTAGTATATTCGGTGTATGGAAGGACTGTAAGGTGTACATGTCCAACTGGCAGGTGTCATCTGACCTTGACCTCATTTTCATGGTTCAGTGGTTATAGTAAAGTTTTTGTGTTTTGGTCTGTTTTTCTTATACTGTATGCCATAGGTCTACTATATTTGGTGTATGGAATGATTGTAAGGTGTACATGTCTAGCGGGCAGGTGTCATCTGACCTTGACCTCATTTTCATGGTTCAGTGGTCAAAGTTAAGTTTTTGAGTTTTGGTCTTTTTTTCTAATACTATGTGCAATAGTTCAACTATATTTAGTATGTGCGTACCTTGCAAGGTCCTCATGCCTGTCAGACAGTTTTCACTTGACCTCGACCTCATTTCATGGATCAATGAACAAGGTTAAGTTTTGGTGGTCAAGTCCATATCTCAGATACTATAAGCAATAGGTCTAGTATATTTGGTGTATGGAAGGACTGTAAGGTGTACATGTCCAACTGGCAGGTGTCATCTGACCTTGACCTCATTTTCATGGTTCAGTGGTTATAGTTAAGTTTTTGTGTTTTGGTCTGTTTTTCTTATACTATATGCAATAGTTCAACTATATTTGGTGTATGGAAATATTTTATGATCTATTTGGCAGTCACGCAGGTTTTATTTGACCTTGACCTCATTTTCAAGGTTCATTGCTCAGTGTTAAGTTTTTGTGTTTTGGTCTGTTTTTCTTAAACTATAAGCAATAGGTCAACTCTATTTGTTGTATGGAAGAATTGTTAGCTGTACATGCCTGCCTAGCATGGTTCATCTGACCTTGACCTCATTTTCATGGTTCATTGGTCAATGTTTAGTTTACTTGGTTAATGTTAAGTTTATGTGACAGTTGTAATAAAGCTTTATATTTAGGACTATCAACATAATATCAATGATTAGTAAAGAAGGCGAGACATTTCAGCGTGTGCACTCTTGTTATGATTACGTTTTTGATTTCAAATAAAACTTTAACATTGTGGTTAATCAAGTCAATTCACATGAAACAAGATGCAAGGTTTTACAAAAACAGATAATTATACACATAAAACTACGCTATTTATCATGTTGAGATATCAACAAACTAAAAATGGTATACTGTAATTTTCTCAAAAAATAAGTATCTGTTAACTTTTGTTAAATGAGAGAGATAATGAGATATAACAAACAGTTTATCAATTTCGTATTCAATATGAGTTATGCTTAAGAAAATTGAGAAATATTTTTTCCACAAATGTGGTACCTCTTTTGTTAAAATTTTTACTTCATATAGTCAAAATTTCAAATCAAAATTGTATGTATGATTGCCTTAGCTGTACTTAGCACATTTTTTCGGAATTTTCTATTTTTAATGCTTTTTAAATTCGTATTTGATTTGGCCCTCCAACTGTTTTGATTCGAGCGTCACTACCGAGTCTTATGAAATCGGAACGCCGGTCTGGCGTACCAAATTATAAGCCTAGTATCTTTGATGAGTTTTTACAAGCACTGTTTCGATGCCACTACTGGTAGACGTTTCATCCCCGAGGGCATCAATAGCCCAGCAGTCAGCACTTTCGTGTAGACATGAAATATCATTGATAATTTATTATTTCTGTTTATGAAATGATGAATTATTCGAAACACGAAAGTTTTTTTACTCCCAAGACATAAAATGCCTAAGCCGTAGTTGGCACAATTTTTGTTTTTAAAATGCTCTCCATCTTCGTATTTGA